ATCGCACGATCCTGCCCGTGAGCAATCTCCCAACTCATCTCTGATAAATACAGACGGTGGAGATTTAGTAAATGTGACGAAAATGTGGAACACTTGATATAAAGTCAAAATTTCATTAGCGCCTCATCGCTCCGTCGATTGTCGAGGTAGCGCTAATAAAACAATGACCTATGATGTTGAAACGCGTATCTTCCATGATATCATGTTTGAAAAAGTGTTACCGTTGCGAGTGAATAAGCCGGCCACATTCGTCACTGAGGGCAGCACAGGTTCACTGCGCCTCTCTTTTTGTGAGCAAGAGCCCGATCGGTTTTTCTTGATTTGTGTGGCACCGTATGGAATGGTATGGAACGGTACGCCGAGTGGGAACACGTACGATTGTAACTGTATCAAAGTTCGTCAATTCCCTTTAATGTAACGTAACATTATCAATTATTTTCATTTAGGTACTTTGAAAGGCAACGTTAATCAAAATGAGGTTTGCTTACCAGGTGAGAACTTGTGGCACGCTATCTTTGTTACAGGCGTGTATAACTTTAACGTTGTGTACTTTGTTACAGTTCAGTAATTTACTAAGTACCGTGTATCACGAAGGGAATCTAATTTTCTCATCCGATGGAGACTCGGTCATCAGCCCTGTTGGTAACCGCATCACGATATGCGATCTTAAGAGGTAAATTTTATTGGACATATCGCCTCTGTATAAAATGTTTGATATGATTTTTCATCTGTACATGTCCGCATTTTTCTAGGAATAAGTCAATGACGCTTCCCGTGGAAAGCAGATACGATTACACAGCGATAGATCTTTCTCCTAATGGATATACTCTGATCGCGATTAACGAGGGTAATGCTGCTAAAGTAACGGCATAAGATGTGTACATTCTATTTTTGGTTTTAATTAAAACAACACATTTCTTTGTCCAATGTTTCAGAGGGTGTTGCACAAGTAATTAATATGTTAAGTCTATTGACCATACACAAGTACGAATTTGATAAAAGAGTCGCGTTTGTAAAATTTTCTCCAAATGGGAAACATTTTGCAGTGGGCAAAGGGAGCAACGGTTGGTCGATCATAATTTTCATTAACTTTCACTGGATTATGATATTTGTGCTATAACAAACTTTTAACTTGAACGTTAAATACATTTTCCTATTTCAGTATTCGTTTTTAAGGCACCGGGGATAGAGACCGGTGAATTCTATTCGTTCGTCATGGAGAAAGTTTTACGTAGATCCAGCAACGACGTAACTTGTATCAGTTGGTCTTTCGATTCAAAATTGTTAGCAGTTGGGTCGAAAGATTCTTTGATACAGTTGTACAGCCTCGAGAGATTTAAAAATTTTAAAATGTATACTCTTGGCAGTCACTCCGACTCCGTCGTGGGATGTTTCTTTGAAGCGAATAGTTACGATATTTTTACTACGAGTAGGTACGTCATTTGTACTTTGTTACATTTCTTCCATCGTGTTGGTCCATAAGCTCGATTAGCTACAACTACAATGCTTTTTCCTCCAGGAACGGACATCTTTGCGTGTGGGAATGTAACATGGATCCGAACGAGCTAGTGTCGTTTCAACCACCGGTTAAGAAAAGCAAAAGGAATACGGAGAGTGACGCCGAAGACAACGTGGACCTCGACAGGGCGATCGAACAACCGAATAACAAGACGAGACCGAACGTTCGGTCCAGCTCAGCGCGTAATCGCCTTTAGCTCGTATTCTCGCTCGCGATACTTGGTCGAATTATTAGACTAGCCTTTACGCCTCGAATATATCTATAACGATTGCGATCTCGATTTTTGTAGAAAAAGCCGTGATCTTCAGAGGAAAATTAGGGAGAAGAGAACGGTTTCACTACAAACGATTGGCAAGGCATTATCTGGCCGACGAGGTCCGCAAAGACGCCAAGGATGCCGTTCTCACGGCGGCGACGTATCACGCGGCGACTCGCATCTTCGTGGCGGGATTTAGCAACGGGGCGTTCTCTTTATACGAAATGCCCGAAGTCAACGCGATCCATTCCCTGAGGTAAGACGACGGTCCCGTTCCGGTTGGATCGAACCGGCCGCGGTGACCAGCGGTAACCAGCGGTAACGTCAGCCTGCCCGACAGCATCGCGAACCAGCGGATCTCGTCTATCGCGATCAATTCGAGCGGCGACTGGATAGCGCTGGGCTGTTCCAAGTTGGGCCAACTCCTGGTATGGGAATGGCAGAGCGAGACTTACGTGATGAAGCAGCAGGGCCACGGCGGGGCCATCCACTGTCTGGCGTACAGCCCCGACGGCCGGTACGTCGTCACCGGCGGGGACGACGGGAAGGTCAAGCTGTGGAACACGGCGAGCGGGTTTTGCACGGTCACCTTCGACGAGCACTCCGCCACCGTTTCCGGGGTCCTCTTTAGCAGGAACCGGAAATTCGTCGCGTCCGCGTCGTTGGACGGCACCGTCAGGGCTTACGATCTGGCCCGGTACCGAAACTTCCGGACCCTGACGTCGCCTCGACCGGTCCAGTTCTCCTGCGTGGCGCTCGACGCCAGCGACGAGTTCCTCGCGGCCGGCGGCCAGGACGTCTTCGACGTCTACTTGTGGAGCGTCAAAGTGGGCTCGCTCTTGGAGGTAACGCGTCCGACCGGTCCGATGCGCGCGACCCGACTGACCGCGCTGACGCCTCGTCGACTGTCGGCAGGTCCTCAGCGGCCACGAGGGGCCGGTCTCGTCTCTGGCGTTCAGCCCGAGCTCGGCCAGCGCGACGCTGGCCTCCGTCTCCTGGGACGGGACCCTCAAGCTGTGGAGCGCCATCGAGAGCGGCCTGGTCCACGAGACCGTTCGACTGACCGCGGACGGCCTGTGCGTCGCCTTCCGGCCGGACGGCCAGGAGCTCGCGGTCGCCACTCTCGACGGGCAGATCTCCTTCTTCGACCGCAGGACCTCGGACCAGACCGGCGCCATCGAGGGTCGGCAGGACCTGGGCGGCGGCAGGGCCGACGCCGACCTCGTCACGGCTCGGCAGAGCTCGGAGGGCAAGTACGTACCTCTCGTTACGCCGGGAAACCCTCCGGAACGATTCGCGACGCTCCTCGCTGACGCTCCTCTTCCAGGGCCTTCACCACCCTGTGTTACACCGCGGACGGGGCCTGCGTGCTGGCGGCCGGAAGCTCCAAGAACGTCTGCATCTACGACGTCCGGACGAGCATCCTTCTCAAGAGGTTCGAGATCACGCGGAACAGGTCCTTCGCCGCCGTCGACGTTAGTTTCCCCCGTTCGATGTCGTCTATCCTCGAGCCCGCTACATCCTCTCTCCGTTCCGTAGGATTTCGTCAACAGGAGGAACATGACGGAGTTTGGAAACCTGAATCTGGTGGAGGGACGCGAGGAGACCGAAGGCGGAACCGTCACCCTGAGACTCCCTGGGGTTAGACGCGGCGATATGGCTAGCAGGAGCGCCAAGCCGGAAGTTAGAGTCTTCAGCCTGCAGTTCTCCCCTACGGGTTAGTTCTTTCACCTTGGTCCGGAATCGGAGGTAGGCTAAATGAGGGTCGACTGGGAAACCGTTTTCTCCAGGGCAAGCTTGGGCGGCCGCGACGACGGAAGGCCTGATGATTTACTCCTTGGACGCGAATTTGGTCTTTGACCCGTTTCTCCTTGGACTCGACGTCACTACGGACGCCGTGAGGGAAACTCTCCGCAAAGGCGACTTGACTCAAGGTAATCGCGTCCACGTCCTTCTCCCCGACTTCCCGATACCGATCTTCCGTTCTTTTGTAGCCTTGATGATGGCTCTGAAACTCAACGAGACCGAGCTGATCCAACGAGTCGTAGAAAGCGTCCCCCATGACTCCGGTAAGTAACGCAAAGTAACGCTAAGTAATGGGAACGGATACCGCGACTGTCGAACGCGACCGCGCAACCTTTCCAAAATACGTACTATCGCCCGATATACCGTGTACGCGTTATCTTTCAGTTGCGTTGACGGTTAGGAATTTACCGGAAGTATACATCGAGAGGGTACTGAAACACGTCGCCTTCGTTCTGGAGTCGACGCGGCACGTACACTTTTACTTGATTTGGATCGAAGCAATTTTAACCAGCCACGGACACAGATTCAACTCGGCGCTCCAGCTGCCGACTCTGCTGGCGATTCGGAAGAACGTGCAGCGCAAGTACGACGATCTCAACAAAATGTTAGTGTAGATCTACTTTTCTCTTACCTTTGCCCGTGTCCCCCGGGGAACGGAACGCTCCGCCCTCCTAGCCATCGCCGCGGTACCAAAGGTATTCCTTGCGTTGCAGATGCGACTTCAACCGATACACCTTGAGGTTTCTGAACGACGTCGGAAAGGTATTAATCGCAAAAGTTCCTACCGAGGACGAGGAGGGGATCGCCGAATCCACGGACGACGAGAACGAGGGAGACGTGGAAATGGACTCCGACCGATGCCATTCGGACGTATCGACCGAAGACGCGGAAGCAGGACGCACGACTCCAAATTAAATTTTTATTAAACACTGTGTTGTGGTTCTTCTCCGTAACATCGAGGACGAATCGTTACATAAATAATTATCGACCGTTATCACTTTCAGCGCTCAACAACGAATCCTACTGGTAACACTGGAAGAGTCGCGGAGGGGAGGGGTTGGTGGGTGTGGTGTGTCGAGGCCCAGGAAGATCTGCCAACCGGTGTGCTTTCTTCTTTCTTACCTTCTTTCCTTCCTCCCTCCCTCCCTCCCTCCCTCCCTCCCTCCCGCCCGTCCTCTAGCGCGCTCGCACCTTTCTCACTCTTCCGTATTACCCGCGCGAGATTATCGTACTCGATAACGGCTAGCTTAGAATCTGGTCCGGAGTCGCGTCTTCTCTGGCGTGCCAAGCGATTCGGTTTGTCGGTGCGTGGTTCGGGCCAAGCCGTTCGACCGGAGCCCCCCTCGAGGGGGGATCGGGACCGGGATCGAGGAACGATAGGAATCGTTTCCTTTGCGCAACTTTATCGGACACGATGGAAGTATCCCGATCGATCTCCTCTCGGGTGGCGCGCCCTCGCTCGGCAGACGGACGGACGGACGAACGGAGAGGCAGAGAGAAAGAAGGAGAGAAGCTCGAGTCCTCGCGTCTTCGGATTCCGATCGGGGTAAAACGGCCGAGCGAGGCCGGACGGGACCGACCACCAGCTCCCACGGGCGATCGGTCGGTCGGCGGTTCTTCGGGACGAGTCGAACTCCCGGCAAAATGATTATCGTTGGCGCCGTTTTGCCCCGATCTTCGTTTCCCGCCTACTAGGGCGCGAAAAGAAAAGCGAGACTGCCCGTTCGTTCGGGTGGCTCTCTCGTTCGTCGTCCGGCCGAGAGAGGCGCTCCTGCTCGCTCGGTGCCGAGACGAACGTTGTATGGAATGTACAAATTCTATATATATATATATATACATGTGCATGTATATATATTGTGTTCACCTTGTCATCGTCGTCATCGTCGTCATCGTCGTTGTCTTCGTCGTCTTCGTCGTCGTCGTCGTCGTCGTCGTCGCAATTTCCCGGAAATCATTCCGCGAGGGTGTCCTCCCCTTCGCCCCGCCATTCCCGCCCGCGAAAAATGCAGAAAGCCCCTCCAACCACCGGAGAGAGAGAGAGCGTCCATCTCGAAGAAGCCGGTGTAGGCCCGTCACCGTGTTCTCCGAAAGAAAGTGGAAAAAAAAAAGGACTTGTCGGCGGCAACCTCGCGGTCCACCTCGAACCGACGACTCGCAACGAATGCCAAAACCCGGCCGGCCGTCTCGCCTCTTTCCTCCCGCGGAGAAGCGCGAGACCCGCTTCTCCCCGGAAGATCGCGACGCGGTCCCCTTATGTTTACATATATATATATATATATACTTTGATATATATTCGTACACATCGCTAAATCTCTCGTTCTCCGATTCTCTCTCTCTCGCCTTCTGCGATCGTTACGCGCTATTATGGTGTATATAGATCGGTGGCACCGCGTCTCTCTCCTCGCGGAGGCCGGCCCGGAGTCCGTCGAGGACGACGCGTCCGCTCCCGCGGCTTCCTCTACCCGGTGACCGCCGAATCCCGGACGTCCGTCTCGCGGATGGTCGGGGGAGCGTCTCGGCGTCGTCCGCTCCTGGGCATCCTCCCGGGCGTCCCTGCGGCGAGGGTCGCGGGGCGCGGCCGGGGCTTTACTTCGTGTAAAGGTAGATGGCCACGATGAGCCCGTAGAGGCCGAGCACCTCGGCGAAGATCAGGATGAGGATCATGCCGACGAAGAGGCGTGGCTGCTGGGCAGTTCCCCGGACGCCGGCATCCCCGACGATGCCGATGGCGAAGCCCGCCGCCAGTCCGGAGAATCCGACCGCCAAGCCGGCTCCGAGGTGGATGAAGCCCCTGGAACGGGAACCGGAGCCGGTAAAACCCGCGCATATCTCCTCCGACCGAGGATACTCACTTGAACAGGCTGTACTTGGACGGCTCCTCGAGGGCGCCCGCGATGAGGACGGCCACCACCAGGCCGTAGATGGCGATGATGCCCGCCATCACGACGGGGATGATCGACTTCATGATGAGCTCCGGCCTCATGACCGACATGGCGGCGATGCCGGTGCCGGACTTGGCGGTGCCGTAGGCCGCGCCCAGCGCTGCGGGAAAGAACCATTTCCTCCTTATTCGCTCCGACCCGGCGCAGGGCCCCGTCGAGGGTCGCATCGGAGTCGTCCGCTCGGCCGATCGATCGCCCGGGGGACGGGGAGAGGGACCCGACCGCCCCCTCCGGGGTCCGGTCCTCGAGGGTAGCTTCGAGGGCGGCCTCGAGGGCGGCCTCGAGAGCGGCCTCGAGAGCGGCCTCGAGGGCGGCCTCGAGGGCGGCCCCGAGGAGGGCCGATCGGTGCCAACATGGCGGCGCGACAACGGGCCTACGAGACAAGATGGCGGCCCGAGGTCGCGCGCTCGGGCGTCGTTCGGGCGTCGCTCGGGCGTCGCTGACTTCCGCCGGCTTCCGCTTCCGGATCGAGGAAGGGAACTCACCGGAGAATATGATGGCCGAGGCGGCGCCCATGACGCCGAAGAACGGTCCGTAGACGGGGTTTTCCTCCGACAGCGTGGAAGGCATCTCGCGGCTGGCGGCTCGAGGTGGGTCGAGGGCTGCTGGCTCGCGGCTATTTACAGCGGCTGTTACAGCGCGGGGCGGGAGACGAGCGGGCGGCTCGGGGATGGCAGCGACTGCGAGCTCTCTCGGTCCGTCGGCGTCGGTCGTCGCGCGACCAGGGGCGACCCTCGGCTGGAGCACTCACTTCACTAAACTAGCGAGCCCTGTCAAGTGGGAGAGGTAGCGCCGAGCCTGCCGTGCGGTGCCCGCGGTCATGTGACGAGTGAGCTGGAGTGAGCGGAGGCGAGCGCCCGAGCACGGGCCAGGACCGTGGCGGCCGAGAGGGGGTGGACCGGCGCGGTGCGGCGCGGTGCGGCGCGGTGCCTCCGACGCCCATTGGCCCGCGCTCGGCCTATCCGAGCCCGCGCCGTCGCCCCTGTCGCGCACTCTCGTTGGCTCCGAGGCGCGCCCAACCGCGTGACCCTTCCGACTTTCCAACGAGCGCGTGACTGCGCGTGACCGCGCGCAACCAGGCGATTTTCCTCTCGCCCGGGGATGCCCGGGGAGAAGCGTTTACCGACGAGAGATAACGTCGCCTCGCGTTAAAAAACGGGCCAAGGGGCAACGAGATCGGTTCCGCTCGCTTCTTCTTAAAAGCGAGGATTCGGTCTCAACGACGGGAAGAACCCAATCCCCCGTCCCGATTCCGAGCTCCGACTATTGCGGGGGAATGATTCAGCACAGGCGTGTCCTTGCGTTTTTATTACATAATTCCGTGCCTACGGAGAGTCCTTTGCGAAGAGATAACAAAATTCCTCCCGTCGCCTTCTCGTCCCGGATCTCTAGCCTATATTCTGCGGTAAGAGGTCGATCGATCGATCCCGTCCTTGCCTCGCGAGCCAGAGGGAAACGGAAGTAAAGCAAGCCGGAGGAAACTCGAGACTTACTTATTTCTATGACGGGGAGATTCGGTCGATCCGGTCGATCCGGTCCGCGCGCGGACGTTAACTCTTCGTTAACTCTTCGTTAATCGATCGCGGGGCAAAAGATGCAAACGTCGGCGTGGTGGGAGGATTCCATCGTAGGGGAAGCCAAAGAGAAGCCTCGGATACTCGCTTTGAACTTTTGCCGGATTTCTATCTAGTTCTCGGTCGAAACGGTTTCTTACGGACGCTCGGCCCAGTGTCTGGAAAAAACGTTCCCGGGTAAGGCGAAACTCGAGAGAAACGGTTTGGCTCAACGGAGGATCGAGGACTGTCGAGGGCGCGAGACCAGTCGAACCGAAGGAAAGGCGCAGGGAAAGCCTGGAGAGGGCTGAACCATTCGACGGAGGGAAGTATGTACACGCAGAAAGATATATATATATATATATATATATATATGTGTGTGTATATCAATGATCGAGAGTATACACCCAGGATGGTCGGCCTGTAATAAATCACACCAAGGCATATATTTATCCATAACGTTCTGCGGTTCTAGTTGCGTCAGCTAAAAGACCTCGCTACGTTCTTTACGGTTTATAGTGGATGGTGACGTCGGTTGCTGGTTGTGATATATATATATATAAATAACGTTAGAATCGATTAAACCGAGAGCACGCTCAATAGGGACAGCAATTGGATTCGAGAAAATGGCGATTCGATCGTCCTCGACCGTTTTCCCTTCTTTTTTTCCTCCACGTAAGAAAAAAAAAATGTTAAACGTACATATACATACATAACACACACACATATATATATATATATAAAATCCTCTAGACGACGGTGATGATAACGATAATGATAATCAATGGTAATGGTAATAGTAATAGTAAAGGTGTAGTAGCAGCAGTAGTAGTGTAGTAGTAGTAGTAGCAGCAGTAGCAGCAGCAGCAGCAGCAGCAGCAGCAGCAGCAGCAGCAGCAGCAGCAGTAGTAGTAGTAGTAGTAATAACAATAATAATGATATTAATATTAATTAATAGTGATTCCTCGTAATAAATGTAAAAGCTGATACACAGAGATACAACGAGCGTTTCGCTCTCGCGGCCGCGGGAAAAAAGACTTACAAAACGTGGCACATGCACAATACTAGACCAAAAAATTGGACGACACGAATCTCGCTCGCTCTCTCCCCCTTTCGCGTCCGCGTCATCCACTCTTCCCCCGCTTTCTCCTTTCTTTCCGGCTCGATCTTTCGGTCGGTTGGTCGCCGGTGGTTGCTTTCGAGACGCGCGCGATTCCTCTTCCCCGCCCCGCGTGGCGAGCCTCTTCCCTCCACTTCTCTTCCGTATCCCGTCTCGTCTCGTCTCGTCTCGTCTCTTATCCTTAGAAATCTATGTAATGTAATTTCAGTTATCTAAAATTCTTGAAACTCGCCGGGCTCCTCACCCGTTGCATCCCGGTTGCACTTCGGCTGCACCTGTCGTCAGAAGTGGGCTATTTGCTTGAGTTTTGTATGACGCCTGTTTATGCTTCGTTTCAGTTTCTCTCCCCCTCCAACCTGGACACGTTGGTCGCTTTCCTGATTTCGGCGTGTGAACGTTTTCCTTCTTCTAGCAGCCGATCGTGTCGTTTGGCGGAAACGTATGCGTGGGAATTCTCCCCCTGCGCCTCCGGGACGACGCGAAGACGGCCTTCCGGGCGACCAACGGAAACCCGCGCTCGGATGTTCCCACGTTAACGGAGAACGAGCGTCTTACCTTCCGAAAGCATCTGATTTTAGGAGCAACACAGGTGGCGCGAGATCTCGAAAAGAAAATGACGTATACGTTCGAACGAAAATCCGAAGGTACCGCTCGTTCAGTCGCAGGTTTCCACGATCGCTCCGCAATCTCCTCCATAGTTATACCAACTAACGCTAACCCGATTAACTATCGCGCTCCAGAAATTCGTCGTTGTCGCTTCTTTGTCTTCCCTTCTCTCGAGCAACAAATTCCGGAAAGTAATTACACTTCGAAACTCCCTTCCCGTCTCCAAACGGCCCCTTTAATTCTTCCTACAAAGAAAAAGGCCCCCTCCCCCTCCTTTTTGGATCGTGGTTAATCATCCCCGAACGCTTGCTTCGCTTTCCGCGGCCTACCGATCGAGGGCTAATCTGCTACTATCGATAATTGTCGTTACTTCGGAGGCTGTACGTACGAGGTCCCCACCATCCCTCTTCGTTCGCTCCACGTTCTTGTTCCTGGTCTCGAGGAAGGTCCACTCCGCTCGTTCCCGAGGGAGTCCCGAAGGACGGTCGAGGTGGCTTCCCCGCCGGCCGGGCCGGAATCCTTCTTCTCGGTTCCACGGAACGAACGATCAAACCGATCGATGGTGTACGCGCGCGCGGATCTAGGGTGTGTGTGGGTAGTGTGTGGCTGTGGGTGTGTGTACCGCTTTCGGGGAAGGCGCCCCTCGCATCTTTCCCTCCCGCCTTTAATTATCGCCCTCGTCGTCTTCCTCCTCCGAGGAGGCGTTCTGCAGCCACGTCAGCCAGTTGTGAACCTGAGGGGAGAATCGAGCGTTAGTCGGTCAGAGGGCAGGGTGGAGGCGCGGAGGCGCGGAGGCGCCGAGGTCAAGGGGCCCACCTGGAAGAGGGCCTTGCCCTTGCCGGGGTACGCGTCGGTAATGTCTTCCTTCCACTTGACGTAGGCTTCCTCGTCGACGACCTCGAGCTCGTAGAGCTTCATGAACCAGCGCAGCAGCATGCCCTTCGGAAAGTTGTGCGAGAAGCAGAACGCTTGGAGAGTGTGAATGGCAGTAACCTGGGCATCGATGGTGGGCAGGAACGACTGGAGGACGCGCATGTACTTCTCGAGGAGCGCGCGTTCCTTGTCCTGCAAGGCCTTGTCCGGAATCTGAGTCGGGTCCACGTCGGGCGCCAGCGTCGACTCCTGGAAAAGGCGATTCGCGTTAGCGGTCGCGAGACGCCCTCGGCCGGTCGATTCGCACCTGCGTGATGTACTTGAGGAGGACCGTGGTGAGGGCGTTGATGAAACCGGTGTCGGAGTGATGCGAGGGTTCGAGTTTCTCCTTGATCCACTTGTAGAAGGCGGCGGGGCTCGGGTCGGCCTCGAGCTGCCTCCACATCTCACCCTGGATCCTGAGAAGCGGGTAGAGGAAGGTCAGCTCTCGGTCCTCGAGGATCTCGCCGAGCCGCTCCTTGGTCTTCTCGGCCTCCGGCAGCTGGCTCATCAGGTTGACCTTGCTCTCGTTGAAGATCTGCGTGACCCTGGCCTTGCCCTGGTTCTTGTGAAGCTGCTGCAGGGTCAGGAGGAAGAGCGGATGGTGCTGCCCGTTCTCCGTGACCGCCGCCAGGTCCGTCAGCTGCATCAGGTTGTCGACGATGGCCCGCGCCGTGAGGAAGGCCACGTGCGAAGCGATGCACGGCACAGCGCTCTCCTTCTCCGACATGCTCTCCAGCAGCTCCTTCCAGCCCTCGCTGAACTGCTGGCCTGCGAACCGATCGGACGAAACTCGTGAGTAAGCCGCTCCCAACGAGTCCGACTCGCTTTCTCTCTCTCTCTCTCTCGACTTACCGGTTACGGTGCTCTGCTTCTTCAGCTCGGCCACCAGCTTCGCGGCCAACTCCCGCTCGGGGTCCCCGAGGTCCAAGGTGTGCGAGTAGACGGTGAAGAGGGCGTGGCGCAGGAACCGCTCCGGGATCTTAAGCTCCTTAAAGGCCGTTGCCGCGTCCGGCACGTTGCCGTGTCCTTGCAGGTCGTCCATCAGGGCCGCCACCTTCTTCAGGATCTCCTCCTTGGTCGGACCCTTATCCTTCTTCTCCCTAGCCTTGTCGCGCTTGTCGAGGGTTCCCTGCTTGATCAGGATCGAGGAGGACGGCTCCTTGTGCAGTAGCGGCGGCGTCACCTTGAGGGTGGCAGCCCTCAGGAGCGGCGACTCCGCGTTGCGCCCTGGAAACAAGTCTGTCGACCGGACGATCGTCCGTTAACGTCCGTTAACGTCCGTTCAGGCGAGCGGGCGGGGTGGGAAAGGACAATTACCGTTGTTCAGAGGTAGGCTGGGGCTAATGTTGGTCTGCTTGAACATCATCGAGTTGGCCGAAGGCCTCAGGGACACCTCCTCGGCGTGGCCGATGAGCATCTTGGTCTTGTTGAAGCGAAGCTGTTCCTTGTTGCCGTCTGCAGGGAAAGATAACGAGTTAGGGGGCGTCAGGGGGCGTCAGGGGACGACGGGGAGAGACACACTCACTGTTGTAACCCTGCGGCGAGTTGTGCTGCTGCTGCTGTTGCTGTTGCTGCTGCTGCGCCGCCGGCGGCTGCTGCTGTTGCTGACCGTGGCCGTGCTTGCCTTGGTAGTTGTTTTGGTGCCGGTTCTGGTTCTGGTAGAATCCCGGCTGGCCACGCTGATGGTGGCGGCCGTAGCCGGGGCCCGAGTCGCGGGCCCCGGAGGGCGAGAACCCATTCGGGCTGTAGGGCGAGGGCATGCCGAACGAGGGAGCCGTCAGGGGAATGCTGCCGACCAGGTCGATGTCGAGGCCGCCGCGGGTCATCTTCCGGAGGAAGTCGGGTCCCAGCCGATCCTCTCTCGGCGGCCTGTGGTAGGCGTTCTCCCTGCCCCGAGGGGGCGGCTGCTCGTCCACGTCGTTCCGGATTTGATTCATCGGCATGGGCCCCTCGGTGCTGGTTGCTTTCCTCGGAATCCAGCGGTTTTCGCGCAGCTCGATGGTGTTGCGCAGCATGAACCTGCGTCGGGCGGCTGTCAGTCGGGAGGGCAAGGGTCGGGGGTCGGGGGTCAGGGTCGGGGGGTAGGGGGCCAGGACTCACCTGATACGTAGGGGTAGATCGGGGCTCTCGGCGAGCGACCTCATACGCTTAAAGTACTGATCCATGAGCAGGCAGCCCTTGTCCGTGTCGAGGGTGCGCCCGCAGGTGCGGATGATCTGGCACAGGCACTCGATGTCCTCGGCCAGGTCCCACCTGGATCGTCCTCGCTTGGTGTCCGGGAGGAGCTGCTGAATGCACCTGTGCAGGATCCCCTCCGACATGATCTCCAGTTTGCCGAGCTCGCCGATGAACTTGATGTTGCCCAGCATCTTGCGCTTGGCAAACTGCCGGCGCTCCTCGTCCTCCGGGCTGAGCTCATTCCGATTCTCGTAGGCCCGGTTGGCCTTGGACCTGTTCTCGAACTCGTCCCTGCACTTGTTGAGCAGCAGGAGCTTGAAGGTACTGTCGATGATCTGGCCGTCGATCGTCGGCTTCTGGGACTCAAAATTGGGTGCTTCGTCGGACAGCCGCTTGCACAGCTGTGCGTACATAGAACTGTACTTGGGCTCATCGAGTGCCTTGTCGAAGATCTGCAAACGGAACCGACCGGTCAGTCGACTAGCCCGTCGGCCTTCCGGGAGGTCAGGAGATACTCACCAGGAAAATGACACCTTTCAGAATCACATACGAGTTGAGCTCGACGTTGAGCAGGTCGTTGCTCAGCTTTGCGAATTTTTCCGGGGTGAGCTTGTTAAGAATGCCCCGCACCTTTCTGAAGATGAAATCATTTCGGCTTTCTGGGGTGAGCGCATCACGTCTAATAGTCGAAGGAGGGATCCAACGCTGCTCAGTGGATAGGGAGCGAATATCGTCCCTGGAAGGCATCGAATCTTTTAATTTCCAAACCTCGCCACGACTTCGGCCTTTGCTCGAGAGGCGGGGGAGAGAAGAGGAGCTGCCCCCCTCTTCGCGACGAGCTAACAAGGCGCTAATCGGCGCTAATCGGCGCTAATCGACGCTAATCGGCGCTAATCGATCGTTCCTGACCTTCCTCCCGAGACACGAGAAGCACCCCCCGATCCTGTGGGGTTGTCCGTTGTTGCGTGTGTTTTGACCCCCCGGATGACAAATCTCGGCGCACGGATCTCCGTCTAGGAAGCTGAAACATAAAACGTCCGTTAGACTCCGGCCGTCTCCCCGCTCGCGGTCGGACGGCCAACGACCGGCGCCTCCGTCACCTCTTCGGCGACTGCGCGCGGTCGGGTCAGGGCGTCGAGCGCTCGCCGAGCGTCCCTTCGATCGCCGGAGCGCCGCGACTCTGGCTCGGGCCTCGTCGGCGTCGCCCGTGAGTCACGCGGGGTGGCGCCAAGGTCGACTGACCGCCTTACCGACCCGAGACTCCTCTCTCCGCTTTACCGACCGCGATTCGACTCTGGACCCCGAAGACTCTCTTGGATATAGTGCTTCCACCGGTATGCACGCGGTCGCGTCAAACTGGAAACTCCGAGCAGTGCGAGCCTCGCGAGGACGGCCGACGAAGGGGAGTGGTATGCAGCGTCCCTCGTCCAATGTACCGAACTCCGTTTCTGGTCAACGTAATGTACACACGGATGCGCATACGTAAACGCGGCTAGTTTACCCGAAGCTCTCGTCTTCGAGATATTCGGCAAAGGGGATTTCGTCTAAATCCCATTATGGGAACTTCGACCGACCGCCCTCGAAGCTGCTAGAAATTCCGAGAGAAAACGCCACTCACCGATGGCGTCGCGGCCGCCGACCCTTCGGTCGTCGCGCGTCGTCGGACAAACGTCAAGGGAAAGCCACGGTGATTCGAGCCGAGCCGAGCCGAGCCGAACCGAATCGAATCAACTCGAGCCGAGCCGAACCGAGCCGAGCCGGGCCGGACCGAGGACGGAAGGAGAGAGGAGGCGGGGTGGGGCAGGGCGGCCGTTCGCTCCCGGGAAGAACCCTCGGCGTCCGCTCGCGGGAACGGCCCTCTCGAGGTAACCTACGCCCACGGAGCGTCCGACGCGAGACCCGATGATTTCGCAGGACCGAGACGGAAAATGCGAAAAGCGGAAACTGATATTCCAAGGACGCGGAGGATTCTGGAAAATTCGGCACGAGGCCGCGTCGCTCGGCGTCGCGTGGCGTCGCTCGGCGTCCCTCACCTCGGTTTCGGAGCGCCGCTCGGGGCGCCTGTCGGGCGTTCGGACGGCGCTCGGCAGGCTTGCGGGGCGTGGATCTTCCTGGACGTCCGAGAGGTGCTGGGTGCCGCGAGTGCCGCTGATCTTCTCCACGAGGAACGGCCTGGAAGGCCGCGCGACCGCGCACGGGGTTTTCTCTGGGGTGCACGTAGACTCGCGCGGAAGAAGCACCTCAAAACTCTGAGGAGGCGCGCGACGATCCCGTTTGCGAAGGCTCTCGCGAGCTCTCGGCCAGCTCTCGCGTGCTTCGGCGGTCCTCGGCCGGGCTCGACTATCTCCGTCGAGGGATACTGCGCGAGTCAGCCGAGCGACTCGGATCTCGGGGTGGGGGCGACGCGACCTCCGGAAACCGGTGGACGGCCGACCACCTATCGCGCGACGCTCCGGACAAATTTCCCCTGGGATCGAAGGGAACCGTGGGCGATTCTGCCCCCCCCCCCCCGGTCCGAGGGATGCCGAGGTCCTCGAACCGACGAGACCCCGGCCAGCGGGCCGAGCGAGCACCAACTTGACTAGCGTATCCTTCGGTGGTGGCGCCACCCGCGGCGACGGACCGAACCTAAACTTCTGCCACCCGCCCTCCAGTGAGTTGGCAGAATTCGGTCCGATTCGGGCCCGCTGGAATACCGATTTTCACGGATCTCTCCGCAGACGAGCTGCCGAGAGACCGTTTCGACGGTACGCAGGACCAAGCGCGGATGTGCCGAAAAATTGAGGCGGTCTCTCGAGCAACTTCTCGACCCGTGATCAAAGAGACCGATGCCACGTGTCAACGTGACTCGGCGGAAACCGACTTTAACGCCTCTGGAGTTGCGTTCCGGGACTTTCCTTTGTAGTGGCCCGTTCGACGGAATCGTCTCCTCTCTATCCTACCGTCCCTATGAATACCGCGGAGGAAAAGGGGAGACGACGCCCGATCGTTCGAGGTTAGCTTTCGAAGAATCGATCTCGTCGAAATTTTTCGCAACCTTCGTCCCGTTTCCTTCGAAATCTAGCGGGCGAGGTAGCTCCGCTCGCTCTCCCCACCCAGAGAATCGAGAGACCTCTTCGTCTTCCCCGAATCGCGACAACGAGTAGAACAAAGGACACCCGTTTCGTTGATTACGCGAAAGAAAGCCACGGTCTCGAAGCTTCCCTCTTCCCGCGCTTCAGCGGTCGGGAAAGGAGAGAGCCTCGTGCGTTTCAAAAACCTTGCTCCGCTGCACGTGGCCCCCTTTTCAGCCCGTTCCGTCGTTCACCGTTATCTCTTTGCCTTCTTGTAGCGACTCAGCGGGAAGAACGCCCGATAGCTCCGTAAAAGTCCAATGAGTAATTCGTTTATTATTATAATTATTAGTAATTTACAATTTTCGCACCCCTGTTTCTTGACTACGAAAACAGACTATTCTTTCACTGTTTACGTCCGTATCACGCGTGTCACTTTTGATCGCAAGTCTCATCGATTGTTCAATGGCTAAACGAGTGATCAAAAACGTGAGTCTTCGCGAGTTCTGTATTACCGCCTATGAATAAAATAATAATAATAATAATATATTCCTATTATACGGTACAATATTCATAATCTCACGTGTCGCAAAATTTTTTGTGTATATATGTATGTATGAGCGTATGTCGGTGTGTATAAAAAGCAGAGAAAAGAAACAGGGAAAATATGGTTTTTGTATGGCGCATAGAGGTACTTTGTACACACAAAGGTAACGCCGTAAAGAAGAAACCACGTGGAATATCAAAATTAGCTAGCCCTCGAGATCTAAAATTCTGTTTGATGAAAAATTACCATTGAACTTTTCGACCTGCTATGTCAACAGCTTCAGATAATGTTTCATATAAACACAGGTATACAGGTTTATGTGTCTATCACTTGTCAACTTTCCAAGTTCTTTGACCCAAGTTCGGTAAGTACTTCCTGGATTAAATGTCATTTCAGTTATAACAGTTAACGCTAAAAATCGGTTGGTCACTTTTGAACTGAAATAACCAAATGTGATGCTACAAAAATGTGAATTTATACAAGTGTAGGCATTACAGATCACGACATTAATAAACGACTTTTTCCATTACGTTCCCTTTTGCTATACCTCATTATACCTGTTGTTGCGATTACTTTGGAACATTATTCAAAGAGTAATTATCCAGGGTAGGCTTTGTGGAAATATGACTTGCAATAAATATTTAAAACGTATGTATATATACCCCAATTCAAGTATTTTCGCTTGCTTCTGTCCGGTTTTTTTTTCTCCCCTCCAAACGACGAGTAATATTTCACTTTCAACACTCCGAGCCTCAAACCAGAATGCATCCGTTACTTAAAAGTTAGTCTAACAACGTAGGAACGTTAGTTTTTTTATTTCTTGGCAACCAAGTAGTAAATAAATATGTACTTACAATTTACGAACGATCTAATGAGAAATAGTAATATAAATAGTCGTAACTGGGAGACGAGTTATTCGAATTGATTATTCGCTTAAAAAACAGATTGAATTATTTACATCCGTCCTCAACGCGACCGCGCCAATTTTCAAAACGCACGGTAGTGTTCTCTTTTCCTCTTAAAATCCACAAATTACGGAACGGATCTCTTTACTCGGAGTCCCTTGCACTGAACGACAGAAATTATTATTAAAAAAAAAAAAAAAAACCATTCCGTTACTAATGTCGCGACCTGCACATGAAATAATCTGATCTGCATCGTCCGTACCTCACTTATTACATTTCACGAACAAAAGGAACAGAAGAAAGGCCAAAAAGAAAGAACTAGGAAGCGAGTCAAAATGAAGTTCGGTGAAGCAACGGCGCGAGCTCGGTTCGGGCTTATCGGGACAACCTCTCCAACAGAGCACCTTCCTCTTCGGGCCTCTGACGATACGTACAAAGACTCGAAAGTCATTAATCTACCTCAGTACGATAACGATGGTTAAAACGACGACACTGACTATCACCAGTAAGAGTATCAGGCAGATTTTCCGGCGAAACTTGCTCTGATAGTTGCTGGCTTTGACCAACTCCTGGGCCCCCAGCTCGACATTTCCGTGCACGTTCTCTATACTGTTTTCAATGGTATCTACAAGATGGAGATTCAACTAACACTTGGCAAAGACTTTCTAATGTAACTAATATACAAATAAACATATATGATAAATATCCAATACTCACTGATCGCATCACCCTGCTGGCTGACTAAAGCTCCAAGTTCACGCATAATTTGGTTTACATCTAGAATGTCTTCCTCGGTCCTCTTTATCCTGTCTTCTCGTTCCAAAATCAATCCTTCTTCAAACTCCAGCGCTCTAAGGATTGATTGTGGCAAACCATTAACGTAGATAAATAACAAGAAACGATTCATCCGTCTGACGCATCAAAGTTATATACGAACCTTTGCTCGGCTCTTCTTTCGTCGTCTTCCAGAGCTTGCAACAAGCTCTGCTTTTCCTCTTCCTTGTCCTCTGATGTATTCTCAGAGGTTCTCGTGACCGGAAGAATGTGCCTCTTCATCTTTTCGGCGATATTCTAAAAGATTCGTTGCTACTCATTTTTGCATTCCGATCACTCTTCCCGATTAGTGACACGAGATGCGACGGATAGTCGTTGCCATCCGAACCACCATTGAAAGTTACGTTTGCCCACTTCTTATACTCTACCTTCTGCATGTCCGAGTATTGTTGCAGAGCATCTTTGAAGTCTGTTGTGAGCTTCTCAATTTGTAACTTCTGTTGCTTATCGCCTCTTCTCATCAGGACCGTCAATCTGGCTATGTCCTTACTCGTTTGAGTTACTACTTGATTTGTGCTTAACTGTGTAACGTGTCTGAAGTAAATACATTACGATTAAAACTTGATTTCACAATATTTCAGACAACGTACGCGGTATCGGTGAATAATAACAAATATTTGAACATCGGTGAAGCATCGCTACGGCCGAGGCTCAAAGGGTTTACATGATTACTTATGAAAAAGAATGTAAATTTTTTTTATCTACTGCAATTTGCCTTACACGTTGTCCCTGAGGTCCTGGTTGTCTTTAATGGTTCCAACATTGTTGTAAGCTCGTTCCAAAATTCTCCAACTTCCATTAATGGTATAAATATTTGTAGTGATGTTCTCACTGAGGCTATAAAGTTCTGTGGGACTGAAGCCCACATCAGGTACGTCGGTTCGTTGATCGGTGGATCCATAGCTCTGCGAACCATGCGCCATCCTAGTAGAAATTAAGGCACCGTTAATACTAGTTGGAAACGGAAAAATCAAATGTCACTACAGTCTTTGACATCGGATTAAAATTTGAGCGATTTTATTAAACATCCATGCACAAGGATAATAGCGTATAAAGAATAAGTTACTGTTGATTATTCCTAAAGACACTATACTCAAGCTAAGGCGAGAAACAATAAAGTAACCGTTCTTGGTAGGACATTGTAATCAATTAGAATCTACCAAGTTGTGATTACTAAGAACCAAACATGTCCGAGAAGGTCAAACAGGTATTTTCCTTGTGCCATACATTAACCGATACTCGTGATTTCAGCATAAAGACATTTGGCAACACGGCAGTCATTCCACCCTATTACCAAAGCTCGTCTAAATGCAAACCGTGATCGTCAACCCCTAGTACTCGAGGTAATGCCTCTACTCGATTACCCTCTCTGCATGTATCGTCTAAAAACTGTGGCAAAGTATCGTTAGCAGGTCATCAAAGAGAATCCTAATCGAGAACAATGACTCGACTGAGATACGGTGGTCTAGCCCACAATGACTCTCCGTGTCTTGACTTGGAGTACACCGGGTGTCGTCGCATAACTCCCCAATGGGTCAAAACCTGTCAGACTGATTGCTAAGCCCTTCGAGCGTTGTAAAGGCAAAGGAGTGGATTAAAATAAAAGAAACAGAAACCCTGGGAACTGATGAGTGAGTAGGAGCCGGCGATGAGGAAGGATTCGCACATAGTGCAGTTACCTGGTCAAATCGATCGTTCGGTAACCGTTCAGAATGCGAGTAGTAAGAAAGAGCGGCGATCGTTCGGCATTTAACCTCCTTCGATACGCCGAATTGTCCGGTTAGTTTGACGTAACTTTGGCAAATGTCGTCTCGAAAGTTGTACCCGGACTTGTACTCGGACTTGGACTCGGATTCGGATTCGTACTCGCACTCGGACTCGCACCCACCACCGTTCGCCACTTGGAAAAGTGACAGTTGCCCGAACGATGTCTGCTACACCGCCCTAAACCCATGTGCCAGTCTGCCAGTCCACCAATAATCACCAGAAACTTCCCAACGATTCTCTACCTGACCAACGAGAAGAATGAAAATTCCTGAAAATACCATTCGTCAAACGGATTGCAAGATATGGACCTTGATTTGCGAACGCTCGGTGGTGTCAATATACCGTTGGTGGACCGTTCTTTGGAAAGTTGACTTGCGCAGGTGGTCGATTTTATAACTCGAATCTGGTGAAAATTCTAAAAATGAACATCTTCCACGTTTCGTACTTTTCACTATGCTAAAATATGAGATACTTCGCGTGAGGCTACTCGATCAGAAACCCCGCGATCTCGGATCGAATTCCTTCCGTTTCGAGATTTCACATTTTCATTTGGAAATTCGGGCGAATAAACCCACGTGAGATGACAGTGCGAGAAGTGAGCATTCTCGCCGTTAGTGACATTACAAAGCGAAGACGGGGAAGCTAGAGTGATTGCTGTTACCCTACTATTTATTTTGACATGGCGCAACATTGTACCCGTATCACGATAGATACATGCGTCTTTTTTTTTTTTTTTTAATTAAAATTTAACCGCGTCGAGGCACGTATTTTCTTCTCGTCCATCTGCCTAAATGGTAACAAATTATTGTTCGACAGGATTTTAAACATGGCGATCGAGTTGTCCGTGTAAACGTAATATGGCGGTGCCGCATCTTGAATTCTGAGTTTAAGGGAAGATGGAGACAAGATTATAAACACGCAACTCGAGCCTTACATAGCATGTACATACTCGTATGTATGTATGTACAAGTTAGCGGTATTTAGTTCGGGTGTTTATCTTTCGTCGAATATCCCGGGAATCGTCGTGCCGTTTAGTCCTCTGATCTGGCATTGCCTGATACCGACAGTTGACGGGCATTTGCTAATTCATGAGTTGAAGCTAGAAAATCGTCGATATGGGTGAGGATTCTGTTTCTATTTGCAAGCATTCTTTTCTCGTAGCTTGCTTCGTCAACGTGAAACTCGCGGCGTGCAGACTCTCAATTGCTGCCTCTATTTAACTTTTATCCTTTGATCGATCACAGAATGCCAAGTATTATGTATTGAATTTAAGGTTCTCGCGAAGATTCCCCTTTTTTTTTTCTTGGTTACTAGATAATTTTCTAATCTTTGGTTGTGCGATGCTGCCACCTATGCGCCTTCTTACCAATTTTTTTTTTTATTATGAAGTATTTCTTAACTTTCATCGGATGTTTACAGTACAGTGCATATGCTGTGCTATTGTGCGATTTGATTTCCAGTTCCATTTCATTATTTGCTACTTTCTTGAGACCGTCCATAGAACGACGTTTGAAACATTTTCATTATTTTCAGGTGGCCTGCTTAGTTATTTTCAAAATTTACTTGGAAGTCGAGAGCGTCGAATTTTAATCTTAGGCTTAGATGGTGCAGGGAAGACTACGATCTTGTACAGGTACTAGTCATTTTAGTTTGTCCATTTTTTACCACACTTCTTACGACAACCTATGCAATAGTTTGTTTCATAGTGATAGTTCTCAATTTGGTCCACAGGTTACAGGTAGGCGAAGTGGTCACTACGATACCCACCATAGGGTTTAACGTAGAACAAGTAACTTATAAGAATTTAAAGTTCCAAGTCTGGGATCTTGGTGGACAAACAAGTATACGGTAAGTCACTCGAGATCCAAGACCTTTCCATTTAACCAATTTCTCTATGGAGTAAACTCGATTTTTTCTTTAGACCATACTGGAGGTGCTATTATTCGAACACAGATGCAATTATTTATGTGGTGGACTCGGCCGATAGAGATAGGATAGGCATTTCAAAAGATGAACTGCTCTTCATGCTAAGGGTAAGTCATCATCCTCAAAGACCACCGGTTAGGCCATAAATCTGTCCAGTAGATTAACTCGAGAAGGGCACGTAAAGAAACTCCTAACCTTAACGTTGTTAGGAGGACGAACTGCAGGGCGTGGTCCTGGTAGTATTGGCAAACAAGCAGGACATGGCAGGGTGTCTGAGCGTAGCGGAGGTTCATCAGGCCCTGGGTTTGGATGCCCTAAAGAACCGGACCTTCCAGATCTTCAAGACATCCGCGACGAAGGGCGAGGGCCTCGAACAGGCGATGGACTGGCTCTCGAACGCGCTGCAGAGCAGGAAATGATCAGGGCCTTCTTTCCGGAGGTCCGCGTCGGCCAAGCCTTACTCTCTGCCATTAACGCGGTGGCTTCTCGACGAATCGTCGCGCGGTTCCTGCGGTTCCTGCGGTTCCTGCGGTTCCATCGCTCGGAGATCGGCGCCACGACGTTCCGGGACCGGAACCGAGGAGAGGCCTTCTCGTTGCGCGAAACGCGGTCCCGTCTTTCCACCGTGGAAATTGTACATAGGATTGTCGTTTGTCTGGACGAGTCGATGGCTCCGCGAAGCGTTACTCTAGTTTTGGGCTTTCTTTCCAATTAAGCGTCTCTAGAATCCGTTCGTACCGTTTTCTACTCTGTGAGGAGCTGGCGGAAAATAAGTATATGGGAATATAGGAGTATGCTTTGGTCGAACTCGTCGTTTCTCGCGTCCCTTCCGCCAATCTCTCGGAATCTCTTTGAAAATGATTCGTTGACGTGTCGACCGTAGATCGCGTTACTTTCTGACATTCTTACAAGATCGAATCGTCAATCGAAATCTTTTTCTACGCTGTTTAGGTATTTTCGAAAGGCGCTTTGCATTTTGTGACACTAAATCGCGAAGAAGGACCCAAGATCAACGAATAATTTTCTGGTACACGATTACCCTCGGCGAGCCAAGGAGGTATTTCAAAACCTTGGAGATTTGACCCTTCTAGGGTCTTTCGTAATTTCGTGAAGCTGCCTTTCCAAAAAATCAATCCTCTTTTCCAGCTGGAATACCAAATATTAGTGAAACGAAGCTTTGCACTGTCGCTTGTTGGCACAACGGTTGCTCGAGAGAGATGACAACAATGGAGACGCGACATAACCTCGATTTTTTTCTTTCCTTTTTTCTAATAAATTCAGTAACATATGGGTTAATTGAGAACACCTTGGAGATTTTTACATCATTTAGATCTTACATAAAATCATAATAATAATTCGATCATGTACAATTCATTTCGTCTCGGTAGGTTTTACGCATGTACGACGTTGCATCGTTATGATTTCTTTGTAACTGTTGTATAACTTGTAATTGCCATTATTATGTAAATGAAAAATAGCACATATAAATGTATAAGTTCTCTTCATTTTTTTTCTCAAATAATTTGCACTAGAGTCAATTGTAATTCGGCAACGTCAACGGTGGAGGTAATTAATGTTATTTCTAAGTAATTGAACACAATGGATCGTTGCCTGCAGTTATTGCATTATTTCATACTTTGACGAAAGCATTTTAAGACAAATATTTTTAACCTCGAAGATTCCTACTACGCCAGATACTATTTTTTCCCGCTACCTTTCATCCTATGAAAAACCAAAAGGTACTTATGGAAGAAAAGATGTAGGCCAGTTTTTGTATCGCGATAAAACGTATTATGGACGTAGCTCTAGAATTGAATAAATAATGAATTGACCCAATGAAAGAAAGAAGAGACGCCCTCAATGCGAAAGCTTTCTCCGTATGAGAATTTTCGTTCCTAAGGTTTCACACGTCGACAGCGAAGACTGAAAAAAATTCTCTTACCTTACCAATGAGGAATTCCGAATCTCTCGATTCGTTTAATTTGATCGTTGAGCTCCAGCTGCACCTTTTTCCTCATGTAAAATATCGGGCAATCTCGACTGGAAAGGGGGGGAAAAAAAAAGAGTGAGAGCGCCGACCAGAAATTGCGTTTTCGAAAACATAACGGGGATTATCCGCACCTCGTGCACAGTACTTCCTGATGGAGGCTTCCCTGGCACCTCTGACACTCCGTCCAGAGTCTGCAGAACTTTTCCTCGAGCTTCCGACCGGCATACAACTCCAGCTGGAAGAATTCGGGCTTCTTTCCCTCGCAAAACCGACAGAGGGCCGCCGTGTCCCGGTCAGCAGGCAAGACCGTCTTGCACCCCAAACAGGTCTCCTTCTTCTTGGTGAAGGCGGCCAGAGCGCCGACCTTCGAGGTGGCCATGGACTTGGTCCTGGTGTGGTCCCCCTTGAGCAGAAGCGATTCCGCCTTGTCGCCCAGGATCGGCTCGAAGATTCGGACGAGCGGCTTCGCCAGTTGGTTCTCCAGGTAGTAATTCGAGTCGATGGGGATGCTGTTCTCCAGGACGTAAATCGGGTCCTCGGCCTTCAGATAAGCCGGGGTACCTTGCGGAGCGCGAACGAACGTCGGAAGGTTAACTCGGACGATCGACCCCGAGGGAGGGGCGGCTCGAACTCTAGCGAGGGATTACCTTTGGCAGCGTTCACGAAGACGTAAGGGACCCGATCGCCTAGTTTCGGGGCGGTGCCGGCATCGCGTTTCTTCATCTTGGCGGCGAGCTCCACGTGAGCCTGCTTCGCGGCGTAATCGGTCTTCGCCAGCTCCTTCGTTATCACCAGCTGGGAGATGTCCACGCGGTTGCAGAGCAGGTCGCTGATGATCTGCTTCGCGTAGTCCATGGCGTCCTTCGGGTTCCTGGAAAAGGCGAAAAACGTTCTCCGTTCACATCCCACGGAGGTTCCCCGGGGATCCCGTTACCTTTCGATCAGCAGCTTCTGCAGGCAGGTGTTCATCACGTTGGCGACCAGGGGACAGTTGTCCCGTCTGACCGTTTCCAGCCCCTTGCAGTCCATCTTGTCGTACCTGTCGGGCCTCGTGAAGTACAGCCCGGCGTATCGCTTCTTGTTAATCAGCAAGTACGGAAAATAGACCTTCTCGAACTCGAGTTTGATCGGTTCGATGAACTTGGACGAGACGTATCGCGCGGCTTCCTTGCCGAGCTCCATTGCCTCCTCGATGGTCTTGACGCCGAACTTGACCATGACCGAGTCCGTGTCGCCGTAGATCACCACCGCGTCGTTTTCGTAGCCGTTTCCTCTGCAAAACCGCTGCTCTACTTCGTGCTTGGTGCGCTCGATCATCGTTCGACCGTACGCGGTGACGCTCTGAAAGGAGAAAGGAAGTCGAGGATGTCGGAAAATCCGGTAGAGGTGGTTCCGCTCGCTATACCTCGAATATACCGCGGAAGTTCTACATACCGCGGAGATTTCCAAACAGGGTAGTTTCCCCATTTGCGCGCCGGTGAATCCGTAAACGGAGTTGGCGGAGACTTTCAGGGCGTACTGTCTACCGTCGAGAACTTTTTGTTTCAAGGGGTCCGTCTCGTTCTTCAGTTCTGCTTTCGCGGCCTTCCTGGCCGACAACAGGTTCTCCAGGATCTCGGGGAGAAGTCCTTTCCTTACGTTGCTCTTGACGAAAGACGAGTTGCTCGGCGTCCTGGTAACGTCCTCGTCCCTGATGTCGAACCTCTGTTGCCTTTCGGTACCGAGCAACGTCGTGTAGCATATATTGTGCGCCATAATGATGCTGGGGTACAGCGAACTGAAGTCAAGCGTCGCGATGGGGTCGTTGTAGTAACCCCGCATCGGCTCGATGACCGTTCCACCTTCGTACTGCTCCTCGGTGGCGTGGCCCCGACTCACTGGCATCAAGTAATCCTTTTCCTGGGCCTAGAATTTCGATCACGGTTCGCGGTTACTTCTTCCGGAAGAACGGTACGACCGTCGACGGAAAGCGACGCGGAGAGACCCTTCACCTTTCGCAGCAGCTGCGAGACGACTTTGATCTGCTGGCCTCTCGTTAACAAACTCGTCAGCGTGACTCCGGTCACCCTCGCCATTTCCATGTAAATGATGACGCACATTAACTTGTCCAACAGCCGCAGAGGCAAGTAGGCGTCCTTTAAACAGTAGACCGCCAGGCGCCTGCGAGTTTGAGGGGTTCCGTTTTGCAGATCCGTAATGATACTGTGGTGGACGTCCTCCTTTTGCTCTTGGAGGAAGTGGTAGCTTACCGCGTTCAGAGAGTACGAACGCAATTTATAATCTCGCACCAACACCTGTTAAACGATTACGGAACGATATAAAGGAAGCTCCGATTCTTCTCCGGCTCTGGACAAGATCCACGTTCGCGACGTACCAATAACAGATCGAACGGAACTCTTCCCTCGAAGTTTATCGACTTATTTTCGCGCCTTCCCATCTGCTTGCTCTGCAATATCTGATCCTTGACTACGGACTTTAGATTTTTTATCCTGCCGAGGTAATTGAAACTCTTCACGTTGAGATGCTGCGCTCGATTAATCAAATAGGGGAAATCGAAGTTATTGATGTTGTATCCCGTGAAGATGTCGGGATCCAATTGTCGAACGAAGTCTGCCCATTTCTGAGGAAGGACACCGTTGAAATTAAACCGTCTTTTAAAACGTCGAGTCCCCGCATTGGAGAGATTTGGAACGCTTACCTCTAACATGGAGCTTTCCTTTTCGAAGCTTAGCACCTGACAGCCAATGATCGGTGCGCACACGTCCAAGGTGAAGATATTCCGTAGAAAAGGTTCCCTGTCACCTTGTCTTATTACCATACTTGCAATTTGGATAACCGGATCGTGGTTCGGCTCGGGAAAGATGCCTGATACATTGATCATTATATTTATAGAGGAGGGAGGAAGGAATACCTCACCTTTCGTTTATGTTCAACTCACCTTTCCTCCCAGCACATTCGATGTCAAAGCTGAGAATTCTGAAAGGAGCAACCTTTGACCATTCTCCACTGGGAGCATGAGGAATAAACGCGTCCCATGCTACGTCGACTTCTAACTGGCATCTGCTCGTCAGAGGTTCCATATGACCATAATGGCCTCGTAACTTCCACTGATTAGGCGGCAATTCAATCCAAGAACATCCTACTACTGATGTATCTACCATAAATCTGAATTTCAATTAATAAAAGACATTCAATTTTTACCAACTACCTGCATTCTGATTCTACGCAGACTTGATTACAGACGGTACCTTATATCAAAGTCGATGTTACTTTCGAAAGCCTTGTAATTATGATTGATTGCTTCATAAATCACTTCCTTTTCGAGCAATCTTTTGCACGGGGCTATCAGTCTTGGTAGGGCTACGGTAATTTTTAGAAATAACGATTTATCATCACCCAAGTATCCGTACAAGTTCTGTTTATAAACTAATTCGACTGCCAAAATTGCTTCCTGAACATTTTCCGGATTCGATCTCATGTCTTTTTTAACAACCTGTTCCAAAGCATCCTGTAAGATCACAAAGACAAATGTAACATATCTGATTCATGTTAAAATTTAACTTCTTTCTACTCCATTACTCTCCAGGATAAATAAATTCCACGTTACAAGGAAAAGTGAATGAGCTTTAATCGCTTAATACGGCGCCGAAGTTTTTAAATTATAGAGATAGGAAGAGCAAGGAGAGAAATTGTCGTTCAATAATACATACTTTGAATGGCTTGCAATGGGCATTAGTAAACGTTGATGGAGCAGATACAAAAAAGTATGGACAAAATCCGTGAATGTGGCAACAGACCGAATTGCCTTCTACTGTCACTCCATACATCCTCATTATTGGTACCGGTCCCAATTTACTTCCTGGCATACCAGGCATGGCAGTACCTAAAATAAAAATCCTTATTAAACATCTAACAACATGGTCGCTTATTAATACAACATTGTATGATTGCCAAGTTCTATTCCTAGAGAACTGAATATCTTAATTTAATCTTAGTACACCTGTATAATGATCAACATCTATTTGTTGAAATATTAAAGAATCTTCTGCTGGATTTAAATCAGGAGGATTCGGTCTATTCCATTTCACGGATGTGTTCTCTTGTTCAGGTCCCTGAAATTAAATGCTTACAGGTATCATTCGGTAGTATATAATACAGATAATTATAAAGACATAAAATAGATAAGAGCAAGGAATATACTTCTCCGATAATCTGTGACATATTGCCAATTTCATCTTCCATTTCATCCATTGTAGCCAGTTCAGCTTCAAACGATCCTCGATAATCGTCCTCATCGTCGTTATTTTTGCTAGAATTAATATCACTACATTAAAGACATCGATACCATTGTCAATTTAGAAAACTATTTATAATTAAATTAATGAATCCAAACTGGTATCAGCCAAGGGAACATTGGCAATTACGCTAGATAGCAAAAAAAAAAAGGTAATATTAACATGTAACATTCTAGGACTCCAGTAGATAAATTAAATCATATCCAACCAAAATTATAGGTTAAGTGAAGAATACTTTTCTTCCAATTTACATACGTTAAAGAACAGTACCTTAAATCATAAAATATATATGAAATCGCCAAAATTACGCTACCTTATAAAATATTTGAATATTGCAGTTATTTAAAATTGAAATCAAATAAACGAAACACTTGACTTACCTATATTTGAATTTCTTAGCAACGTGGCCAGAGATCTTTTTATTCATTTCACGTTATCAGAAACGATAAATGGCAACGCAAAAACCATGCGATTAAATTAAGCACATCTGTTCAAACTGAAAAAAAAGTACACTATGCATCATCCTTCCAAACTGCTCCAAACGCGGGAAGACGGCAGAAAACAAGTTCATCCATTGAGTAAAGGGTAGTCAACAGAGATGAACTGGGAGATTGCTTATAGATAGGGTCGCGATGGCGTGCTGCCCCCGGTGGAGGATGCGGGCGGCTAACGCACTTGCCACCTATTACCCGTCAGTGGCGCCGCAACACATTTCTGACAGGAGCTCGCGCAATCGCTGACAGACACAAGGTTTGAAGCTCTTGTGGGGGGTCCATAACGGTTTCAACCGGCTTTCGGGCTGCCCAGGCCCCGTTGAATTTTTTTTCGCAACTGCGACCACACTAACTCGACGAGGAAGGTTGTTCTACTCAAATTGATTCCTCGAGCGAGTGGCTGTAATTTTTTACAGAGGAGATACGCGTTTTTAGACGTTTTTGGTCGTTTTTAGATGGTCTTAAACAGTTTTGGACAGTTTTAGTCGATATTAAACGGTTTTTGGACGGTTGTAGTCGTGTCTACCTCTTCCTGTGGCTTCCTATGTCAACTAGGACATGGTATGACCATCGCGTCAATTGGTATCGACATTTCAATCAAGAGATTATACAAGTCATACATATAAGACACAAGGCTATGCGGGTTATTTAATCGAAGCTACTTTTCTATACATATATTTAACGTCATTTTGCGGGAAAAGCAATGTTTGTAAATGGCCATACTCTACAAACGGCGCGACCTCGTATTAATCCTTGAGGTATTGGGCCATAACTACGAGAATCGGACGAATTATCTTTGTTGTCGCCCTCTACCCATACATGACCCAATGGAACCTGTTATAGAGAACATTAAACGTTATTTAATCATTATATAAAACATGTCAATTTAAAATCAACCCGAGACTTACAATATGAGTAACAATGTCATATCGCACTTTATCTCCTGGCAGAGCGATAACTCGTTTACAGATGTGCTCTCGTGGATTTGTAGGACACTTTGTAATAATTATATCGCCCTTATTAATGGTTTGAAATTGCGTGGATATATGCTCCGTTAGCAAGATATCATTACTGCGTATCGTTGGCTCCATCGATGGACCTGTACACTGATTGTCTTGTACCATTCAAATATATATATATATATATATATACACATATTGCAGTACAGTTGGATAGTAGAAAAGCATGAAATTCAAAATAAGATTTAAAAACCCATAAGCAAAGTTTAAATACTTCTTCAAATGAAGAGAACTTTTGTAATTCCACTTAACCTTTCGCTATTTATTAGAATTCTGATTAAAAGAAAGTTGACAAATCTCACCACAACAAAGTCTCCAATATACTCGCTGATGCAATGTGCCACGCATCCATACTTTATGAGAGTTCCCCAAAAATTCATCAACTTGTATGCGTAACTTTTGAGCATACCGCGACAAACATTCGTCATTGCTACGCGATCATTTTAGTTATTTATGGTCCGAAGGTTATGTCAAAAGCATTCTTTATATTAAATGCTGCCAGGATATCTTACACTGAGTAACGATATCATTTTGCTCGGTCAGAAAAGAGTGAATAATGTAATATCGGAGTAACCAACGATACTTGGTTGCCGGTACAAAGAAAAGAGGTTAGAAAATGTGCACTAGTCTGACCAAACGAAAGAACGGGCAACTCACCCACGGATCGTGAAAGTACGCGATTTTGCGCGATTTATCACAGGGCGTTTCCATGACTATTTACAGAGATGAGTTGAGAGATTCACGGGAAGGATCGAGCGACCGCGTCCTGTGCGACCTCCGGTGGAGGATGCAGACGGCTAATGCACTTGCCACCTGTTACAACTCTGGGCAGCCGGAGAACCGGCTGAAAAAATGAAGAACTCACAAAAATTCCAAAACCATGCATCTCCTCCGAAAAAAATCGCAGCCACTAGCTCGAGAGATCAATTTAAACCGAACCTTCCCCATCAAGCTACCGTGGACGCGATTCGCATCGCGAAAAAAATTCACAAACATCCTGCAACATATTTTAACATCTTCTACCAACAAGTGCAGCAAGCTCGATTTCGAATAAACTGCCCATGATGATTTTACCAAAAATGGTTGCTTCCAGGTGATCCACCTAAACCTGCAAAGGGGCACAAAAATACAGGTAAAACAGAACATTGCAGAAACACTCTGAAGTGGCTTACCTAAAGCTGAAAGGGAACACAAAGGTACAAACGAAACCATAGGAAAAGCGAGAAAGAGACGGTGATACAAGAGCTAATAAAATGCCATAGGTTCCTCGCGCCCCCCGCCATATTCTTAATTTTTGTCGGTGTCCTACCGCGGCAAATTTTCAGGAGCAACTGACGATCCGCCGGCCGTGACCGACTCCGTGATTGGACGACGTCACCGGCCCGATAAAGGATCGACCAATCACGGTAGCTGATGCATCATGAGGCGCGACACTGCCAACTTCATACAAAATTGCGTTGTATCTTCCTTGAAAAGATTCGCAGCAACTCTATTTGAAGGTAAGAACACGAACTTGGTGCTTCGTCCTTCTTCCCGGTGTAAAAACGACGCATCGGATACCTCAAATATCCGCAGGAATAATGGCGCTCGTGTCTTAAACGGTTCCATAGCTTTGCTCTCCAAGCCGTGGTTGGTCTCGTCTTCTCTCCGTTTCGGTGATTGCAAGAGTTGAGGAAATGGCCACGGAGGGCGCCCTAGAACTTCCTGAGTTGCGGAGGTGATACGTGGTCTAGTAGGGTACAATTAATTTTCCAGTCTGTGCCTGTGTGGTGTTTGTATAATAGGTTACACTAAGCTCCGAAATGACACTTGTAGCTTGTAGTTTTTATTTATTTCGAACCAAATAGTTTCGCTAAGTAATCGCGGCCGTTAAAAAATGCCCTTACCACTCGCCAAGTTTCCGGCCGTTTATCGATTGCTGTGAGGTTATGATCGGAGAATTGACTTGACTTATGTCCTACACCCAATGTTTACTGTTTCGCCTTTTTTCAGATTCTTCAAAGGTAAATAGCCCTTCGACGTGTTCAACTTATGTTCCCAAAGAGTCCCGACCCTCTTAACCTCACTTTTCGTTATATTTCACATAACCTAGTTTCAATGTGTTCTCTTGTTTTGACGTTTCAGTAGACGCTCTACTACTACCTCTAGCTACCGCCATCCAGACGGTTCACGAAGTTTGCGGTCTCTCCTTTCCGTAATCTGCATGTTCCGACTACAATTAACCCTCGATTACGTCGCCAAAATCGTTTTACATCTCTTCCCATTCATCGGATTACCATCGATGAGAAAACGTGCGTATCGCTCTCGTCTCTTCTTCTTGATGCACAACGCTCTCCGGGAGTTCTATTTTGCCCGTGCTTGTCCCAGAGAATGCTCGTTATTCCATATCGATCTATATGTTACTTCATCAAGGATAAATTGTAATTTCGAATGCAATAATTATATTGGATGCTGACTCCGTCGTATCTAAGCCTTGGTTACTTTTACTTAAACCGCTTTCAGGTTGCTTCTTTATTTTGAGTAAACACATATAACGTTTGTCCATTTTTGCGATAGGAAAGAATTTTACACATTTGAGAGATTAATCACTTTTTCTTGCATGCTAAGTGCTAAATGTAAAGTCAATTCTTAATAGAATGAAATATACATAAATTTGTTACTTTTGTCCTTAGAATGTGAAACGTTATCATTGCCCGAGCTATGACATTAAGTGGAATCCATAAACAAGAGCGACAATGATCGGTACAGCCGGTGGATTGGAAGATGCTTGTAGACAGGCTCAGGTAACTTTCCCTATCCGACTTTCTTTCGAAAGCGTCAGCGGACTTTTGATAATAATTAACCAACGACGATCTCTCCTTGTCTCGTGCCGTTAACAGGATATGATCAACCATGCATCTCGGTGCTGGAGGGATGGACAGAGCCAGTGTTCCATGAGTTTTCCAAACGAGAGGCCCGTAGGCCTCAAGAAGGAACACTCTCGGTCCAAGCACAGCATCCAGTCCAAACTGACGGGATTATATTTCGAAGAACTGTCCAAAGTTCCTCACGCAACGCCCGACTCCGTTCTGGTAGGTTCAGGTTGTCTCTATGGCAAAAGATGGATAGGAGGAAAAAAAAAGTGAAGGCCCTCCGAGTCGAGTAGAAATGAAAGAACAAACGGGGACAAAAGGAGGCACTATGAAAAACGTTTAGAATAGCTACGGACGGCACGTCCCCAAAGGAGGAAGCATTCCTCTTTCGACCGATGCGGTCTCGTTAATTTGCAGAATAATCTGGAGAACGAGTGCGACCTTCTGGGACGACTGGTGCAAAGGGAGGGATTTCATACTCTGATCGTCAACCTCTATGCCGGCAACAAAGGATACTCATTAGGTGTAAGAAATAGGTAGGCATCTTCCTCGAATACATTTTTCTCCTTCTCGGCTAACGACGACTAGGCGGTACGGGCGCGCGTGGCTCTTTAACGAGTGCCAGTCCAACCGATCTCAACTAGTTTTCGTTTCCTTCAAGCGATAAAGTGAGTCAGTACGAGAAAACCGCCCTGCTGGCGGAGACGCAGCTGATGGGTTACGAACAGGGCGAGCTGCTCTCGTGCATCGACAACGGCCAACTGCCGGCGATGCTAGCGGAGCAGCTGGAAACCAATCATTCGCATCTCTTCTACGACGGCTGCATCATCGCCGAGGTCCGAGATTATCGCAAAGCGTTTCCCCACAATAAAGCCGAAGTACACCACGTTCTCCTGAAGCCTACCACGCAAGTAAGAGAGCCCGGACGAGATAACTCCCGAAGAAGGAGAAGTTAATCGGTGAAACGTTTCAGAGCGTTCTCTCGGACGTATCGACGTTGACCAGCGACGGGGATTGGAGCCACGAGGAGCGATTGACGTTGGAGTCTTATCTGGTGGCAGCTACCCAAGGACCGCTCTGTTTGGACCCGAATCCCGTTCCCAGTTTGGCGACTACTCGGCTCCGCCAGTCCAAGTCACTGCTGACGGACCACCAGTTGATGCGACAAGCCAAAAAATTCTCTCAGGTAATCCTCGGCCGGTCCCAGGCAAAACGTAAATGCCGTCCGACGGTTCGAACGACGATTTCACTCTTCTTCGTCCAGGTGACCGTGAATCGGAAGAGGAAACTGGAACAGTTGGCGCAGCCGGAGGGCCTGACGATACAGGACTTGATGCAGAAGTTGAGGACCAAGAGAGGCGTCGCCGTAACCACTGCCTGTCCTCCACCTTCGCTCGTCAATCCGCCTCTGCCTCCGCCGAGTACTCCGATCGACGTTCTAAGGTGGGTCCTCTCGTACCTTCCTCTCTTCGCGCGCTCCTCGCGCGCTCTTCCGCAAGGGCCGATGAAACGTCCTCGTCGTTTTGCGCAGATACGCCAAGGCGTACGAGCGGCCGCGGGAGACGAGGGACTGCCTGCCGCAGCTTATAGAAGAGTATATATTAGAGACTGAAAGGGGCCAAGGCCGCGTGTATCATATAAAGCTCTCCATCCTACAGAGACCTTCCAATTCCGAGTACCTGGGAGAGCTTTATGTCGATAGGGATCACCGAGAGGGAGAAAAGAACGGATCTGCTTGCAGGTAACTCGGAGACGTCCCTCGCGTCCTTTTCCCCGTCGCCCGTTATTCGCCCCGTTATTCGCCCCGTTACTCACGGGGCCGATCTCGACTTTTCCAGATTCAGCTTGGGCACTCGAGCTCAAGCCAATCATTATATTCAGCAGTTCACAGAGATTTTTACGGAAGAGGGTAGGAAAAATGTAAGGATAAAGCATGTGGTACCGGGGCAGGCACCTCGCGTTACATGCACCCTAGGCATGCAGAGAGCACATCAACAGGTAATGACACTCGTCGTCGATACTCGCCGTTGATCGCTACTAAACGAGAGACCGATTTCAGGCACAGCAGCAAGCGCAGGCGGCACAGTTGGTGGCTCAACAGCTCCAGCAAACTCAGTCGCAACACGGCGCTCACCAGGTTCGTCCCCTTTTCTCGTTCCATCCCGTTTCATTCCTCGAGCACTCGAGGACGAAGGATGCACCGAGATCGTTTTCAGATTCTGTCGCGGGCGCAAGGCCAGCTGAACACTTTGGCGGGCCAGGTCGCCTCGATGAAGGCCATGACGGACGCGACTACCTCGGCCCAGGTCGGCCTGACGTGTCTGGACTCGGCCGGAATCGGCCAGGTCGCGAACCACGGGGATCCGGCGAGCAACCAGAGCCAGCCGCTGACCAACGGCGGTCCCCCCGCCGCGGCGGCCGTCCAGCTGGACGCGACCGGCAGCTCGTGCAACGGCTCCGGAATCCTGGTCTTCCAACAGAAACCCGTGGCGACCAGCGTGCCGGTCTTGGTTAGTCGACTCTCTCCGCCTCTCTTCCGCCTCTCTTCCCTAACCGACTCGCGACCCTTGCAGCAAGCCCAGCTACAGGCCGGGACGCAGGCCGGGACGCAGGCCGTCGTCGGCGAGGCGGGAAACGCCGCATCGAGCGAAGCTCCGTTCAAGAAGCACTCGACCAATCCCGAGATCAGCGCCCTCGCGACGTCTCTGATGAATTCGGCCGAACAGTTCCAGGAGCAGGCCGCGGGTACGTTTCCACTCCCTCCGATTGACCCTCGCGGGCCGTCCTAGTAACGATCTCCTTTGCGCTCGGCGCCCGTGTAGCCGCAGCTGCCATGAACAACAACGGACCGCCAGTGAACAAGCCGAACAACGCGGCGATTCTCAGCCTGCTCAACAGCAGCCCCGCCAACTTGGCGCAGCAAAAGGCGCAGCCTCGGAGGAACTCGTTGAACGCCTCCGTGCCGCCCAGGGTCATCGGGCACGGTAACGTGATAACGGTCCCCAGCACAACGGGCCAGGTACGGTAACTCCTCCTTCTCCTGCTCCTCTCCGCCGGACGAGAGAGAAGTAAAGGTAACGCTTGTCGCAGGTCCGGCTGAGCTTCGGCTCGGCCCTGACGAGTCAGCTGGCCGGGAAGCAGCAGCCCGTCAAGGCCGCGGCCGTCAGGCTGGCCCGAGTCCAGGACAACGCCTCCACTCTCGGCTTGTCGATGCCGGGCCTCTCGGCTCTGCTGGCGGGTAAGTCGAGCGGTCGCGTGCGGGTCCAAACCGACTCTCGAGCGGGTCCAAACCGAGGGTCGCGCTTTCAGGTTCCCCGTCCGCCGACAATCCCATGCCGGGGATCAACGCGACGTCCTCGCTGCTGGAGAGGCTGACCGGGTCCTCGAGTCGGAGCAGCCAGCCGACCAGCCCGATGACCAGTCCCCCGCCGGCGAACGTCAACCTTCAGGGCGTCAACTTGGCCAGTCTGCCGAACTCCATCAACGGTCTACAGAACGTTCAGGTTTCGACTTTCGTTAAAGACCCCGTTAAAAACACCCGGAAGCCGGCCTACCGAGCGAATACTGAAGACGGCCGCGTGCGCGTGGGTGCGCGTTTTTCCCCGAGCAGGTATCGTTTCCCGGGCTGTCGCAGCCGATCACGATGTCGCTCAACGTGTCCGCGGCGACGGGCTCGGTGACGGGCTCGGTAACGCCAACCGGAGTCATCGTGTCGCTCCCTGTATCGTCGGCCACCAACACCTGCACCACGGTCTCCAGCGTTAGTTCCGTTGACTCTCTTAGCTCTACCTCGCGCGGGAAATCCCCTACGATCGACCGTAACCTCCTCTTCTCCCTTTTCAGATGGTCGCAGCAACGGTGGTCACCACCGCCGTCGCCGGAAGTACCCCGACAGTAGTAATCGCTAATCCTGCCAATACTCATTTATCATTGCCAATTGGTAAGAAGCTGTTAATGGTCTTTAAGGCGAAGGGTCGGCAAAAGTAGTCGCAGCGAGTTCCTAAAAAAAAAGGGGGCCCCCTTTTCTCAATTCCGTTCCCTTCCCCTTCGCCCCTTCCGAATCGCGCGATGCCCGACCCCGACCGGCCACGACCGGCCACGACCGGCCACGACCGGCCACGACCGGCCACGACCGGCCACGACCGGCCACGAGCGGCGAGAAGCTCGACGGAGGCGACTGTAAACGCAAATGCTAAGTGTCCAATAAATTGCAAATTCTGAGGCTCGATCGAAGACTCCTCGTGGTCGATTTCGCTTCCGTTGTCGGGTAACCGCGCGACCGCGCGACCGCGCGACCGCTTTCCCGGGCCTTAATCGTCGTCGGTTTTCAGCTCAAATCATACCATCCGGGGTGAAGGGTTTGTCGCAACAGAGTATACGCAGCGGCAACGCGGTGACTCTGTCCCAGGTAGGCGCGAGATTTCGACTCGGATCCACCCCTCGCTCCGACTCGTCTCCAGCCTCGAATCCGATCGGTTTCAGGGAGGGCAGGCGATACAGCTCGTCGGATCTCACAGGCCGCGACTCGGCCAGACGACTCGCCAAGTGCAGCCCACTCAGGTCAAGTCGGCCCACCTGCCGAACCAGCTGGTCACCGTGGCCAAGACCGTCACCGCGAACCAGCTGATTCTCTCCGGCAACAAGCAGGTCCTGACGTCGATCATGGGTAAGCGAGCCCTCCCGATCTCGAACTCGGACCGGAGCTTCCGGTGTCCACGGTTTCGCGTTTTCAGCGAACAAGCCCGTGCTCGTGACGACCCAAGCGACGCCCTCCTCCCAGGCGGTACCCGTGAACAAGCAAACTCTGCTGACAAAGTCCCTGCACGCCAGAGCCGCCTCCACGGTGCAGTGCAGCCCGCAGGCGCAGGCTCTCAACGTGGCCGGGATATCCCAGCAACAGGTACCGAGACGCGCTCCCTCTCTCTCTCGAGGGGATCGGACGGTGGGCTAACGCTTGGCCGGGCTTTCAGCTGCAAAGGACGCTGATGAAGCCGGTGCAGCTCCAGCAGCTGCAGCAGTGCCTGGCGGCCCAGCACAAGGCGGCGGTCGCGGCCGGGAGCTCGCCCAACCGGGCGCAGATCCAGCCCCAGAGGGCCTCCACCTCGGGTCCCGGCGAGGAGTCCCTTTGAACCCTCCGCCTCTCCGCCGACCGCGAGGGGCAAGAGGAATGAAATAATTAAATACATCTAGATACGTGTACGTAAGTCGGACCCGCGTCTCGCCGTGCGTTAAGTGCGTGCAATAAAGAAACGAAAGACTTCGGAATTTCACGAGGGCCGTCTCGCAATGTCGTATATCGCGAGGAACGGTCCCGATTCTTGTACATATTACATATACATACGATATATGATTTGTTTTATATTAAAAAGGAAAAAAAAAATACTCGAACGAACCGGACACCCTTGGCCTTCGGCGAATCCTGCCGATTTTTTGTTCACTCGTTACCGTCCAGAATCCCCGGGAGAAGGAAAATGACGCCGAGAAATCGCGGTTGAAAAAGTTAAGAGCTCCTTTGTATTTCTCGTAAGGCAACGCTTATAACGGAACGTGCAACGATGCGTATAAATTATGGAGAGGGCCAGAGAATGTCCCACGTCCTCGGAATAAATAACCAAAACGCGCCGAGTTTCCGCGGAGGACTCGAGACATTCGCCGACTCGGCGGACTCCTTCGAACCTTGGAATCAATTTTCTCTAGGAATCTCTAAACGAAGACGATTCGGCGCGTAGCTTACAAAGGAAGGCAGGCGCGCTATCGGTCGGTCCGACGAGGCACGGCAAAGGATTCGAGCGAGTCGAGAGGTCCGTCTTATCGAACGCGATAAGCTCGGGCTTTTCGGGGATACGCGGGGATACGCGGGGATACGCGGCCCGCCTTCAACGGTATGTACATTGTCTCGTAAACTCGTTAATTATTTAAAATCTCTAGACTAGTAACGAAACGTCGTAACTCGATCCGCCCTAGTTTGTCCGTTATTTCGCGAACGTCGGAACGGGCGGTCCATTGGAGAGGAACGGAGGAATAACCAACTACGCGAACACTTCCTTCGCGGTCCCGTCCATCTTTTCTTTTACACCCGCTCGAGGTAATTCGGCAGGTGGCACTCAGAACCAGCTGCATGCAATTCTGCCCGTCATTGTTTAGAAACGGTGCGATGCTTAAAATGACTAGTTACGCGATCGCGTTCGTATAGAAAGAAAAGACGAAAGAAAACAGCCCGGGGAAGAAAGGCTCCCCCGTCGTAACGGAATTGAAATAAATATTCGACGCGTCTTCGTACGCAATTGTCCCTGACGAGGGGGCGAATCGACAGAGACGATCACTCAAAACGATGTCGCGTTTGCGATACCGCCGCGATCGCTTCGCATAAAGAAACTTTCGTTCGTTAAAAGGAAAAAAAGGAAAGAAGGAAAGAAGGAAAGAAACCTTGGTTGTACCGTCAAGGTTAATCGGTTACCCCTATCGATTTGCGACGCGAGGGCGATTACGCCTCTTCCTTTTTTTGGATACCCAAAGGATATTAAGTCGGACCGCCCTTGACCGTAGTCGGCGAGGGAGAGTCCCCTCCGAGTCCGAGTGGCAAGGAAGATCGCGGATCTCAGCAGTCTCTTGGCGACTCGTTCGAGTCCGAAGGCTGGTCCACTTCTGGCCGGCTGTCGGACGGATCCCCGAGGGGCGACGTTTCCGACTCCCTCTCGTCCAGCTCGGTCTTCTCCATGCCCCACTCGCTCTCCGGGTCCGAAAAGATGTTGGAACCGTCCCCGACGTCGTCCTCCAGAGACGCATCCGACATCTCCTCGATACCTATCTGGCTCGAGCTCGCGTGCTCCGGAACTGCAAACACTTTTTCCTCTGTTTTCCGTCGATCGGTGGATGGTCGATGCCGAGGAGCGGGGAAACGGATGCTTACCATCGGTTAGAGTATGCTGCGACAACCAGGAAGGCTCGTCCCACTCGTCGAACTCGAGTCTCCCGTTCGTCTCGACTTCCGCCGGAGAAAGCACCGCGTGTTTGTCCGCGTCGGTGACGTCAAATATTTCCGTAACCTGCACCTTGTTGTTCTCGTCCATGTAGTAATAAGCCATGAGCGCCTCTTGGTCGGCCGTAATCTGCAATTCCATCGAAAAGCATGCCGCGTTCCCCGAACCTTCGTACGACAGCTTCCAAGAGAGAACGGACCGGGAATCAAACTCACCTGGAGGATGTTCTCGAACGTGTCGTCGACCGGACCCATGTCCGACATGTTGATTATGCAGTTCGACTGTCGCCTGTAAATATATCATTCGTCCGCACGTATACACGGTGTACATTCGTACAACGGAACGAAGAACTCGATGGCGACGCTCTAGGAATACTCACGAGTCGTTGTACTGCAACGTCAGGTTAAGATTCGTCTGCTGCTTCCTGCCGTTTACATCTCCGGACTCTGCGAGGAGGAGGTCGATTAAAGACCGGCTGAATATTTTCTCGCGATCGCTTAATCGGATACCGCGCAAACCTGAATCGTATTCGGTAATGGCTACTTGGCATTTAATGGTCTGCGGCACCGGCTGATAATACACGTTGACGCCAGGGAAGACAGTCGACACTCGTTTCAAGAAGTACCTGGTCATTTCCAGGATGCCGTTTCCAAGTTTCGGAGCGTTGAAGACAAACCTGGGACGACAGAAACGGAAAGAACGAGTTACCACATCGAATGTTCCTTCCCCGACAGGTCAGAGACTGCACGAGAGCACCGGAGAACGCGAATCGACGAGCGAGAGGGTTCCTTTCGAGGACTCCCGTCGACGTACCCGTCGACGTACCCGTCAACGTACCCGTCAACGTACCGCGTCGGCGGCAAGGGGGATCGCTCTTACTTCGTCGGACAAAAAGCAACCTCGCGACCAACCGAAGCACAAATGGACCGATAATTGGAGGGATTCTTACCGTGAACGGGGAGCGACGTGCCTGGCACGAGCGAACGCTTGCCAGGGAGTTCGAACCTTTCCAAATACTTTGTACGACAAGGTGTACGTCTCTATCTGGCTACCGATCACGCTACGAACAACGTGCTCATTGTTAAACGATCGGTTAAAGCGGAGTATCCGTAGGAACGAAGCCAGTGTTGTATCGGTTATCCTTGGCCCGATGTCCTTCTCTGGTCTCATGCTCCGGTGGTGTGTACAGTTACAGACTGCTCAAACGATGCACTATCTTCGTCAAAGACTACGAGTTCAAGCTTCGTTCGAGAGACCCGAGGGGACGTGCCCGACTTTGGGTTGTGACCCTCCTACGGGTTCGTACGGGAAGGAAGTGGCGGTTAACGAATCGATAGGAAATCATAGAAAATGGAACGTTGGCGAGAGACAGCTCGAGCAAAACATAATATTTTAACGATACCGACGAGAATTTCAAAGATTCCAGGCAACGTGAAAAATGTCATTAAAACTAGGTCGTCGTCATCGACGACTCGGCAACGGGAGAATCAAACAATATTTATTACGATGTACCCAGTTGGGACGCGAGGCGTACGGTCCTCGAAATTCACTAAATCACATTTCACGGTGGAGCTAAATTCACTGGAAAATAGCATCTATAAATAATAAAAGAGTCTACGTATAGTAAATAATATAAAACACCGGCAAAAACATGCAATACTTAAATTGTTGATAATTAAGAAGTAACAAGGCGAAATTGAGTACATATAGGAAAGGGTCGAGACCAGTTTGAGAAAAAGGATGGGGGGGGGGGGGTCGATTAATAGATAAATCGGTGGAATCCCCTCAAATGGCACAAAACTCAAACAAGTTAAACTGCATACGATATAACAGACCGGTCTTCGATTCGTAACCTGTATCGATCTCATCCGTTGTTAGTAAGTAGCGATAATGTTGAATCAACAATAATGGTTTGAGCAGTCTGTACTTGTCAATGTTACCGTTGAGCCTGGAACGAGAAAGATTTACCACGTCTAAGAACAACCGATACGGCACTAAACACGTTCGCGGCAAAAGTAACATAAGGCAGCGTGATAAATCATCGATTCCACGGTAAATCATTTGTAGGTTAGCCAAAGCTTAATTAAGGGTTAATCAATAGTTTCGGTAAAACGTGGCGAGTCAAGTTTTCAAGAGAAAAAAAAGAAAAGAAAAATGGGTGCGTATCCTTCAACGCATAGAATTCAGTGAAACACCACTCGTAACGGAAGTCATGCAAACGCACTCCGAGGTGTACGATACTCCCGTAACCTGAAGTCGCAGGGTCGAATGAGAACGAATGAGAACGAATGAGAAAACCTGAGTCCTTTCGGCGCACCTTCGAACGTTACTCCGAGGTGTCTTGCGACGTCGATTACCGAGACTAATCTACCGTTTGACATCGCTTATAACACAGCCCAGGTATTTAAGGTATGGCGATGAGAGCCAGTGAACTGTAACGGAAGCAGTCGAAAGCACGAACCGGCATTTGAGACTCACTTTGTAAAGGTCGCGTACACCACGTCTGCCGGCAAGATGTAAGGAAGGCTCAGCAACGACAGCAACTTGACACTTTTGTGCTTGAACAGCCAGTTGACGATGCCCTTGTTAGCCGAATCGATGGCATCCTGGAATATCGTCATCACGGTCTCCGGCAGATTGGCCACCATTGCCTCCTGAAAGGAAGGGGTCAAGTCGCGTCAAGTCGCCCCGAACGGGGAGAGAAACCCGGGAGGTCGACGCACCTGTCTGTGCAATTTACACTCCAAACACTCGGGATCGTATTCCATCGTGTCGTCGAGAGTCTCCGAGACGACGAACGTGGACTGAACGGCCAGACATCGGGTGCAGTTAATGAGGTTGTTACGATTGAGAAACCTCAAGGCATCGTCGAAGCCTTGCTTGCACATGTTCGAGAGCATCTGAAGAGAAAACGAGCGATCACGACACGACTATCCGAAATCCTTTACTCCAGACCGGGGAAATAAATCCTACCTCTGGATTCGGTGGGAAAAGTATCCTCGCGAACCTGTAGATGTTCTGCCGGGAGAGTTCTATGCTCGTATTGGACACGTTCACCTGGAAGGAAGCGATCGACGCGGAAGGGATCGTGGCGGAAACGACGCTTCGAAGGTAAAGTACGAGGTCGTGACTCACGTGAAAGAGTTGCGACGACGTGTCTCTGGGGCATATGTCGCTTTCTCCGCAAAACGGATTGATCGTGATGGTGTTCTCGTCCAGGATCGGGAGATTGTCGCTGAACCCGCCATCCATGTATCTCACTCCGTGATACTTTGGCGGCAGTAGGCCCGAGAAGAGCGGAATAAACGAACTGGCCAACAGGGCCTGCAACGAGAAATCGGACGGAGCGTTTGCGTTTCCACCGTTTCCACCGCTCGCTCCGCTTCCCTCACCTGCAGCAGGTCCTCCTTGGAGGTGAACCGCGAGACGATCACGTTCTTTCCATCGTAAACCCGAGTCAAAGAGATGTGCAGCTTCCCGTTGACCCGAAGATGGGCGTCGGCCGGTAAGAACTGCGATCGAAGGGAAAAGCCGTAAAGCGAACCGATGGCGAGGAGGACGCGGGGCGCAAGGACGCGGGGCGCAAGGGCGCGTACGTACGTGTTGCAAATTCTGTAGGAGGATGTCTTGGACGTTGAAGGACGGACTGAAGGGGCCCAAAGCTCTCTGGCGAGCCTCTCGGGCCAGGTGCAGGACGTTGCTGGTGATCTCTCCTGCGACACGAGAGAAAATCGGACTCAACGATCGTAGGTGGTCCAGGGAAATTCCACGGTACTTTGCCTTCGGAGAAGGAATTAGATAGCGCGGAGCACATACGATATAGCGTATAGAATACGGAATGCAATTTTGCAATCTGCCTAATAAGCCCGCATTCCTGCGTTTATCTCTCTGTTTTCCGTCCGTTCGATAAGACCGCGTGGTGTAACGCGAAGGACGCGATAATACGAACTTCCTTCCCCTCGTGTTTACGTCCTGACTTAGGGTCTCTCCGTGCTCTGGAATACCGCCCGAGACGGAGAAAGCGTGGGAGCGCCCGATGCCGCCGGTAAGAGAGAAAGATTACGCGCGACATTTCCAGTCTCGCGAAACGGTCAATGTCACCGGCAAAACCGATTCCGTTCCTCGTTATCGTCGCGTACCGAGTGCTTTCCAACGTCTCGTCAATTCTGTCTTCGGATCGCGCGAACTTTCGGCGGATCGACCGAATCTAATCGGTGGCGAAATCTCCGGGGTTCGTTTCGCGAAAATAAAGCGATTAGGGTATCGTCCAATTGATCGATCAACGTTCACTCGGAAGGACTTTCGAACCTCGATAAGTGCACCTGCATCGCGCGCAATCGACCGCCTAATCGATGCGCGAATCATTTCCTATATCGCCGCCTCGGATTGCCCCTGGCTTGCCCCTGGCCTGCCCCTGGCCTGCCTCTGGACTTTGGCCGTTAATCTCCACGAGAGATAAGTGCCTTTGTTGGGTTGCTTTATTGGCCGATCGGCAGAGAATGTGCCTGTGTCGAGTCCAATTAGAAAAAATCAACCCAACTCGAATAGTTTGAATGGTTCGAGTCATTCGGGCGGCACACGGGCTCTCGGATAACGATCGTAGTTTTCCTTTGGTCGATCGGCGAGCGAGTCCGCGTACGTTTACAACGGGAACAACGGTGATCCATCTTATCTCGGATGTACCTCGAGACCCGTCCAAATACTCTAAAGTACGATCGTTCGTTATCGTCCGCGTCTCTCGACCGGGAGAATTAAAATGGAACTCGCGTTAAGCCGGCCGATTCCAATGGGGTTCCGCATTTTACGCGCTAACGCGACAGACCGACGAATCGGCGTCCTTGCCGCGAGCTATTAATATGGGCGAACGGGAAACATTTCTTCTAGCGGAATAAGAGAATCCGGTAACGCTCTAGCCTCGGTAGACGGACGGACGCGAGTCGAGTACCGCCCGAGTCAACGAAAGGCCAAAGTTAAGGAAAACTTAGTAAATAGGCCAAACTCGTGTGCGCGTCCACCGACGCTCCGACGCGGATGGCGATGCGATGACGCGAGAAACGGAAAGAAGACGATTCTTTGCTCGCGAGTCTTCGATAACGCTCCAACGGGAATACGAAGGACGCGTTATGCAATGCCGAAAACGACGGTAAAGGACGAAACGATCTCTTTCTTTCTACTTTTCGCTAGAACGAGAAAGTAGCCAATTTCGGAGACGAGCCCCCCGTCCAGCCGAACAGAAAAGTAGCATTTTATTTGTCCCGCGCTAGTTATTCTTCCCTGCCCCGTGGCGCGATCGAATACGTGACGCACTAGAAGCATCCTTAGAGGAATATCCCCCACGAGCATGCCGCGGCGCCGGGAAACAAAGAAGGGACCGATCGATACGGAGTTATCATCTCCGAGCTTGAATATAAACAAAGAGGAGTTCACTCACCGAGGGGTAAGTCGCAAAGGAGGCAACAGGCGGCGATAGCTCCAGCCGAGGCACCGCTGATCTTATCGAGCAGCAAGTGCGGAGCGTACTTCTTGAAACAGACGGCTACGCCTACGTGGTAGATGCCGAGGAAACCACATCCGGCGAACGACAGATTCATCCTGAGGACCTTCGCAGCCCTCGGACCGACCCGAAGACGGTGTTCCTTTGTCCGTTCCGTTCCTTCGGGGCCTAAGCTCTATGCCTACGGTCAAGCGAATCGAGGTTAGGTCGCGCCTTCTCGGTCTCTCGTCCCGAGGATCGGCACGTCCGATCGCGCCACGGGTCGGACGAGTACTTACCTCGCCTCGAGGTAGCGACGACTGCCCGTCCGCGATGAAAATTAAAAACACGAGGAAAACAACGGGGAGATAACGGCCCTGTGATGTTTGCTCGAACCGTAGATTACGACTTGACGCGCCATTGGCTCTCCACCAATGGTGCGCCCGCGGACCCCGCCGCAGGCCACACCCACCCGAGGACACCGTTCCGTCGTCGGAACCGCGAGGAACGGCGACGTACGGCGACGAACCGCGAGAGGGTCCACGAACGTACCTCCAACCGTCCTCCTCCTCGTTTTCTGTCGTTTCCACCGTCATCCACCATTTTGGAAACCCCGCCCCTTCGGATTGGTCCTTTCCGTTGGACCGGAGGGTATGTACGTTCGCCTTTCGTCTTCTCGAAACATCTCGAAATTCGAGATTCACGAGATTCACGAGATTCACGAGATATCGAATCTGCCGTCGTTGACATCGCCATTTCGAAATGTTAGAAACTTGTAATTATTCGAACGGACTTTTCGTCTTCGCGAACGCGTCCCTTTCCGTTTGCGCCAAACGCGCCTTTAGCTCGCACTACTCTCACGGTTACATGCGAAGCCGTCCACGTCTCAGGTGGCGAGTTGTGGCCAGTTGTGGCGGGTTACGAATGGTTGCGAATGGCAGCGAATGGTCACGAAAGGATACGAAGTTTGGATGTCGGAAAAAAGTCTTGGCGCGCGATCCTGCCCTTAAACTCTCTTCGATCGAGTTGTATTCAACAAGTGGATCAACTTTGCCCGCGTGAACGCGACCGAGAGCGAATCGGCGACCTGCTTCTCCCGTGGAAGGCCGTCTCGGCGGAGAAAGCGCGCCTTTTACAGCGTTTCGCGCAGGCGAATCGATGTCGCGCCTCCCTGTCAACGGTGAACGATCGGTCCAATCACCGTGGTTTTCACTTGTTTTCGCTCAACCACGTTGACGCGCAAAACAGGCGAAAGAACGTCCGAATACTGCTGACACTTGCCCAACAGTGCTCTACCGTCTAGCTGTTATGTGACGGTAAAGAGATTTACTCGTTCCATGAACAATTGGGGGACATACGGTTACTTTAAAGAATTTTAGAAATCCTCTTCTGGCCAAATGGACGAGAGCTCGCGAACCGGCCCACTGGGTCTTAAATGCCTTAACCTGAAAAGCAGCGGCGAATTTCACGCGGTCTTTATTCCGTCGGAGTATGTCAAAGTTAAAGGTAAATCTAGTAAGAATTCGATAAATACCACGAGTTAATTTACGCATTACGTGATCGATATTTCTCAAGATTGTGTCTTACAGATCGAATTCATGTTTATCAAAAGAAGAGCGAAGCTCTCGCGGTTATAAAGGAACATAAGTTTGGTCGTCTGAAAACATTCAAGAGTTATGTCGAAGCGGAGAAATATGCTCTTCATGGTTTAGAGGATTCAAACTGTACGGTCAAGAAGTCTCCGGCGGTCCCAAAGATTCGTGCAAAGGAACCCGAAGAAGCCCCGATGAGAGTCTTCGAAGCGCCATCTAAGAGCGATCTGACAAATTTTAAGAAAGTCATTACTTTAGGAGACGTCGAAGGAGTTAAAAATACAGTGTGGGAGAACCCACGATATTTAGTAAGCGGCGGAGACACGCCAGTAATCTTGAAGGTGCATAGTCCAACGAAATTTATACAGTTTCTTATGAAAAAATGGTAAAATAAGAAAAGCAAAGTAATATGTATTAAAATAACGATATATTCGTACAGGAAGGCTGGCGGTATAATGCCTTGCACATAACGGTTATGGAGACTCGGATGAATAAGGCGGAAATGTGCGAAACTATTTTAAATACGGTGGGAAATGTCGATTTCCTGAAGCTATTAGACGGCGACCAAAAGGACAGATGTTACCTGAATCGTGCTCAGATATTGCAAGACTTATATTTAAATATGCCCGAAAAGAGACAAAACGAAACACCGCTTCACTTTGCAGCAAAATTCGGTTACAGGGATGTAGTCAAGGTCTTGATTTCTTATGCCCAGTGTATGAAGAACGTACGGAACAAGGATAAAAAGACTCCTATGGATGTAAGTTTCGACGGTCGTTGCACCGTAAAGCTTCTAGAATGGCCTCTCCCGTTTTCGGTTTGCATACGCGCTATCTAGGTCGACTTATCTCCCCGGTGGGACGAGATGAGAATTTTTTGGCACGGTTTTCTCCATCGCTGTGAAATTGTTTCAGATAATCTGTAGCAGATGTCAGCAAGCGGATGAGAGTCTCACAAAGGATATAAAGAGATTATTGGATGAGCAATTTTATGTACCGGTACTCAGATCCGACGACAACACTCTACAGCCATCCATAGGAGAGCCGTTCTCCCCGATGAGTCCTCCGGTAGGACGACCGTTAACGACTCGATAAACCCAAGGCCTTCCTTGTTTTGCTTGTTACGACATGACCTCATCCAGCGAATTACGCATGTTACCGCACATTTTTAAATCTCTTATTTTTCCTATTATTGGGCTAGCTCATCGGTCGAAAACAAAGCCTGCGATATCAACGCGGATGTTTTTATCGGAAATAAATCATAACTATGACTCGCTTTATTTGCCAGAGCTCGACGGTTCGAAAGCTGTAAGAAACGTTAGATTATACAATTAGGAAGCCTCGGGGTTTATGGAGAATTATTCGTTCGATGACACGCGCCATTGCATCGTCTTACGCTTGTCCAGAATTTCAATGCCGATCCTATGAGCCCACGAGTGGAGGTTCGCGCATTCGCGGGGCCCATGTCGAAGGACGAGGCAACGGAATTTCGGCGAAAATGGAAAACTCCGCCGCGCATAGCCAACTCGTACAACAAGCGAGACGTTTCCCTGAACGACAGCTTGGAGGTTCCGAGCAGTCCCATGGCGAGCACCTCCATGAGACTTCACGACTCGGAGAAGGGACTCGAAAGGGTCGGTCGGTCAGTGTCCGCGTTAAATGAGCATTCGAGCGCGATCCTACAGATTGACAAGATTTTCCTAGTTCAAACGTTTTCTGCCTCGATGTCGAGTCGACTTTACGCGACTTTAGTCGATAGAAATCGAGCACCGATTAAATTGGTCCTTAATGACTTTCAGTGAACTTGCCAAAGAGTACCACGTACCCTGGAAGGAATACTGGCCTTTCTTGGATGACTTCGCCGACATGCGCCACCCGGAAGGACTCGCCAAACTCGAACGATTTCTAAACGAGAGGTTCAACGACCAGTTAGCTTCAAACAAGGAGGTACTCGACCGCTGTCGATTATCGTATCATATCCTGAAAATAAGTGAAAAATTGGCAAATCGCGGTAGGCGCGTTAATTTAACTTCTCCCTTCTGTTTGCAGGGGACAAAGTACGTCGAGTCTACGCCAAAGAAAGTGTCCGAGATCGGTACTTTGAACGATCTGAAAGTTTTGTGTTCCAGGTTAGACGCGCTACATCTTAAGAACGGCGAAGAAGATCAAGGTAACTTACCGCTAGATTCGACGTCTTTTTCTTTAGAGCTTCTTTAGAGGTACCTTGTCCTTCGCGACTCACAAAGGTTTTGATTCGAAAAGGTTGGTCGGACGGCGACGAATTTCTGACACCCCCGCCTTCACCAGTTGCGACGAACAACGAGGACATGTTCGTGCCCGACGAAGGAGTGCCGTTGTTCATCGAGGGGTGAGTAGGTTCTCGTGGTTACCCGAACCAGGGGTTTGCAGGGTAATCGCAGTCGATTAACGAAAAGATTACGTTCCGTCTCGTAGGAAGGTACCGTCAAAGGTGGACCACGCCGTGTTCAACGCCCTTCCCGCGGCCCTCGATCCCCTATTCCCGATAACCTATCCCAGCATTTATCGTTGGCGACACGACGTGCAGCTCTTCGTTCGTCGCCACGGACTCGGGTAATTAGACTAGAAAGTAAATCGTTTTAAACCATTTAAGATACATATCGCGACGACGAAACGTCAATCGAAATGTATTCCAGGTCCGATGCATGCGTCAAGTCCATCCGAAGGAGGCTGCTACAAACTCCGGAAAGGGTCCAGAGATCAAGGCCGTGATTCGACCAGTTTCTCCTCTCATAAAATAAGTAGCGCAAAGCAACGTCTGCGAAAGATGTATATTTTCTTATAGTTTTTTTACCAAGTGCAGACGTCGGTGATTCGGCAACCGATAACTTCTCCTGCATATTTTAACAGTAAGAATAAAGCGTACCGTTCAACCGAATCAAACGCCGAGACGTCCGTAAGTGATCCCGATCGCGATTACGCTCTCCGGGTTGCAGCCAGTGATCGAAACTCTGCTCTAATTGCTGCAAATTAGGAAAACGACTAGCTGCTTGAACTCTAACCGTGAAATTTTTTTCAAAAATTGGTGTAAATCGGGGTCGACGTATAAACTAGAGCTTCGAGCAGGCGAAGCTTTGGAAAGAAACCCCTGACAAGTTCCGCAACTCCCACTCTACGTGAAATTTCATTCGAAGGAACGTTTCATCGTTTTCCTAATATCGCGGTTACGTGCTCTCTCGCGCTCGTTTGGCTCCGACGCTCGACGTCCAGTCGGTTTGCCGGTTTGCCGGTTTGCCGGTTTCGCGAAAGACTACGAATCTCGGAATGCTGAAGAGGAAATGCGCGGGAACGCCTTCGACGCCGTTGCATCGGACTCGGTCGTCGCTTCTCCTCGAGGAGCTCCGTTTGAGTAAAAAAAGAAGGTTAAAAAAGAGATCCCCGATAAAGGGTAGATACGTGGACGCGCTCGATCCTTTCCGCGTACACCTAATATATATATATATATAATATAAATGTTGGGTATAAATGTATAATATTCCCTCCCACTTCGCTCTTTTCCCTACGTTTTTTCCGCGGACGATAGGGTTAGCAAAGGATCCCCGTAATCCGCGACTGGCTCGTATCAAAGGGTCTATTTCGAGTAAAAAATAAGCGAAACTTGCGTGAAACCTCCCTCGTGGTCAGCCTTAATCGACGTTTAAGCGAAACGTCGACGGCGTATCTCGTCAACTTGGAAATGATTTTTCACCGAATTCTTCGTCGAGTCCGAAGTGCCATTTTGATATGGGGTCGGTCCGGGGTCGGTCCGGGGTCGGTCCGGGGTCGGTCCGGGGTCGGTCCGGGGCGGGCCCTTACCTCGAGCAGCGCAGCCAGCCAGGCAAGAGGGCCGCGCACCTGAGGTAATCTCAAATGGAGCCGCTACTGTCCCCGGGAAAGACCATCATGTTTTCCGCGCCGTAGGAGGGCGTCGGCGACCCCCTGGCGTCCAGGGACGCTCGGCTCGCCGAACTGAAGCTGCTGGAGCTCAGGTCCTCGTAGCTGGCCACGGACTGGCTGCCACCTGGAAGCACCACCGAACCGGAGAATAAGAGGGGAGTCAACGGTTGCAGCTTTAACCTTTTATTTACGTCCTTTCCTCGTCTCTTCTCGCCTTCCGTCCGGTCGCTTCGTCGAGATCGGACCGGAGAGACGCGAGACGCCCCCGAAGTCTCCGTCCTCTTTCCGAGCCGACTCCTCGGTTACTCTCGGTTACTCTAAGCAGCTGTCGCGAAACGCTTCGACGACTCGGGGGGACGAGGAAACGGAGCGGATACGTACACGGTACTACTCTACCCTGAGTATTTTCAACGCACTTACTTATTCTAGTTTCTTACGATACGCGCCCGGAGACCGTTTCCGCCGCCGAGCGCGGACGGGTAAGGAAACGAAATCCCGTTTCTTCCCGTTTCTTCCCCTTTCTTTGCATTTGCGGCGAGGTTGCTTTCGGTTAACGTCGTCCTCGTTATTCTAAAATGTACAAGCCGTCCCCCAAGACGTAGCGTTAACGATAACGCGACGGACAGCGACGAAGCAAAGGGGAGGAGGGGAAAAAAACTAAGCGAATCGGGATCGAATCCCGATTCCAAAGGAGAAACCCGAGGAAAACCGGCTCCGTCGAGATTCGGGTAAAAGAAGCGCGTATAAAAGATGTACTCCTGATTAAAAGGAGGATCAAATAAATAAAAGGCGTCGACTCTTTCAATGCGAAAGAAATGGTTTGCAACGAGTTTTCTCGCGAATTCGTTAAACGAACGAACGCTCGAAAATCTCATGTGGTAATTATTTATCGCGAGCGCGAACAACCGCGCGAGACTAACGAACACCTAAGGGCCGATCGAAGGATCGAGGGAGAGAATCAAAGTTGCCTCGGCCTCGGGGGGCCCCGGGTGCCCCGGGTGCCCCGGGTCTCCCGGGATCGAGTTCAATCCGCCCCCGAGACTTGCATCAGCAGAATATAGAGCGCGAGGCTGGCCCTCGGAACGTCCACGCAGTCCTCCACTCATCTGCGCTTCTTCTTCTTCGAGCGGCCCTTCTTGGAGCCCTCCTTGGAATTGCCGTTCCCGCTCCCACTCCCGCCGGAGCCGTTCTTCTCCACCTCCTTGGGGTTGTCCTCCTCGGTGTCCATCGGAACGGCGTTGGCGTTCAGGTCGTCCGAGGAGCTGGACCTCTCGGGCACGACGTCCTGCTCGGAGTCGCTCCGCTTCTCCGTCTCGGGCTCCGAGGAGGGGTCCTTCTTCTCGCCTGCCCCTTCCTCCGACTTGGGCGCCGACTCCCGCCCCTCGTGTTTCTCCACGGGAGTCGACGCCTTGGACGACCTCGGAGGAAGGCGGCACGCCGCGTCCTCGTCCTCGGCCTCGTCGCCTGTCCCGATCCGAGGGGGCTCCTCCTCGCTCTTGACGCTCGCCTTCACCACGGAACTCCAGGAAGAACCGGTCGTCGGGGGAGACGACTTGCGCTTCGACGAGCGGGCGCCTTCGACCGCGTCCTCGATGGTCCCGTCGACGACGGTCTTTCTGGCCCGGCGAGACTTCCTTGGCTTCGCGGGGGGCTCCGGAGCCTTGCTCTCCGGAGCCTTGCTCTCTGGCGCGGACGCGGTCTCCGGGTCGGCCGTTTGCGGAGCGTCGACGTCGACGATCTCCTGGACCGGGCCGTTCGCCTTGGCTCCGTTGCGACGTCTCGGCGGAGCCACCTCGCGGACCTCGAGCTCCGGGAGAAGCGACTCGTGCCCTGTGCCCCGGCCGGGCTCGACCTCCGACGGCGAAACGTGCTCCAAGTCGTCGTCCGAGGACGCGACGCCTTTGCGGGAGCGTCTCGTCATCCGGAGACCCTCGGGTCGCGACCCGGGCTGAGCCTCCGCCACCGACTCGGAGGGGTGTACGCGATCCGAGTCGTCGCCGCCGCCATCGGAAATCGTGCTCTTGCCGGGCTTTCTCCTCGAGCGATTCCCTTCATTCCCCTCGCGCTGAACGATGAACGGTTCGACGTCCTCGTCGGAGAGACCGCGAAGGAGAGGAGGCGAGGTCGCCTCCGTCAAGACGACGCCGTCCTCGAGGTCGTAGCTGACGACGTACTTGGCTCGGGCCAGAGTCCTCTCCCTCGACTCGGCCCTACCGGCCCGAGACGAGTTCTCCCTGGCGCTGGTCATCGGGCTCTTGGGGATCTCGCCCGGCTCGGCGCAGAGGCTGAGGCTCGCGGGGACGTCCCTGAAGTTGTCCTCCCGGCCGAAGTCGATCGAGCCCTTCCCGCCCCCGAGGAGCATCGTGGCCGCCTCGACGCAGAGCGTCTTCCTCTCGCTGAGCTCCCTGATGCTCTCGTCCGGGACGGAGTCTATGGCCGGCTCGCTGGCCGATCTCATCTCCGCGCAGACCTCCGTCAGGTTCTTCAGGGTGTGGCTCTCCGACTCGAAGTCGGCCAGCGACGCCGGCCCCTCCTCGGCGCAGACGCTCTTCGGCGGCTCCGGGTTGCCCTCTTCGGGCTCGAGCTCCTGGCTCGAGGTGGCCTCCTCCTCGTCGGCCGACACCGTAATCACGGTGCCCAGAGGGTTCACCACCTTCGCTATCGGCTGGCCCACCCTTTCGACTACCACTCGCCGCCCTAGTAACAGAAAAAGCCGTAGGCAGGTATCAATGACGATGCTATCCGCCGGGGCGCCACGTCGACGGGGTGCACGCACGAGCCGCGGGAACTTCCTTGCGGAGAAGGGGATCGTTTGTCGGGAGTGGGCAACATCGAGGGAACGAGACTCGCCGGATACGTCGCGCAACGAGCTCGATATCGAGACAGAAAGAGATCCCTATCGTCTACTACGGGTTACAGTCTGCACGGGTACGGTAAAGTAAAAAGACCAATGACCGTTCCAAAGTTATCGCACTTTTTCACACGTTAATGCGGTGGTTCACTCGTTAGTGGTGTACCGAGCGATACAGTTTAGAGGGATTACTGTGGAGATACCTGCCTCTGGCCAGTTCTGTGTCCTTGCAAACTTACAATGCTAGCGAACATTCTTCACCACATGCAGGAGACATTCGATTGCAATTGAAATCGGTGTACCGGGTGTACTGGGTGTACTGGGTGTACTGGGTGTTACTGGTAGTAAATGACAAAACAACGCAATTGCATCCAATTCGAGCGGTCCGTTTAAAACGCTCAAGCTCGTTCGCGTGGTAGACTACGATTGCGAGGCAGCCGCTAACTCTCGCCGTAGAAAGAAATATTCGATCGCATCGACGCTACTCGATGACTCCGCGGTCTTACCGTTTCTATGCCTCTAGTTATAGTCGCTGAGATCGATATTTCTGGACCGAGTCTGGTCTGGACTGGATCGGAAGCGAACCGGGACTGAACGCGAACGCGACCGATCGGACTTAACCGTTACTTAAATGAAACGGTTACCACGTAAATGATATATTTTGCGCCCTTACCTGGAACCCGATGAGAAACCGTGGACGTTTCCAGCATAGCTTCCGCGAGATCTTCTCGCAACTGATTCTCACCGCCACCGATGCCCACGCTATCGTTGTCGAGTGAATCTCCATATGCTTCCAAGAATCTTGGCGACTGCTCGTAACTGCCTACGAATACGAAATAACGAGGAAAAGGGTGTCCGAGATACTCGCTTCCCAGTTTCTTCTACTCACTTCCGGAACCGTCGGTGACAACGGGAACCAACGGCCTCGAAGTCGCATGGGGCATGTTCACCGGATTCGACCTCGCGGGTCGGGACCCACCGGTTACCCCGACTTCTATAGCCTCGGCTTCGACCAGGTTCACGGCAACCCTGCAACGTGATCGTAGATTTAAAGAAAAGATCAATCGGCTACCTCGACGCAGCGGAACACCCCGATGTCGGCAAGAAACGTCCGCCGAATGGTAGAACCCTTACCCGCTGGGAGCGTTGTAGGTTTTAAAAACGAACTGCGGCCCCATCCACAGTCTTCTGTGCGGTCCGGCGTGAGTTACAATTTCCACCTGACTGAGCCAACGGTCTTCGGCGGTGTTCAAGGGCTGCGGGTCTTTGAGCGAGAAATGATTGCAAAACAATGGACTGTTCGATGGCAACGGCGGGACGATCTCCGAGGAGGCGGGAGTCCTCAAGAGCGGCCACTGGCCTTTCGCCTCGACGTCCAGCTCGATGCTCGTGTCGTCGCACACTTTTTCTTTCGGCACCCCTGTTATTATATATGTTATATACGGATATCGCACCAATTATTTCCTCCGTAACGATACGACGAATCGTCGCTACCTACCCGCGGCTGGTTTCGGCTCCAAATCGTATTGAATCATGTTTCCGTGACAAGCCATGACGAACAAGGAATCGACCGCCCTCTTTGCGATTTTGCTCGCGGAATCTCGTTGCGAATAGATCCAGGCTCTCGGCGGGGCAAAGCAAGCACAAATTTTCAAAGGCAAACTTCCCCCGTCGTCGGAATGCAGGCGTTGCCGTTGCTGGGGTCTGCTATTTGGAAAAAGGACGAGAACGGTAAAAACGATAAAGACGATCGACTCGAGTCTATCCGGGGGGAGTTGGAAATTTTACCTGGGTTGGATTTGAGCGGTGTTGTGGCTCAGCGACGAGGGCTGACGGATTTGCGCCAGTGGGTGCAAAATCGTCGGATGGGGATACGGCGGTAATCTCGGATTAGAGTACGGGTAGACGGACAGCGGCAATTCCGCGTGAGACACCGGAGAATGAGACCTGGTACCGTCGTCGGTGAGACCCGCGCTCCGGTGGAACCGCGACAATCGATTGACCACGTGCGGAGTCGAATGCGTCCTGACGCCGACCGAACCGCCGTAGGGCGCCACGGGAAAGACGTGGGTGGTTCCACGGACCGTCGAGACGGCCGCCCACCGCGCATCGCTCGAAAACGTCATGTCCTGTTACAAGATTATTCGCTATTTATAGTTATTCGCCATTTTGGGTCCCCAGCGCTAGAGTAGGTTTACGAGCGATACCGACTTGTACTTTGGCGGTGGTATCGCCTCGATGTAGAACGTACAGATGGTGCACCGCGGCCAGGGTGGGGCCCCCCGGGTGAGGCTGTATTCTGAAGACGTGAAAATCGTGTCCCCTCTTGTCAGCCGTCATTAACAATGCTCCGGTTAAATCGAAAGTCATGGCCACTATGGCGTCACCGTGGGCGGTAAAGTGCGCGATCACGGCCTCGATCGCTCCTTCGTCTTGTTCCCTCTCGTCCTTGGCGGCCTGCAGGTCGAGTATCGTCACTACTCCGGGTTGAGTCGCGTCGGCGCCGGCATTGTTGATCGTCATCGGCGACACCGCGTTCCCTGTCAAACTGGAGGCAACCGATTCGCCCAAACCTCGAAGGCCCTTTCCCAGAGATTTGGCGGCGTACAGGACGGTCGTCGTGTAACTCTGAACGCCCTCCCCTTCGCTTCCACCGCTGCTCCTTCTTACGGGCAACAACTTCTTTTCGCTGAGGCATACGAGAGACGGCACGAAATAAACGAGACGAAGAAGATATTTAACCAACGAACAACGGGGACTAACCTGTATGCTAGCCATCTCGTTCCTAGAGCCACCGGATTTGGACTCGGCCCAGGACTTAGGTAACAAGTAGTTACCGTCAGGACATCCTCTAAAGTTCTGGCATCGAACACGGCGATCTTCTCCAGAAACGTAACCACGACCGATCTTCTGTTAGCCAAGACGTCGCAAACAGGATTTTTAAATTTTATGCTCTTTGCTTGCTCGCCGGTCCTCAGAGAAATAAAACTGACGTTGCAGAATTGTGGACCCGGACTGGCCGAATCGCATATAGCAACCATGGGTCGTTTCGAACCATACGAATCCACGTAATCGTCTCCCGTCTTTGGATTCGGTAGTACTCTGAGAGTCCGAACGACTCCTTGACGCCATGACAAAACTTCCGTTGCCTCTCCCGACGCTGCCACCACCCACACCTTAAAAAATAGTTTTAAAGAATCATGTAAAATTACTTCCGTACGGAAAGTGTTCCCTATGAAATAAATTATTAAAATCTCAAATGGGGTCACCTGTACTCCGGTTCCATAACCGAGGACTAAAAGCAGTGGTGGGGTACCGGATCCTTCGTTATAATCTGGATGTAGAATAGGGTCGTTTACGTCCGCGTACTCGAACCTTGCCCAGGATATCGACTCCTTATTTTCTGAATTTTGAGTCCCAGTGTATACCTGAAACGCAAGAATTTTTTACATTAATGCCCTAAGATTGACCGCTAATTTAATAAGTAGTAAAAAAAAAAAGTAAAACCTGTGGAACTATGTCGTTTATTATTCCAGCGACGCTATCGATGATAGACCGATCGCTAATCGGCTGAGGCGAAACAACTCGTGCCCCTTTATGAACACCCCGCCTTGGAGAATCCGCCGACATGTTTCTTGTCCACGACTACGCGTTCCTCCTAAAATACAATCTATTTATATTACGTCGTTCTTTTTCAATCGATTTCAATAATACTGTCGCGACAATGGCTACAATTAAGATCGTAAGATAAGATCGAGCTCTACGAGGAAATGGTAGAGAAAAATAAAATTTGTCTAATTAAGTAAAAACGTTAGAAGAAAATATTTCATAAGAAATACGGCAACGCGCTTCCATGAGATGTTTACCAGATTTATCATCGATGCGTCTCGACGCCACTGTCTGCAACCCGATACAACGAGGGAACGATTAATCGGCAAAACAGCTGACTCGAAATTCTTTGGATTTTTGAACGCTGCTACACGCTAGGCCAATCGGAGGGAGAGGTCTATTTTCCTTCCCGAGAGCTTACACAATCGAGGCGAGCCAGGTCAGCTGTGCTCTTGGAACGCCTGGTAAAAGAATCTCGGTGGCTTAGAGAGACCAAAGAATTTCTTGGTCAAACGTCGAAAGGTATCTCCTGTCGCATACGCGTCTCGCCCGATGCCTGCTCGATCGGGTCTCATCGTCCTTTATTCCTCGCTTTGTTAGGGCCGCGGAGCTGTCCGACTTCCGCGTCGTCCAACACACGAGACGCAAAAAATAGATCGACGGGTCCCCGCACGACAAAGACGACGGACGTTACTTCGATGGCGAATTCTTCGCGCAACGCGTTCGGCTTGGGCGACCGTCATCGTCCTCGGAGTCGCACCCCACGGAGGAAACTGAAAACCTTGCTATGGAACACTTACTTCTTCCGGAATCCGTATATTCATCGTGCGAGTCGCGCCACCATCTCGGCCAGCTGGGTCTCCTCGAGCAGCCTACTGCGTCATTCCGCGCAATTCCGCGCAATTCCGCGAGCGACGGTGATGTCACTCGGCATGCGAAACGTCGATTCTCTGAATTCTCCTTTCCGCCCGACTCCGCCTTCGACGACTCCCGGATACGTCTCGCTACCTCCTCGAGGTCGCCGTCGACATGGCCCTTTCAAGGAATCGCGTTCTCTCGCGCAACGACGAAAACAATAATCAGCTGATTCGAAGCAGAGGACGCGAACGGCGAGAGCAGGCGAGAGCAGGCGAGAGGGAACGGTCGCGACTCGCGCGTTCTAGCTCCGACCCGAGACCAGTCCGTCTCTCTCTCCCCCCCGACGGAACGAACACGAGAGAGAGAGGAAGAAGGTCGAGCGGTCTCTCGAGGCACCCGCCTCCCTCGCCCCGATCCGCCGAGGATGCGGTCAACGCGGAGCCGATGGCTCGCGACTCGAGCGACTCGAGCGACTCGAGCGATGGAGAGAGGGAACTAAGAAACGATTTCAATTCTCGCTTCCTATTCCCGGGCATTCCCGGCAATTCCCGGGGACTCGGGGCCTGCTTCACTTTTTTTCACGTAACATCGGGCATGAAAGAAAAACGGTAATTCTTCGTATTTACGGTAACCGTTGCCGACGAATCAAACGTTAAAAGAAATAATTTAGTGTACGCGTTGACCGGAAAGCCCAAGTGAATCGCGGACACGGGAAATATTATATTTGGACCGATTGGGCACGCGCAGGTACTTTTTTGGCATTCGATTCGGTATTCGCGGGGACCGAGTCACGTCCGGCGGTGCCTGCGGTTCGTTCGTCGAATGCAGTCGAATGCAGTCGAATGCAGTCAAATGCTCTTACCAGCTATTACGTTTTCCGGAGATAACGGATTGACGATATCGTCGCCGCCTAGCGGTGGAACGAATAAACCAGAAGTTATCGTTAAACCATTCTCGCTTAATTTCACTTAATTTCCCGATAAATTGCTTACAGAGGATTTTTGCCATTTCCCTTTACTTGGACCGTAACCCGAAGAACGAATCGTTCGATAAAAGGTGGAGGCTGCAATTAACGAACACGCAATTTAGGGCTCGCGAGGGCAAATTTCGAGATCCGATCCGACCGAGGGATGAGCATGAATCACAGGTGAGCCGGAAGATCCACTTGGATCTGCTTGGATCCGAGCATCGGTGGAGAGTATCGCGCCGCGGGGAATTTCACGGATCCCTCTCGTCAGACTTTGGGCAAAGATGAGCCTCGGCATATCGAAGCTCTTCTCCAAGAAGAAGATCGTTACCAACAGCGTCTCGGAGATCGGTCTCCCGACCAACGTTTCGCATCAGTTTCACGTCAGCAAAAATGCGGAGACCGGCCAGTTGGAGGGCCTCCCCGATCCTTGGATCAGGGAGCTGAACGCGCAAATCTCCAAATCCGAGCAAAACGAACACCCGGCAGCGGCTCTACAGGCCATTAAGTTTTACAATTACTCCATCAAGAAGAAGCCCCAGGAAGAAGTGTTCAAACCGTTCGTCACGGAGGATCTGATCGAGGAGGAGTCCCAAGAGATAGATAAAATTCTCTCCAAGAAGAAGTATCGTTCCGGCGATTCCGATGGATCCACGTCTGCGAGTTCGACGGAAGGACCGCAGCAGAGGCTACCCGACTTACCTCCAAAGGTAGGGAAGCCACCAAAACCTGCCCCGAGGAAGTACGTCGAAAGGATAGAGAAGACCTTGACGGAGATTCTCGAGGATCTGAATACTTACCGAACAGACGACGTCGTCGTCACGGAAGAGATTCGACCGGTCGACGAAGAAAGCCCCGTTCTGAGGAGAAGAACCGAATGTAGGGTAGGAAAGCTGAGCGACGTCGAAGTATACCAAGAACTGCGTAGCATCTGTCAGGTCGGCGATCCTAATAAAAGGTTTCAAAGGACCAAAGAGGTCGGTGCCGGTGTTTCCGGAACGGTGTTCGTTGCCACCGACCTGTTCGATGACCAAAAAGTTGCGATAAAGGACATCGACCTGTCCAAGCAACCCAAAAAGGAGCTCATTTTAACTGAAATCAAAGTACTGAAAGAGTTTCGGCATCCAAATTTAGTCAACTTCTTGGATGGGTATTTAGTGGACGAGCACTTGTGGGTTGTAATGGAATTACTCGAAGGAGGGCCCTTGACCGACGTGGTCGTCGAGACGGTTATGAAGGAGGCCCAAATTGCTGCGGTCTGCCGGGAAGTTCTCAAGGCCATTAGCTTCCTGCACTCGAGGGGCATTATTCATAGAGATATTAAATCGGATAACGTGCTTCTCGGTATGAACGGAGCTGTCAAAGTCACCGATTTTGGGTTCTGTGCAAACATCGTGGGAGACGAGAAGAGACAAACGATGGTAGGCACTCCATACTGGATGGCTCCCGAGGTAGTAACGAGGAAACAATACGGTAAGAAAGTGGATATTTGGTCCCTGGGGATCATGGCCATTGAAATGATAGAGGGGGAACCACCTTACCTGAAGGAACCTCCACTGAGAGCTTTGTACTTGATCGCTGCCATTGGAAAACCTTCCGTTCCTAGATGGGACACGCTGAGTCCGGTGTTCCAAAATTTTCTTGAGAGGTGTTTAACCGTCGAAGTCGACGACAGGGCCACTGCCGATGAACTGCTCGCTCATCCGTTTCTCAAAAATTGTGCCGATCTGTCTACCTTGACGCCCCTCATTAAGGCAGCACAGCAAATTCTTCATAAAGAATTTTTGTGACCTATCCAATGGCGGTGATGTTGGATTAATGCTTTCACAGTCATAAGTTTCCTGCATTCGAAGGGAATTAATAATAGCGACGTTGAATCCGATAATGCTTCTTGGTACAAATAGACCTATTGAAATTATCGACTTCAATCTTTGTACGAACATCAAAGGAAATAAGAAATGACGAACAGTGGTCGATACGCTTAGGTTGTGATTAAGTTTTCCAAGAACATTTGGTGCATTGTCGCTAAACGGCCCTGTGTAGTGCCCAATGTCGATAATTTTGATACAAGAAAGTTTTAGTCATTATTTAGGTGCATAGTAACTACTTTTTTACAATTAAACTCTCTGGACGATTCAACCAAAACATTTAAATATTTTCAAAGTTACTCCTGGCCAAGATGACATAATGATTCTAATACCTTTGGAGGAGGGTTAAAATTATTATCGTGAATCAGGGTCAGGGTGTACTCGAGCGATTAAACATCTTGATCAAATAATTGCCGTGGCTTCCAAAAAAAAATAGAATCGGTGGCAACGAAAGTGCTAATATAATGGTTCCGTGTCGCAACATTTGAATAAATAATCTCCTTTACAAAGACTGGCTACAAGAAGTGATACGTACAAATGAGATTTACATGAATCCTTGTGCACATGCGGGTGTCGAGTCTTTTGTACTTATTTTAGGAGTGTCAATGGTAATTAAGACCTATTTACTGATACTTGTGCTTTACGATCGGTACAACTTAAGGTATTCTTCATATTTCGTGCCAATGTTAATTGCACCTTGTTACCATATTATTCATCGCAGTAGACGACGATTAGAATCGTGGTAAAGTGTCATGCTTAAAGAACAGAATTTCTAAGAGATCGTTGTCTTCCGAAAGCCAATAAGTTTCCTTGTGATTCGAGGTGTTAACGCATAACACATTGCGTTAGATTAAATCTGTATTAAATAAGAGTATTACTGTAAAAAAGGAAAAGTAGGACCAATCGCGACAATATTCCATATTTTGTAACTTTTATAGCAACTAATCAAAGCAGACCTTTCTTTATATTAGCCTTCATCAGATTTTATGCAAAGCGCATCGATCTGACTTGGAAATAATCAGCCCTTTTTTTTTTCTTTTTTCCCGAGAACGCGGCGTTGTCCTATCGAACACTGAACCGAATTAGGGTCTAAGTTTCATGTATGTACATATAATTATAATCGCCATTTTAATTATATCCTACTTATATTCAATTTTACAAAACAATAAGTCGTTTCAACATAATCAATTACTAGTGGCTTGAACGCCGCTGAAAATCCAAAAATGTAAGACGAGACTCATCTCGTATTACAGAACTCGTAACATGATTGGTATTGACGCTTGGCCTCTTGAAAATAATTATCTAATCCAAAGATAATCAAGAGTCAAGTGAGATCGACGATGTAAACGACTTAATCGTCCCCCAAAACATACAATTCCGTGAACAATCGGGAATCTTTCCGTTGGTTTAAACAAGTGCAACAGTTTGCTTTCGAAATAGCTCTAACGTCATTCACGGCTTTCGCTATCGAAGTGACGCGACGTCCGTTACGCAACTACCTCTCTGCAGCGCCACGATAACGATACTTCCTGAGGGTATTTGCTCGGAAATATTTTTCAATTCAAAACCAGAACCACGGGAAATAAATACTTTATTTACAAGGTAATCCCATAAATTGATCTACGCTGCCTTGATCCTGGACGATAGTCTGTTTGATAACGACGTTGCACCTCTAAGTATAATCAATTATCAAGTATTGGCACAATTCACCCTGTACAAGTTCAAGTCCTAACCGTCCTATCACGCTAGGATTCTTTGAACCATATCGTCATTTCAATTTAGATGTTTACCTTTCAACGGCCACCTCTTATCAGTTCCTATTTTATTCTCTTTTTCTCCCTAATTATCTCGCGTGCAATCATCGGCTCCACCGATAACTGTCATTGAGTTGGCAATTGCACGTGGTCCTGACGTATGACCCGGTAATCGATGTCATTAATCGTCACATTTCTGAAAGGAACAAAAAAAAGAAAAAACAAAACAGTGCCCTGAGCATTATCGACCGAACGAAATGAAAGAGAAATTACTATCTCGTAGCACGTCAATCCTCTAAACGTCGAAGTGTTTGGGCTCTCTTGACAGCCAGGGTCGACGGATTCTCTAAAACGGCACGTAAAACTGCGAGAAAGTCCGCAGCTTGGTCCTCGTCGATTGCTCGCCTGTCATACGAGAGAGTCGTGGACATGGTCGTCGTCTTTTTCAGAGAATCATCTAAAACGTGCAATTAAAACGATGAAAAGTACGATTACCTATAATCGGGGAATATTTTAAGGCGAGTAATTAAATTTTCTATAATGTTTACGTCTTACCTAGAATCGAACGACCGCTTCCAATCGCAAGAATAGCAGTTTGAGGAGGATTGATGATAGCGGAGAACTCCCTTATAGCAAACATGCCGAGATTTGAGATTCTGCGTCAACGAAATGAAGGTTACGATGAATGACAGCTATGAAATAGAATATCGTCGTTTAAGCATAAATGTTTTACGTCTCTTACGTGAAAGTACCGCCCTGGAACTCTTGTGGCTTCAGTTTTCCATCTCTGGCCCTCTCCGCTAGGTCCCTGACGATTCGGGAGATCTCGGAGAGGCTTTTACTCGAGGCATCGAACACTATAGGGGTAATAAGGCCCGACGGAGTGGACACTGCCACGGAGACGTCGACTTTCGGCGCGCGTATTATCTGTGGAATGATTTAAACGAGTACAAAGATGAAAGGAAAACTGAAGCACCGACGTTTACCTGGCCATTTTGATACAGCGTGTTCACGTCGGGGCATTCCAGGAGTGCTTGAGCGACGGCCTTTACAATGAAATCATTTACCGATACCTTTGTGTTCTCTTTCTTCAGTTTATTACGTATTTCGTTGATCCGGTCTATCCGTATGTCGATCGTTGCATAGGCATGAGGAATTTCTCTCTGTCAAGGTGTAATTTTGTCAATGTACGTGTGAAAGGTTTTCGGGCTACGCTTGAAAAATAGTTTAAAAGACGCTCAATCGATCTCTTCCATTTACCTTGGACTCCGTAAGACGTTTTGCGATCACGGCTCTAATATTCGACACTTCGATATCTACATAGGATGAGGCTTCGTCTTGTACTTTTTTCTGTGCACCAGGGGACTGTGCAATTTTTTTAGCACTGGCTCCTGGAACGTTACGAAAACCATAGATGATCGCGTGTCACTTTCAGCGGTTAGTCCACGTATATTTTAAAACAAGTAATAACGTAAGACCCTTCACGCAGAATTGGGAACTCACCAGAACTTAAGTCAACCTTTTGTACATTATTTGCTTGTATATAACCTAGTACGTCGCTCTTAAGAAGGCGACTATGACGACCCGTTCCTTTAATGGAACCTGAACTTAGCTCATATTCTTCCAATAATCTCTTCACCGCTAAACCGTACACTCTGCATGGATAAATATTAATTGATATCAACTTTACGACCATTTTCAAAATATAAAGGAATACTCACTGTTCGCTCATAGGAGACCTAGTGCTCGGCGATGATGCATCGTATGCCGTCTTTGGTGCTGCAGGCAGAGTAGAACTTGCTTCCGTGGAAGATTCCACCGTGGTAGGGACCGCAACCTTTGAGAGATCCGACCCTTTTTCCATGGTTATAGCAATCAATTGCCCAACTTTCACCTTGGATCCTTCCGATACCTGTAGTTAGAATGAGACGCTATACTTTTGAAAGACGTGCTACAGGGTAAATGCTTTACTCACGAGAATCTTGGCGAGAATTCCTTCGTCGTCTATCTCAAATGTCATCACAGCCTTGTCCGTCTGAATGTCGGCCAGAGCATCTCCAGGTTCGATCGTTTCGCCTTCCTTCTTCAACCACTTAACGATGACACCATCCGTCATAGTTGGCGAAAGAGCAGGCATCAAGATATTCTGTCTAAAAGAATAGTTATTCGCGTGACCGTTTTTTTTTACAATTCTTAAAGGCAATTACGCACGTTACTCACTGTCCAGGTGGTGGTGGCTCCGATTGTTTTTTTACTGCCACTGCTTCACTGGCAGCGGATGTTCTCATAGAAGGTACGGATTCTTCTTGCGAAGATGCCTTTGCTTTTTGCGGTACTTCCACAGATTTCCAATCCTCTCCACGCTCTACCGTAAGAGCTATTAGCTCGCCGACTTTGATATCCTTCGTACCCTCTGGAACCTGATAAGAAAAATCACCTCAGCCATTGCATGGTTGTATCTCGGAATTCTATTTTTATTTTTTACCCCCAAAAGACCAAACGTTAAGCCACTTACAAGGATTTTGGCCAAGATGCTTTCGTCGTCAAACTCCATGGTAACCACTGCTTTGTCGGTTTGAATCTCAGCTATCGCATCCCCCGGTTCGATGGGGTCACCTTCCTTCTTCAGCCATTTAACGATGGTGCCCACTTCCATGGTCGGCGAGAGCGAGGGCATCGACAACTCCTTGCCTGCCACTGCATAAAAGAGAAGAACGGTACTTAGAGATCCCACTCTGGAAAGACTCGACTCACCGAGTGTACAGAGTCGACACAAAATCATTAAATCCAGAAAATCCAGATGACAGGACAACGACAGACAACAAGAAGATACCGAGAAAATTTCACCGCATTCCGAGTTCTAACCTCAAAGCGGGTCGAAAGATCGCTTTTCGACCAAATACCGTTCGTTGACTCACCATCGAGTACCCAACTTTTGTGAAACCATCGCCTCTGGTGCCTTTTAATCGCGAAAAATCGTGGCTCAAGTCGACACGCGTGTTTTAACGAAAACAACGAAATGCTACACCTCACCATTTGCGCCATTTTCGGTGATGCTCAGTGATGTTCGAGCCCCGCGCAGCCATTGACGACTGACCTATCGTGTCCTCTGCCTCGAGGTCACCTATCCGACGCCATTCGTATTCCCCTGTATTCTCTCAAATTCCTCGATCACCTCAACCGCCGAAACACCATGCGTCGCGCTCGTGATCTTCAAAAGTAGACGCGTGCTTTTTAATCCAGTGGGATATTCCGATTCGCACAGTAATCCCCCCAGAATCAATTGTCCTAAATATTCTCTGTGACATTCGAACGACCTTACGATCGATTGCCCACTCCAGGTTGGCAAGAGATCCTTCCCGCGTAACCTCCGTGTCGAATGGTCCGACTCCTGGGAAATATTTCAAATTAAATTGGGGGGTCGAGTACACTTAAAGGAATTTCCGTTGATAATAAAATTCTTAGTACGAGTTCTCACGAATTAACACGTCAACGACGTCGCTGCACCTTTTGCATTAAGGACGGTATTCCGTATAGTATTGGTAATTAGTATTAACAAAAACAATATATTTATGGTGGAACGCGGTACGACAGTTGTCCACGAATTTTGTGTAACCGTTGCGCAGAACGCTCCATAGATATACATGAAAAACGTCTACTTGTAAAAGTTCCGTATGGCACTATTTTAATATCAGTCGTGTCATCTGTAGGTTATATCATCACGAATGTAGTATAACACGGTTCCTTCTTACGATATGTCATAGGAAAGGTAGGTTTGTTAATCATCCCGAGCGACCGCGAGAATAAATTACGAACCAACGAATTAAATATTACACCCTATGCTGCTGTACCCTGTCTGTTCGCAAAGGAGCATCCAGCGCTCGACACCCTGAGCTCCGATTAATACCCTAAAAGTCTTTTTGGCTTGTCTCGTAAAAGAAAAATTCAACCGCAATTGCCGAGCAACCGTCACTCCGAACGATATAAGATGTAACGATGTATCCGGAAAATAGAAATAAGAAAGTAGACAAACGTTTTGTACAAACTTTGCTCTAGAGTGAAATTAACTTAGCTCCTAGATAAAGGAAATATGTACACACGTCAGACTTGATGAGCTGCTAATCTAAGACCGTAGAACACCCGGAATAAAATGACCTAAACGATCGAGAAAGTCCGTTTCGTCAATAGTATTGGCAGCGGTTCGAACTCTCCGAATTCCGGTACAATTATTGTCGAGATGTAAAATACAATAAATAACGAGAACGGAACGTAAGTAACAAGAGTCAATCTTTTCTAAGGCACACTTGTCACTGGCCCTGCTTTCTTATAGGAACCTCCCTGTGCATCGAGCGAGGATAAAATGTTTGCAGTCATCTTGGCACAGTCCGACGTTCGATCTTTTCCCTCGATGAAGCAAAAAGGTAATCGAAGCACCGCGGTTCTTCGATCAAAATGTCCTAGTCGATGGACAGTGCCCAAGGATGGTCCGGTACGTAGCCATACTGTATATCGGTAAGATATTTATGGCACATTTTATAAATCGGATCGGGCTGCTTAAGCGTGGGAATGGAGAGAGGTTGTCCTGCAAAATCGATGAAAGACACCGGACTGACCACGCAGGCGGTGCCGGCTCCGAATATTTCCAACAGCTGAAAGTAAAAGGGCGTCTCGTTAGAGCACTTCTGGCGAGAGATTTTTCAACGTCTGCGCTTACTCTGTTCTCGTTGAGCAACTGGCAAACTTCTCTCATGGTAATGATCCTCTCCGTAACTTTGAACCGGTTCCATTCCCTGCAAAATGCTAGAATGGAGTTCCTCGTGACTCCTGGTAAAATCAATCCATTCAGTGGAGGCGTGACCAATTCCCTCTCTGCAAACGGGAAACGCGATGATACACGGATCACGGTATTCCACGGTATTCCACGGTATTCCACGGTATTCCGAGTTTCTAATAAGAATCCAAACCGAGGGGAAATCATAATTGAAATAATTCTCATTAGTTCGTACCTCCGTTCTCATTGACGTAAGTCATGAAGACGTTCATGGTACCCACTTCCGTCACCTCGTGATCCACCCCGTAAAGCCACAACACTTGCTGCAAGCCCTTCTCGACGGCTTCTCTTTGTATTTGAATCGTCGGGGCATAGTTGCTGCCCATTTTACGATCTCCGCAACCTCCTGGCCAGGCCCTCGTGTAGCGTGGATCGGCAAGAAGCGATACTCCGGACTCGTTGGTGTCCTTGAAGTAGCTGCCCACCGGACACAGAATGACATAGAGCAGGGCCGAACTCGACGTGGCGACTCCCAACGTAGGCTACGTAACGAAACAAATTGTTACAAACGTAATTATCGCAACCCAGCTGGTCGTCTCGGACGCCTCGGATCGAAAAGGTACGTCGAACGCGTTGCATCCACGCGTGATACGGAAACCCGACCTTGTGTTCCATTTCTAATTTCCTCTGGGGTTTCTCAACGGTTCAAAGTCTTTAAAATGCGTAAGACCTCTACGTATTATAATACTATCTTGGCATAATTTAAGATTTGACGCGCCAATGCACGAGTGACGAATGACACTTTGAACATGAATATTGCATCAGTTCCGACCAAAGTGTCGGTTAATTATCACTCGACATTGACATTACATTCGAGCAGCTATCGGAATCGCTATTCCGCCGATAGATAAGAAATCGGGGAAAAATTCGAGAATTAGGAAGTTTGCGCAACCGATGTCCGCGTATCTGGTTTGTCACCCTCGACTGGGTGAAATGCATTCGTCTCCGATTCCAATTCTTATAAGTCGTATTATATCGGTATCGAACCGCCCCTGCCACGTCGATAGCAATATAAAATTAGTTTTTACCGATCGTGAAATATCCTCGCCCCAAACCCAGGGAGGTTCATCGTGGTCTTATCAATGGAGAGGCAAAACTGCCTCGATATTCGTAAACAGAGAGATAACCAAACCGGTCTCGAAGTTTCCCCGAGATAATCCCAACGAGCTAATATTTTATATCTCTTTCGAGAGATGTGTGTTACGCTTGTGAGTTTGCTCCAGTGAGCAATCCAAATCAACGAATATAATCTTGATATGTCATCGCGATCAGGTGACGTTTATTTCAATTTCTTGTCATCCAATGATACTCCGTTTACAGAAAATATCTAGCGAGTCAGATGTTGTTTTGTTAACCGCTCTGTGGATTCGATCATTGCAGACCCCTTGACAGATGATAACTCGCATGTGAACCGTGACTTCGACAAAAATCGTGCCGATAGAATAAATCCTTGCATTTCATTATACCATGGTATCAGCAAGCAAGATACAACGAGAGACAAAGTGTATCAAAGAATTGTCAAAGGTTACCATCCGCTAGTACCAGATTCTCAAACAATACTAGGTTCCTTTATCTAATTGCAACAAGAATAACAGAGAGGTCGTAGATTTATAGAGGATGAATTATGGTCCTCGTAATCAAATGCACGCATAATGGTTGGAACCATTCGGAATCTTCTGAATCCTGAAATTCTGAAACCGATTGATTGCATATTTTCGTCGGAGATAAGACGTGACCATGTTGTTACCAAACTCTGAGTCCAGTTTTATCTCGCTGCTATGACACGTCGATAGAACGACATCGCAACATCGTGCTATAACTTATCTTAGATAAACGGCATTAAGAAATTCTTCAAATGTCACAATGTCACCGACTCAAAGACATAACCTAGCGATCACCTTGTCGATTGTAAGGTAACTAACAAACTTAGCATGACCGAATAGTCTTTATTCCCTCTGTCAAGGAACGATCGTTTCTCTCATATATTTTTTCACATTACCAAATAGAATGTACTCACGTCGATTCCTATAAGCGTAGGCCGGATGTAAAGACTGGAGGCTTCGGAATGCGGAACCCATTCTTGATCTATGCCGATCAACCGATTAATACATTTAATCAAGTCCTGTCCGCTAAAAGTGGGTAGGCCACACCTTGACGCCGAGGCATTCATCCTCTCCATGTTTAATTCCGGTCTAAATATTCTGATTTTACCATCGACACCTCGGTAAGCTTTCAATCCTTCGAATAGCTAAAAGAATATCGCGCGTGCATTCACTCGCTGCTTAATTGTAATTTAAACCATGGTAAATTATCTAGTGATGTAATTAAAATTATTTTTAGAACATCCCAAAAGGTTCTTACCTCGATCGCATAATGCAACACCTTGGACGCTGGATGAATTACAAGATTCTCTAAAGGAGTGATTTCCGGCACTTGCCATCCTCCCAGTGCTTCGTGGTAAAATATCTTTAACATATGGTCCGTGAAATATTTTCCAAACGCAAGGTCGCTCACATCTGGCTTTGGTTGGAGCTGCTGGGGCCCGGCAAGTCGTACCGCGAGATCGGCATACTGGCAACACGGATAAAGCAAGATAGAGAAACGACGGTATTTACGATTAAACCAGGTTCAATAAGAAAACACTAAAATGAAACACGATACCTTGAACGAACGTTCAGGTTGAGGAGCTTCCTTATCCCTGATTTTCAACGAAGAGTTCCATCTAATATTTGACTGTAATTTATTTAACAGTCCGCTACGGGACAGTAGCTGTAATAATAACGAGACGATTAAACGATGTATCGATGATTATATAGATGCAGGACAAGGATGGTTAAATATTCTTTGGTCCCATCTCGAATGTAAAACAAATCGTACCCTCTTGGATGGAATGCTTAAACCCTCTACATAAATACAATATAAACACATGGCGATTACAATGGTTTGCACGTAAAGAGTAAAAAAGACGTTTGTGACGTAGCGATGGCACATGCGGACGTTTAATGCTTCGGCATAAAATACGTGACAAGCTTTGAACGAAATTACGAAACCACGTGCCTTGTGCCCGCGTTAGGTGGAATATTCAGAGGGTATTCTAGACATCGTTGCCCGATAATTTATTGGCAAGTTCAAGGTTTAAAACAAGCCTGGAATCGCTCGTCACGTCGGTGTCGAGAAAGCGAGATGAAAATCCCTTATCCACCCGAGTGGACGAAAAGGGTCGTTAACGTCGTAATTGACAAACTTTTATTCGAATTATGACAACACGGTATGCGTATCGAGCAAAGTAACGATAAGATAACCGCTTACCGGTCGAAGAAACACCAACCGAGCCATGAACGTCCATCGGCATATATTTATTCATTTGATCCGAGATTAGGTTATGTATCGTTCCAAGGCATGATCCATTACGAGTCAAGGAAGATGATCGATATCGATCACCGAAAAACGAAATCAATCGTGTTTTCGATACCTTTTCGATACGTTTTCGATTCGCGCGGGTCGTTTCGACCTTCTCGAAGACGTTCGAAAGGCATCGATTAACGCGAAAAAATGGAACGGTGGACGAAACTGGAGAGGTTTCGTTCCGAAGAGAGAAATCAAGTGCCGAGGAAAAAGTTGGGAAAAAGTTGGGAAAAAGATGGGGAAGAGACGCAAAAGCGAGCGGCAGTTACCCACCTTCCGGCGTAAGTGCACCATGCTTCCCTTGGGTCGTTAGAAACGCGATTCGAATCAATGGAAAGCCCTCCCGGCTTTTTAGCCCCGAACTCGCGATCCTTTTCTCATCCTCCGACCCGACTGGACCCGTTCTCACTCCTCTTTTGAGCTTGGCGATCAAACGTGATCAAACGGTGAAAATATTCGCGTCGATTTCCCGCATTCTTCCAAACGGCGGAAACGAGCCAAGAGTCTACCCTCCGGTGGAAACGGAGCCGATCGACTGACCGACCTTCGACTTGCTTCGACTCGAGCGCCCGGTAAGCTTCTGCTTCATTTCCCCGCCTTTTCGAATGATCGATTCGTTACGAACTACGGACTAATATTTTATTTATCAGCGCGTTGCCGTGGCACGAGCGGACGAAGAGAGAGATAGAGAGAGAGAGAGATAATCGCGCCGGCCGCCATGAGAAGGAAACGAAACCGAAAGTCCCGCCCCCACCCCACGTGGGAACGGAAGGTTGACGTACAAAGGAGCCGAGGAGTTATCGCCATATCGGGAAAGGGGGAGGAAAAATTGCGAAAGGGTAAGGAGGGGAGGGAAGAATACGTAGATAATATGGTTTCTAGGCCCGATAATGGGTCAACCCGGCCGTCCGGGCCTGCCTAAGAAACAAGATACCGGCTCATCTTAAAGTGTAATTTCCTTTATCGCGTCGTCGGCTCGATTAATGCCATTTCTTTTGGCCTTTCGTGCCTCGTTTCCTTTTCCATTTTCGTTCGTCGCAGCGAAGGCTATTCTTTTTTTATTTAATGCCGCCGTCCCCGACTTGCCCGTTCTAATCGCGCTTATCGCGACAACGGATTCGACCTTCGGGGAAATTTGTTTCCGTTTTTAACGATCGCTACAAATTTTATCTATTTTATTCGTAAAGAGGCGAGACATTCCCCGACGCATCGGCCATCGATCGGAACGAATTCTTTATTTCGGCGAGGGAATTCCTCGTGGAAAGATTACGGTTTATAAGTCGTGGAGGGAACTCGTACGACCCGAAAACGGAAAAGTCGGAAAAATCTCACCCGTTTCTTGATCGGTTTTCGATCGGGTGGACGAATTTCGACGAGAACTACGCCGTTCCGCGAGAGAAAAACAAAGTCTCGCAACGCTTGTGGGGGGAAATCGATGGCATATCGTTTTGTCGCCGGCAGAATTTGCGCATTCTTCCGTTGCGTTTACGTTTTCAACGTTTCCCTCGTCCGATGGCGATAAAGAGACCATTATCTCTGGAGGTTCCGATGCGCGATAACGGTCGACGATAGGCAATGGCAGAAACGTTTATTAAAACTCGTTCTTGCGTACAAACGGTACCTAGACGGAGAATAATTTTCTTTTCCCGGGCATTCCACAGAAAAATGCAGCCCTGCGCGATCGCGGCGAGTATCGATACCAAACTCGTTATTTACGTTAAGCATCTCTGGACGATGCGTTTGCCTTCGATTCCTCGGATCGAGGCGAGGAAGGGAATCGATGATAGCTTAGTACCTTGCCAAGGAGGTAAGGAGGGAGAATGGAAGAAGGATCTAGAAAGGAGTACCGGCGGAATAGCCTGGATCAGCTGTTCGCGTGTCGACGATAATCCTAACTTTATTCGATCCCACGGTTAGTTAGGGCCCCTCGACCTACCCTGGGTTTCGGTAATTAGTCACCTAATGGTTAGACGACCTTGCAAGTATCTTTGCATCACAGTCATTGGAAGGATGGTTACCATCGCGCTCTAATAATTCATGTACAAAATACGTTATCGCGCATTCCTCGATTAAATGCTTCGATCTCCGAAGGAGGTCCACTTTCGGATATCGATCTTACGATACCAATCGGATCGGAGGTCGAGATCGTTCTTTCAAAGACAAGCAGTCTTAACGAACGATACGCGATGCCTCTGTATTCTACCAAAGTACGATCTTGGTACTACCGTACTACCGGTAGCCTTTCGTCAAATTAAATATATCCATTTCTTTCCAATTTCATTAAGTCTTAAATAAATAGTCAATATCACGCTTCGCGGTATCAGTGTTTCGATGATCTCATATTTCATACGAGTCGGTCACCTTACCGTCGAACCCCGGATTCGAATTCAAAATCAATTACTATCGCAAACTCATGACGCGTCAATCGAGATTCGCCATCCTCCGTGTAGGTTCTGCAACCCATAGTGCCCGACAGATCGTACCCGTAAGTACATCGTAGTACGCGAACAAATGTGAGAAACGCGATCGAGCGTCTAACCAATTATTCGCAAGTAGGCACTTCTTCGACTAGGTTCGGGATAACTTAGACTAGTTAAGCTGTGCGCTGTTATTCCTGAGGACTCTCCGGAGTGATTCCACCTTCCTCGTTGATGGTAGTCAAGTTGCCGTTCTTTGATGCCGTCTTGCCATCGACTCCCTCCTCCTCCTCGTCGTCGTCCCGCTCCAACGTGGGCCCTGGGTCCATTCGCAGACTTCGCTCCAGGTTCTGTCGATTACGCTCTATTCTGTACTGGTTTTCCAAAATATCCCTCTTCTGATCGATATTAATAAAGTGCTTCTCAAAGCCATGGTACGCGTTGTCCTCCATGCCGTTCCAGCACTGAGCTATGGTTGGCGAAGCGTCCGGGGAACTGTCCGGGTAAAAGTATTCCCCGTAACTTCCATAAATAGGCGAGTCCGTTGCATAAGCCATTGTTGGATATGGAGCCGCAGCCGACAATCCGGTGTTTTGGGAGAAAAACATTCTTCGGTAGTGATTTTGACACGTCCCATCCTGAGAAGACAACGCAAAGTTTTCGTACTGTCGTTTTTAATGAAAAGGAAATTCTGTCGAGCCTGCTTACCGTGTTGTAATGAGAGGTAAGAGTGACTTCGGATGGCCGAGACTTAACTCTCGTGGGCTGAAAAACGCCAAGTAGCGTCCACGTTGGCAAGAAGTACTTAAGCGTCGTGACCACTATTATCATCGAGCTATAGTATAATTGGTCATGGTTGTATATCGCGCTGCATCCTGTTTCTTCTTTACCCACTAAAATAATTACTTTCGATGGATAGGTCCATTCGCGAAGAAGTAATTTTGACAAACGTTTGCTCTAGATAACTCGTCAATGGTATTACTTACCAAGAGACATTACTGCATCGAAAACAATCGATATGGCAGCCGACACCTCGTACACTGCCGTCACGAGCCAGAGGTCTCTCGCCTGAGAAGAAGTCGCGGGTAACATTAGAGCCGAAATGGCTGGGTGATTGTTACCGTGCGTCAGGAAGAGAGCAACTATGGCAAACAGTTGTACGGAGATAAAATCTGCACCCGACAGCATTAACCAATACGGACCTGTAAATGTTATAAGTTATCGTTTCCTGGTGTTTTATATTTATCGTTAAACGTAAAATAACTTGGAAAACGGTAATTAATTTACGCAAGCACTCCGTCCAAGTTCCGGTAACGTCGACCATTCCCATGAGCACAACGGTTGTACAGTACAAAGTATAGAGACAGAGTATCGGGTTGACGACATGTTGGACGATGTCGTCTCTGTGCCGTGACCTGGCAGCTACCGACCAGTGTAAGTGGCAAATAAGAATAAACTGAAGAAGCTTAAAGAAATTGGCACCAAAATTTATTTGGGGGTACTTAGTTCCTAGTACAAAGCCTGCGGCACTGTGTAAATGAAAAAAATATGTAACGTTAGTTCCTTCGATAAAGAATTTTTGCTCCGTACGGGCATGACATGACTTACCAAATGATGCATTGTACGGCTGAGACATAAAAGATGGTATAGTGGTGCATCTGCGAGTGTTTATGCCCATGGTATTTAATGATCTTTGTTGCAACGAGAACAAACGTTATCGTACCGAGTAAAATTAAAATGGTAACACGACCACAGGCTATTCCATTGTATAAATCCAAACAGCCTTTATTTATCACGTCCAATGTATCGTTACCAAACTTTCTGCTTCGAGCCATTTTTGCCTTTTATATCCATAAGTAATTTCCTGCAAAAAGCAGCTACAATTATTACATCGGCATTAAGACTTATTTAAATATCGCTTCGACGCAAAAGGCATTAGACCGAGGGAAGATGCAACGTATCGAACGATGCCCTTGAAAACTTTGTTACAGGTATCCGTCACCTTTGAGTAAGAAGAGTTTAATTACGTGTCCAATAAGTTCTTCTCGTCATGATTGCTTCCCTTACGAGTGCTCACCCCTCCAGTCACGTTTCTACCATTTGCATAGATATTCTGCATAAATTACGCATGTTGTAACGGCGTTACATATATTCTGAAAAAGCAAACTTTTCCAATGTCTCCGTTAAGCATCCTGCGATGCTCTTAAGCGATAGCACGCACATTCAACGATTTTTTAATTATATTCCTTCACCCTGTAACCAAATATCGAATCTTTAAGTCATTCTAATTTTTACCCAAGTACCGAGAAAAGTTAGTCACGCGAATGCAGCGGGTCCTATCAGAGGTGCGACGAGCTACAATAATTAACAGGAAGATACGTACCACGGGGGTCAAACAAAAAGCAGTTCACAGGCAAATCGGGTTTGACCTTATACGATCGCCAGGTGGAAGAAATGGGTGAAAACGCACCAACTTAGGTCCGACGTCCTCTAGCCTCTCACACGATCCAAACGGGACGCCCCTTTCACCTCTGCACCTTTGACCGCGTGAAAGCGCCACATGAGCGAAATACAACGGATACGACCTTCATAACTTTCGGAAGCTAATCGCGTACGATCGTTTACCTTGCCGTTTCGGAAAAACCGGAAAAATTGGAAAAACGAACCGAAACGAACAATCGATCCCGTTAAACCACGTTAAACACCAGAGATGAGTTGGGAGATTGCTCACGGGCAGCGTCGCGCGATCGCGTCCTGTGCTGCCCCCGGTGGAGAATGTGGGCGGCTAACACATTTCTGGTGGGTGCCCGCGCAATCGAATGTACATACATTACCTAAAATAAATAATTTACCATAGCTAACAGTGAATCTGGCTGAACTAAGCTATGCAGTTTTGTTTTCAGTTAAATTATATGTCGTATAAAACTCGTGACGTAAAATACCTAGTAATCTACGGTAATAAGCTACATACGTAAATTACCCAGAGTACTTTCTTAACCCTGCAAACGAGTTGCGTTGAAACGAAAACCGCTCATGTAAACGCAATCACGTGGTTGCTGCTGCTTATCGTCCTTGCATGCACACAGGTGCAATATTTTATTTAGTGTACAGCACTCGGCAGTTTATTCTAACATGTACGCGCTCGCATGGATTAATTGGAAATTAAAATTATTTTGATTCTTGTGTTTCGTCCGTGTCTCATTTGGGATTATTCTCCACGAAAAACAATCACCACACTTGTGTGCTATGGAAAACACCGATATTCATATTTTACCCGGAGAAGCCAGTTGCGATGTAAGTTGACTACAACGAAGCTTGTAATCTTTACTCGAGTACCGGTCTAATGCAACCTTTAGGTTATCGTCAACACTTGGCATAAACGAATCGGATCATTTTATATTTTCAGGATGAGAATCGTAAAGTAGAAAAGCTAAAAGAAATTTTTCTACTTCTGAAGAAAAAATTGAGTCGTTCTCAGTAAGTCTTATCACCTTCCTAATTTTTTTTACAAAGTACATAACTTTCTTATTAATTGCAGCGATTTAATACAACTATACAATGACAAGTTAAAGGAATGTGCAGTCCTAAATGCGGATTTAACGTTACTGAAGAACGAGCATGCAAAAGTTAAACGAGAATATAATCTTGTATTGAAAAAAGTCATTGGTCTTCAAATAGTACGTATCGTATCGTATCGTTAAACAAATCAGGATAATTAGTTTGATTTAACTCTAAGTTATTGTATTTCATTTAGCAAAATGAAGATTATAAGAAAGAATTGGAGGCTATGAAGAAGACGATATCTCAGCATGAGTCAAAAATTGCTGGAGATCAACGACACATGCAACAATTATTATGCAAGTTGGAAGATATCGAGGAGAAACATTCCGAGCAACGTATGGAGTCTGACTTAGAAAAATCGCTCCTTTTAAGTAGGTGAAGATTGACAAACTTAGGGTGCTAAACAAAATTGACATGTTTAAATTAAAGCATTTATTCTATTTAATTAGAAGGCAAAAATAATATTAAATGTTCATAACTTCCTTCTAGCAAAAGTTCAGGATTTGGAGAAAGAGATAAAGTCCATAAGAAAGAGTCATGGTGCAGAAAAGAAGAAACTGGACAAAATGAATAATGATAAAACTATTAAAGGAAGTGAAAAAGATTCTGTAAACAATGGTAATAAAATCTAGTTTTTTTTCTTTGTGAGACAAATTCCCAATACCTCTAATGGTGTTTCTTGTTTATTTTTAGGGCACGAGCCCGTGAAACCAGTGGCAGAGTCAAAGAGTTTAGTGGATAAAGGTACATTGACCGAAATGTATCAATCTTTGAAGGTGAACAAATCTGTACTAACGGATGAATTTTATTCCATAAAGGATGACCCTTATCCGCTTTTCTGTGCTAAATGCGAAGATAATTTGGGATCTTCGGCAGTTGAGAAAATCCACAAGGTTATGACAATGTGCCCTTTGCCTGTCGAACAAATTCTATCACCTCCACGACCTAGTAAGTTGAAAATTTTTCTATATAACACAGGGAAACCTAACATTTCTTATTTTATCGTATATGGTATTAACATGAATTAGCGATGATATATTTTTTTTGCAGAGCAACAGAAACGACAAAGTAGTACTTCAAACGATATTACTACGATCGGTAGTCTTTTCACTTCTAGAGTTGAAAATGAACAATCGGAAGATGTAACGAATAAGATGGAAGATGACATAGCCCCTAATTCAATGAAGGATTCGGTAAAAGATTTCAAGGAGGGTTTGACTTCTAACTTAGAAAGTCGTTTGAAAGATATGCTTTCTACAGAAGTAAGAACTGTATTGCAAGAAGAAATGAAGAATTTACTCGAAAAATATTTAGATAATAAGCCGAAAGATGATGGAACAATTAAATCCGAGGAGAGTATTAAAAATAGTTCAGACACTTCATCGGGGAATTCAGAAAATAGAGATTCCTCCGTTATCGACGCCTTGCAACAGCGAATCAAAAGTTTAGAGCGCAAAATGAAGAAGAAACAATTTAACCATGATCAAGGTTTTGAGAATCACTGTAATCATGCAACTTCGTCCACGCGTCACTCGAACGGACTTGAATCACTGCAGACCGATTTAATGATCAACTTGCTCAAGAAGGCAACTGGCTTAGATACTGGAACGCGGCGTCAAAGCGCTTTGAAAGTCTGCAAAAGGAGACGAAAAGGGAATTCGAAATGTAATCTGAAAAGTATTTCTCTGAAACGGAAAAAAAAGTTAAGAGCTTTTCCAAATGTTTGTGCATCGAACAATTGGTTCGTGGAACCTGTGAAGTCTTCGTGCACGCTCGAACAATCCGTCGATTCTTTCAGTCACGTAAAATTACAAAGGGAATGTAGGACCTTGGTGAAACAACAGAAAGAACGGAGAGATATTTCAAAGGCTTGCGCCTCCTTCCACCAAGAGAACCCTGAAATTATGGAAGTGCCCAGCAAAGAAGACTTGACATCCGAGAACGAAAATGGTTTCATCGATGAAACAACGTGCAATGAACAAGAGTTACCTTTTACAAACGATGACGTAAAAAAATGTTGCGACGATCCGACGCGATGTGACATAAAAGACAACGTGCAAACGTCATCGTGCACCGATAACGGAGCATCGGGCTTTTTAAACGATGCCCCTGCGTGTAAGAGGGAAGACGATGCTTCTTTCGAACCTAGAATAGCTGAGGATTTTTCAAATCAGAGTCCTTTATCTCCTGATTTAAGCGAAGGGCCTCGTCTAAAGGAAAACCTTGATTCCGAGTTGGAAGGAACATGTAACGTCGTAATCCATGAGTCTATTTATAAAGAAACGGATTACACGCGAGATAAACCGGAAACTGCTAACCCGTTGGAACATCCGACAGAGAGAATTCACTCGGTCGATCTACCCTCTGAATCCACGAATAATTCAAGATTGGAAGGAAACGAAATTATCGAAACAGAGATAGATAATTCAGGTAGTAGCCCTGGTTCTCCGGTCGGAGAGGATGATAAAGAGAACCCGGGAAACCGATTTTCAGATAATCTACAAAATGACGAGAAAGAGTTGGAAAAGGAAGGATTAACGGTGGATTCGGTTTCGACGACATCGGTCCGGATGGAACCCGAAGCGGGTAGTCCCATCTCACCCCCGAAAGTGACGTCGCGGCCAGGTTTCTCCAATTTTGCTCACAAACTGCCCTCTTTGGAGCGAATATTACGACCGAGGGCATCGAAAAACGAAGAAATTGGCCAGGGAAATGACGACGGTGCAAAAGGGAATGCAGGGAAGGGGGTCTCTTTGCGTGAATGCGAATTGTCCTTAAATGCCGATTACCCCCTTAGTCCCGAGAATTTGAGGGACTATGGGGACCGTGCAAGGGAAATCTCCGAAGATACGTCCGGAAGGAAGAGAAAACGCAGGGAAGAGGATGACGAGAATTCTCTATTCGTTTCGCGCCTCGGGGACGAGGGAAATTCGGACGATTCATCGAACAGCGACGGCGATACCGACATTAGCGCCGATGATTCCGAATTGATAATGGATATAGATACGAATTCTGAGCGCTTCGAGGGCAATGTCGTCCTCGCTAAAGAACGATTCATTAGCGAGGAAACGGCGAAATCCGTGAAAGGAATTCGTTTCGTAAGATCCACCGGGAGTCCGGAGTCCCTGAATCGTTCGGGGAAAATTGGACCAACGGGTTGCAAAGATAGAGGGAAATTCACGAACGCGGGGCGGGCTTCAAAGGTTTCTCGATTATCGTCGGACGATGAAGGGATTTCGATTACGGAGGTACATTCCGGTGGCTGGGCGAAAAATGTAGAACTCGTACCCGAAGAACTCTTTCAACCGGATTATACTCCGGACGAGGTGCAACTTGTCGTTGGCACGGAAAAAAATTCTTCCGTGGCAGCGACGGAATCTTTACGAAATTCTAAGGCAAGCGGAAAAACTGATCACGTTACGAAATTAGAAACGAAACGGAAGAAATTCTTCACTTTGTTCGATGACTATTCGGCTTTGGAAACGAATATTGACGGTAAGAACGGCAAGGATGGCCAAAACGAAAATTCCGAGGACGAGTCTACGAGTTCCTCCTTACCCGAGGATTGGGATCGGAATCGGGATCGGAATCGGGATCGGAATCGGGATCGGAATCGGGATCGGAATCGGGATCGATGCGGCGTAAGCGCGGATGAAAAATCTAAAGATCTAAGCGAGATCCAACGCTCGCGGAATTCCCTTCCGAACGGCTCCACCGTAGGATTTGTAGAAAAATCCGAAGAACGTAAGTGGAAACGCACGGCACGGGAAAACACGAAATTATCTCGATCGTTCGAGGTAGACGACGTTCCACGACCGATCGCGAAGAAGAATTTTACTAACGTAAAACTCGAGAGAAGTTCCGCGAGCATCGCGACATCGAAAAGGGACGTCGGGAGTAAGGAGGAATCGTTCGAAGAGGATTTCTCGCGCGACAAAGGCGACCCGCGAGCTAGCGGCCACGAAATAAACGCGTCCAGAGAGGAGAAGGCAGGGATCGATCGCGAGGGCGAAACGCCTAAAGGAAATAGTAATTCGCCGTTGAAAGTGGATTACGATCGGCACGAACCGATCGAATTACTTCGGCAAAATATACAAAAGCGCTTAGACCCCTTAAGGACGAAAACCAAGTCTAAAAAGGCTAAACAGGCTAGGAAGGCTAAACTCGAAAAGCTGACTTCGAAAGGTGAGGAGGAACGAGAGTACACCGTAACCGCGGAGACACCGCGCGTCTTACCTACCTACTTCTCATTTCAGAGACGTTCGCGAACTTCCAGCTAAACCGGCTCCTCGAGGACAGCGAATGGTCCAGTGCGATCCTCCTGGACGTGGTGCACCAACTGTCCCGGTCCTGCAAACCACGCGTGATCGGAAAGTCGGTATCAACCGTTCAAAGTATTTAGAGACCCCCATCTATTCGGTGCCCTTTTCCTTCCTTACAGAAGCGTCATAGAGGTGCTGTGCAAAGAAGGCCCGAAAGAGGAACCTTTGGACAGAACGCACACACCTCCGGCCCCGCTAATGACAAAAACCGAGCAGAGAATCGTGGCTTTCCTGGTCACCCTTGAGAACACCCGCTTTCCGATAATCGAGCTGGTACAAATGGGTATCGAGTACAAAATCTTTCGGCTTAACTGTACTCCTATGGTAACTCTCCTTTTTCTCATATATCGACCGGTCGATACGTACTTTTCTCAATTGGTTTCTTTCGTTGGACAGTTCGTCGTCGTCGAGTCGTTAACTCGAATGTACGCGGTGTTATGCCGGATACAAAAGGACCGAGAAAAAGTACGAATGCTCTGCTGCGATGCGCTGTACTGCCTCGGAGTTAAGGCTCTTCCTCTCATGTACGTGGTTTTTACTTCCTGGCCAGAAGTTTTTCCTATGGCGGATACTAGCAAAGGTAAAATATATACCCGAATTGCTCCAGATGCGGTTAATGGAACTCTAAGAGTTTTACCTATTTCCAGAAATACTGCCAAAGTGCATAGTCTATAGTATCATGACCTCGCAAGAAGGATCGCAGCTGATAAAACTCGCCCCGCTTAAGAGAATGATCTCGGTCTATTACAAATATGAGCCGAGTAAACACCGGGCCAGCGACATGTTGGTCGAATTGATGAGTTCTCTTAAGGGTACGTTACGAATTGGTCCACTTTCTTGTACCGAGTATTTTTAACGCCGCGATCGTTTCTTTTTACAGAGGAGTACCGTAACGGGTTGAATACCGCGTTGATCCTTCTCGCGAAACACGAAGGCACCGACTGGACGTATAAAAACGTCGTTCGAGGAGGTCTATTGCAAATGATAGTCACAAGGGAACATCCTTCGATGTACGACGCTTTTTGTTTGTTGGGTAAGTATCGGCATGGTATACGATAAGCGATCATCCGTTTGGCGAGTTCAAAATCCATTTTCGTGTAGATTTTTAAACGATCGTATCCTTTTCGTAGTCTCGAGATATTTATTTTCTGCCAATATTTCTATTCCCGCTCTATTATCGCGATTCTCTTGGTGCTACTTCTACCAGCTACTTGGCGCTCGCTTTTCCATCCAGGTTACATCTTGCGATCGTTTCCCGTGAAAGATGCCGAAAAACGCGTGGCCGATATTATCGAACAACTGTGCGACCTCCTCGAGTCCGGCCAGGGTAAACCGATAACGATTATTTCTTTCCACTTGGGGGGCGGAAAGAGCGGGGATAACGTAGGATCTCTTTCTTCTACAGGGTCGAGTGACGAGCAGGAGGGAATCGCTTCGGCGTTGCTGTGTCTCTCGAGGCATCGATTCGAGAAAGCCATCGGCTCGGTCCTGAAATGGAAACCCTCGAGGAAATTATACCCGACAACCCTACGGCAACTCGAGTCACTTTTCACGGCCCGATCACCGAGCGGATGGCAAAAAGTTATAAAAACCATTAACCTCGTCAAATAATGCCGACAGTTTCAACGCGAGCGGCGTTAAAAATTATCCGAACCCGTAAGTTAATCCTCGTCTTTTTTTTTTTTTTTTTTTTTCTTTTTTACGCCGTACGTAAGGAATACAACGAGCGAATGCAATATTTCTTTAATGCTCGTTTAGCTATTAAACGGGGTTTCATGAAAATGTACAGGATTACGGTATTACGGTAATGCCAGGAATGCCGGTAAACGGTCGCGAACCCCATTAACCCCAGAAAGGTGAGACTTCTAGCGTGAAATCGTGAGCAAGACATCTATGTTACCATTGATCTACTGGAAATACAATTGTTTCGTAATACGGCATTAACCTCTTTTCGTTCAAGAAAAACAATACGAAATTCGTGGTGTTACCTTCACTTGATAAAATCGTTGGCGAATGGGCAATGGGGAAGGGTGAGAAATCGAGAAGAAAGTCTCGAGATGGAGCGTGGTCGGTTAAGTTTAATTAGCGGATATGGTAGGCCCTAGTTTTCGCATCAGCTCGTAGCATTCCTGAAGGCGTTTCCGGTCTCCGATCCTTTCGAGGGTCTTGGCGGCCTCGGCGAGCATGCCGGCCCTTTCGCCGGGCGAAGACAGCAAAAGCGTCGGCAAATGACGGCACGCCAGGCACAAAGCGACCGCGTGTTCTCGATCCCCGTTGCAGTGTTCCTGCGAGCGATCCTTTCCGCAGATGATGGACGAACGCGAATTCCTGTGACGCAGGCTGCGATCCAAAAGAATCTGGGTTTTGACGGGTGTTGCTCCCGCCATCATGCGCGCCGTCGCTTCGTACAGGAACACCCTCGTCAGTACTGACTGAAAACGTTGAATTTCACAGGTCGAGCTTTTTTTTCTTTTCTTTTTTTTTTTAATCGGGGCTATGGATCCGTGCCGCAACGGACGCTTACCGGAATTCGTTGACACAATTGTCTCAGACAGGCCAAATCTCTCTGGAAGCCGGCCAGAGAGGCACCGGAGGCTGGACATCCCGTCTCCGCGTCCGTATCTTCCCACATCATCGTGCGGATCTCGAGCATCCAATCGCACAGCCACAATTGCGTTAACTGAAGAGAGGAACGTCCGGTTAAGCGCAACATTCCGGAGTCGAACGATCGATCCCCGATTAACGCGAACGAGCTCGTGCACAAAGGATTAAATTAAACGTATTGTTTACGAAGTCCTGAAACTTAATCGAACGACGCTGCCACGTCCTGCCACGAAAATTGCACTGTAGAAGAATTGCACCGTTCACGTTACGTGCAATGCAACTACAATGCACCCTCGTAACGGACCCGGAACTCGAGTCCTAGGCCCTCGGGAGACTCGACCCTGGATCGTTGTCGAGTCGATCGTGCAACTATGTTACGGAACGGTCGTCCATACCAGAATATTTTGCGACGATTGCTCCTTGCAGTGATAATAAACCAAGGACTGCTCGAGGAGAGTTCCCGCTTGGTCGATGAGACGCATGGACGCGTGCCTGGCGGGACACCGGGCAGCCTGCAATACGCAGAGCACGGCTTTCGGCAGGGGGTTCCCGTCGCCGGTGCCGAGGCACTGCTGGACGTCCTTGTCGTAGGGAAACCTGTTCTCCACGACGTCCCACAGGGAGTCGTCCATCTCTCCCAGCCTCCAGCTGGCCGTCGTTACCAGAACCGCGCCCCACCAGAGACCGAACTCGTCCTCGCATCCTAAAGGGGACAACGGAAGACCGTGAGTCGACGCGGTCAGACGGTGGCTCGAATTCTTACCATCGGCGGTCGCGTCGTCGTTCTTGGAAAAGCATCTGTCCACGGTGGCGGAGGTAACGACGCCCTTTGCCAGTTCCAGAACTATGGAGGCGGGCGAATCCCCGGCGGTCCCCGTGAGTAGCCTCAAACACTGTCCGATCAGGTGCTCCCGGTACGCCCTGGCGGCGTACGAGACCAAGTCGGCCCTGTTACTCTGCGAGGTGAACTCGCTGCTGCCGACTCGATCGTCGTATCGCCACTTCTGGGAGACGAGGAACTTGCCTCCCTCCTCGGTGGTGATCCACTTTAACTTGGGCGGCACGAAGCAGGACGCCAACAGGCTCCTCGCCTTTCCCAGGTAGTACTTGTGGACGAACGGGAGGAAGGACCGCTTCAAGCAGAGGGCCGCGTTTATGTAGAATTCCGCCAGCATCGGCTTCGGGGTGCAATCTCGGGCGAGTTCCCCGCAGTTGACGGAGGTGAGCGCGAGGAAGAGCGAGCCGCTGTCCGAGCCTTGCGGCAGGCGAAGACAGAGCAGGTGTCGATAGACCATGGCCATCTCCAGGGCGACGGTCTCCGCCTGCTCCCCGAGGCGCCTCTTCGCGAAGAACACGAGCTTCCCCAGCCAGAGCTTGTGGAGCAGCTGGCGCGTCACCTGCCACAGAGTGGCCAGGTAGATCTCGCTCCTGGAGGTAGGGATCGCTCGACCGAAGTAACGCAGGCAGCGGTTCAGGTCGCCGTGGGCTTGCTCGTAATTCCGCCTCGAGATGTTGAACTCGGCCTGACGCCTCCAGCGACGCACTTCCAGGAACTCCTTGCCGTTGGACGAAAGCACGGGTTCTCCGTGGGACAGGAGCTTGTAGAGACCTCCGAAGAGTAAAACGATGTTCGCGACCCAGAGCAGAATCGTCCCCCCGACTCCGGTCTCCGACTCGGCTTGATCTGAGGAATTCGAGCGCGGTTTAATTATATCGGGGTGGCTTCGAGCGAAGCTCGTTCGATTACCTTGATAAGTCAGGATCGTTCTGCCGTCCAACCTCGTGCCAGAGTAATCGAAGCTGGACCTGCCAACGCTATTGACGAGTACTCCGAGAGGATTGAAGGCCAAGCATACGAAGAGAATGGCGCACAGAGTAAGACGAGTGTGATCTCCCATCCCTCTGTTCGCCGTGACGGAGGAGCAGTGCAGGTTGTGCATAGTGTCCGGATCGTCCTTGATCTGCAGGGAATCTGCCGGGGACGGTGGAGACGGTGGAGCCGGAGCTGGTGACAGCGAAGGCTCGCTGGTGTCGGAACGAGGTGGCGTTAATTCCCCGCACACCAAAAGCTCTCGCAAATTGTGTCTTTGCGCAGTCATTTTCAACGACATATTTTCTGCCTTTAACTTCGCGTTCGAGTTCTGCAAAAACCTGAGAAACGATCGTTCACGCAATTTGATTTCGTTTCATCGAGAGAACCTTCCCAGAGAATATTTGCCAATCTTTGGCAATTTTCGTAACGTTGCGATTAAGAAAAATATTTCTAAAGACCGAAGAAATTATGAGGTATGCTTTACCTGATGTAATCTATGGTCTTGCGCAAGATTGCCGATTTGTTAAGTTTTGCATCCACGCCTACTATAATGTTTTTTAATTCAACGATTTTATCGTTGATGGAGGTCCTGTAACGTCTTTCGATGGCATTGTGAGCACTGCGCTTAACTTCTCGTACTTTCGGCACGCAAACGTGTGTACCCGTATTGATACGATTAATTTGTACTTTTTCTGTATCCAAAACTACAGGAATTCCTGAAACGGATCAAACGCATGATGCAAGGAATGCTAGTCCATTAGTAGCAGCATATGGTTTAAACCTGTGAACGTGGAATTAATCTAGAGTAAGAATGACGTAGCGGAATCATGGATTCACCTGTAGCATAGAGAGTTCCGTTGCCTGCATTTACGAGAGTATGTATCCGGGGTGAACTCGAATTAGAAGTCGTCGCTTGAGAGCTTCTCGAATAAGGCACCGACTCCGACGTAATAAGTTTTGCAGGTAGGAAGAGCTGTCTATGTTGGGGGGTGACCGGTGCCAAAGTTACAACCGGAGGCTGAACGTTAAAGTTCATATTTTGATGCAAAGTGTACTGTGAACTAAAGACCATAGGCGTAGCTGCCGTGGTTGTCTTTTGTGGCCTATTTTGTGGCGACACCGGATTAAGAGCAACTACCGCCGGCTGTTGCGTATCCGTCGGAGGCAAGATTTCAGTTTCGGTCCTTGGTTGCTCCAAAATTCCAGGATCCTTGTAATCGGGTCCTTCGATTCCATCCATGTTAAGAAAGTCAAAAGTGTCACCATCCATAGGTATTGGCTTTTCCAGCTCGGAGAGTAGCGTTTCGTCGCTAAAAAGACTCTCATTCTTCAGGAGTTCCGTCTCGCAACTTGTCAGTAAATCTGTAATCTCCAAAGCCATGTATTTAACAAAAATATTTGAGGAAACTTTTACAACTATTACTTTTATTAGATATTTCTTTAATGGCATTTCAAAGAAATATTAATTTTAATTGTATATAGCAATGAATAATAATAATTATTATTAATATTAGATTAAACAGAGCCGATATAAATGTATATTATAATCGAGAGACTTGGGAACCAAAACGACGTACGTAATGTGGGGAATTTATAGCGGTCAATGAGTAATTATAATTAAAACAAAAAATAAACGTGCCCCCCTGGGCATAGTTTCTATTTGACATATGATTAACGGGTTTCGTGACAACATGGTGACGGAATACACTTCTCACGACTCGTAACGATATTACTTGTTAATCAATGCCTAACATCGCATCGATACGACCAGTCCTAATTATATATAATACGTTAAATTGAAAGGAACGAGAGGCCGTCTGCATAGTACGTACCGTCAAAGCCGCTCATCTCACTTAAATTAAATCCGTCATTGGCAGGGAAATTCGGGAAAGCGGCGTCTTGAGCCGGACCGTTCCAGCTCGCCGAGTCTGCCATTATTTTCCGAACACTTTCTTGATGAAATTAATCTTTTCCTGTAAACACTTCGCGGAGATGTGTCAAATGCAGTAACCAAAAATTACGAGTGATCGAAAGATCCCTTCGTCGACCAATCGGAGAGACGAGTAAACATCGCATGATATTACGTCACGACCATTGGTTGTTTCGGACAGTTTCGGAAGAGAAGGGAGACGGCGTGTTCCTCACGCGTGGCGCCGTCTTCGAAAACGAGACCGAACGAAACGAAATATGGGCAATTCGCATTGGTCTTTTATCGCGACTTTCAAGCCATTTTGGCGCACCGAAGTCGCTACCATGGAGTAAGCACAATCCAAAGGCAGAGATACATATATACATAAATATGTACATCGTCAAAAGCCTCGACGTTCTCAGTCTCTTGCGCTCGTATGCGAGATATGCGCAAGATTGCGCAAGATCACGCAAGATGGACCAAGATGGACGAGCTGGGCGGCTCGGCAGAGAGAGAAGTAATCAAATTTGGGCGTGAACTAAGAAAAGAGGAACGCGGTAGTCCAATGGATGAAGAAACGATAAAACCAAAGGACGAGGCGGAGAACAATGGCTTGGATGGCAATGTGGTATTATGTTCCGAAAACTTAGAAGATAATGAGCGCAAAATTATGAAGGGTGACGCAGTGGGAGATACAATGTATAGTGCATCCTGGATACTTCGTACCATCATATCGTTAACAAAGGTGGTTTATTTACAGGGGGGAATATTTTTTTAGACGTTGAAGTAAGCTATCTCATTAGAACAAGGCCTGTTGTGATCTAATAACAGCGTATACGTTCTTCCAGGCAGAGGACGTAAAATTTACGGATACTCTAGAAATTGAGCTATGTTCTTTATGGGATATGACCGCTCAGGAGGATGTCGTTACATTCTTATTAGACAATAACTTTCTGGATATAGCAGAACACGTATTGCGGTCATCCAAAAATAATAGATTAACGGTTTGTAGTGCTAATGCTTTAAGAATATTTTACAGTTTTAAAATGACATCAAAACATTAGTTACGGTTATTAGGAAATCATTCTAGGGATCATTGGCAATATGTGCTGCCAACCGGTGGTATTGAGGGATGTTGGTAATCGGAAAAATCTTGTCGTGGCAATATTAGATCTGTTGACATCCGACGATACCGAGACTTTGATTCAAGTTCTTAGAATTGTCAGAGCAGCTACCTGGGACGTGCAGAGAAATGACGAATCGGCATGGCTGGAGAATATAAGAGCATGTCAATTCTTTGGGGAAGCACTTCTTTTCCTCCTGCAAAGCTCTACCAACGGTACTTCGATACATAAAAAAATTACATCGTTAACGATATTTTGTAAATGATTGTAATTCTTTCAGAGAACTTATTGACCACCGCTATAGATTTACTGAAATCAATTTCCTCGATCAAATTGCCAAATGGCTCGAACTTGTTATTTAACTTAGTTAACATCGAAGGAATAATACCTGCTTTATTTGAATCGGCGGCTCAAGTGATCTCGGAGCAAGGATTTTACTTGCAAAGTCAGCAGAGGAAGATAAGAAATTGGCTTGCCGTTTTACGCAGTATAGTGCAAGACCATCAATTTGCTATTAAGAAAGATGAGCCGGATGAAAGTTCACAATATGGATTAAATCTCTTACTAAAAATATTAGAACCTTACGTACACTCTGAAAATCTGTTTCCAATGGAAGAAGAGACTGCTCTCTGCATTTCGGATTGCGTCGAAATATGTCTATGGTTTCAGAAAAAGGGTGCCATCGTATCCCCTCTATTGGTTCATGTAATTCTATCGATATTACTAATCCTTAAATCAGGTATCTTCCATTTCCATTTTATGTCTCTATACTTTTGCACGCTTGCATTTTCTATATTTCTTCAATTCCATTCATTTATAATTCTGAAACATTTTATAGCCGTGGCAACCGATACGGAAAGTCTTAGACGATTTCACTTAAATCACGAAGAACATTTTGAAGAACCCGAAGAACTGCTCAACAGAGAATTCTCTAAGGAACTTTTGCAATACCTGGAAAACTATTGGGTAGACACCGTTGGTACATATAACAAGGATATGCTTACAAAATGTTTAAAATTATGTTCAAACGAGGCGGTGAAGTCCCTGGTACAAATCATTGAACGTAATCCCAAGTCTTCAAAGACGATCGTAGAGAAGCTTCGTGCCGTTATTTAATTATTTCAATAAATCTAAATTAAGTGATTACATATTTCAATAAATTATTTGTATAAAGCAAAATGGATCTTAATTTACTTTAATTGCTGGGTACTTATCTCTGGCTATATGATCTATAAATTATTTAGCCTAACTTCCTGTGGGCACAGATAAAATTCTTATCCTAAGAAGACCAAACATTAAGTTTAAACAGGGTCAGCGATGCGCGCTCATGTTACATAGAACGAAATATGCTTTGACTTGGGGCGTATGCGCGGTTCCCCGTACTGACGCCGACCCAGCGAGCATACTTCCTAACGAGGCACGTAACCGATCTATTGTCAACTGTTCTCGACTCACTGCGACTCACCGCGTGTATACGGTAACTCGAGCTGATCGAGCAAATGACTGGCGGCCAAACGCGTACACCATTCATGATTTCCCTACCACCCCTGCCACTCTGCCCAACGCCACCCAACGCCGTCCGTCACCAACGTCATTCGAGCAACGACGAGCGAACGGGGCGACCGCGGCAGATTCAACCAGATTCAACAGGGAAAAGCGGAAAAGGAGTAAATCTTTTTTTCTTTTTTTTTTGCTCAAGGGCCGCGGTCTCTTGCGCACGTCGCGTCCAGTTACCGGATTTTTTGGAAAAAGAAATTTAAACCACCCCGTAAAGAAACATGAAATGTGCTGCATCCATCGAAGACGTAAGTCAATTTTCTCCCGCATAAGCAGGGTTGGATAATTTCACGTTTTCCGAGCCTTTCGAGTTTTTCGAGCTTCTCGAGCTTCTCGAGCTTTTCGTGGTATATTACATAATTCACGTAGTTTACCGTAGAAAATCATAGGAAACTAGTAAATTACGTTTCCAATGTGGCATCTGCAAGGTTATAAACATGTTAGCACATACGTAAAAACGTAAATATTTTTATTGAATAATACGTTAATTTGGCGCCTATGTTCAAAATTCTTTTGACTTAACACCGTTTAATATCAAATTTTTAACTGGATATATTATTTTCTATTTAAAAATAGAAGGGCGTAATATACTTCACGCACGTGTAAAAAATTAGGGACGTATATACGTTGTAAGGTACGCGTAGAAAACCATGTATATTACATGACGTATTATATTTACCCAATCTTGCCACATTAGTATTACATACGCTTGGACATTTAAAGAGAGGAAGCCTTATATTATTGTGACTTTTTAGTTTCCTGTTTTGAAGTTACCCCACGTGTACATGAAAGATGAGGCCCAGGTACTTCGTACCATTAACAGGATGATCGAAGCCGGCTCCGACAAGTTACAAGTACGTTCAAATGTTACTTATTAATCGTGGTTTAACTTTTTAATGATCGTTAATTTTGAAAGTGGTATTTTCATCTATCATTTAAAAGGTTATTACAGATTTCGATCTGACTTGTACAAAACAGCACGTAAATGGCAAACCAGTTTTGACTTCATTTGGTGAGTACTTTGGAAAGTTTAGTTAGGGTACGCAGTAAAAGTTAGTAATTTGTCATGGGAAGGGCACGAGTATAATGCGATTAAAGGCTCGAATGAAAATTTTTCATAGAACTTTGAATGGTGATGCATTAAATTAGAATATGCCGTTATTATTTGTACAGGGATATTTGGAAAATGTACACAGCTCCCGGTAACATATGCAGTTGAGTCAAAAAAACTGTACAAGAAGTATCGACCCATTGAAATCGATCCAGAATTGTCGGTAAACAATAAAACCGAAGCAATGAACGAATGGATGGTAGCGGCTGAAAAGTTATTATGTGGATTCGAATTTGATTCAAAAGAACTAGCCGAAGTTGCTAAAAAGTATGGAACGGCTTTAAGAGATGGTACAAAGGATTTGTTCGAGAAGCTGTTCGAAGCTAAAGTACCTATCTTGGTATTTAGTGCGGGACTGGGAGATGTAGTCGAAGCGGTACTCAAAGACCAAGATGTCTTATTTAAAAACGTCAAGGTTATATCAAACTTCCTTAAATACGATGGTAGGAAGTTGAATGGCTTCCAACAGGACAGATTCATACATGTCTTCAACAAAAACGAACACGCAATAAATGGCGAGTATTTTCAAATCCTCGAAGGAAGAGGAAACGTATTACTGATGGGAGATTCCATAGGCGATGCCAACATGGCAGATGGAGTTAAAGATCTTGAAGCCATTTTAAGGATCGGCTTCCTTTATGATCATGTAAAGTATAATTTGGCAAACATTAATTGAAATGCTAAACTGTCAAACGGATACTATCATCGTTTTTTCACAGGCGGAGGCAAGTTTGCCTGCATATATGGAAGCATTTGACATCGTTCTGGTGGATGATCAGACAATGAACGTGTCAAGGGATATAACAAAGAAGATTTTAGAGTAACTTGCCATGAACTAAATCGATGGGTCTGAGGATGCTACTGCTGAAAAGTAAAGGGAATTGCCCCGCACCTGTATAAATTTGCATTTTTAATTGTAAGGAGTTAAACGAACCGCATCATGCATTTTTCACTTAATCGACAGCGTAGATGGGAAGGTTAGAGTTACAAGAGGTCAGAGTCCGTACTGACACTGCGCAGAAAGAATTTACTTTATTTTATGTTGAAATGGTTCTTCGTTACTGCCTTGACAAACTTTTGTCGATCTTCAGCTGCGAGTTTTTTTTAATCTTTTGTCCATCACTTTTCTTTTGCCCGCGTGACACTCCGTCGAAATTGAGTAACCGCAAGTAATTATGTTTTATCTGACAAATTGTCGCCGTTATTTTCGCTGAAAGTCTCTTTACAATAAATGTCTTTGTACTTTTAACTTTGGGACATTTTTAAAAGAGTCCTACCATCCTTTATGTACCCTATTATTTTGCCGAAAACTTCTCTTTGATTAGAATAAATTGAATTCCATTATCTTGTGTATTCAGGTTACTACCCAAGGATTTATACGAATGTCTGTTTTATTTTTTATATTTCTAATCTGCGTCACAGACGTTACAACAAATAAATTTCACGAATGACAAAAATAAGTCAAGACACTTCTTTTGTATGAATTTAGATGTAAACGATAAATCAAAGATAGTATTACACTCGTGTATAAAAAATAATACTTTCAAGTGCATTTTTTATTAGTCCTTCTCTCATAACTCAATTAATATGCAAAAAAAAAAAAACAATATTAAACGGTAATAACTGACAAAGGAATAAAAAGAAATGGTTTTTGTAATTTTTGTTTGTTATTAGTACCGTTGATAATTCGAATCCAATGATAACTCTTAACTTGTAACGCAAGTTTTAATACGCAAGACCTGTATTCAATCGGTACGACAAAAATTAGGTTGTCAGTTTATGATGTAGATGAATGCGCAATGTGTTTATACGAGGAGTAAGCAAATGAAATGTACACGTACGTAATCAAGCTCATCACGTCAGTCATAAAATCGTTCCCGATGTCACATTTATGATGCGAAAACATTTTTCTAGAAATTTCCAATGAACCAATCAACGTGAATCCCGGACACGTATTCGCGATTGTAAATTCCTGCCGTAGAAGTAAAACGGATCGAGGGCACGGAAGTACCCCAAAAATTAAAAATCCCTTCGATTGGATAACGCTGAGAAACTAAATAAAGTCCACGGTGAATAAAAAGACACTTGGCAGAGTGTCGCTCCAAATAACACTTTTACTGAAAATAGCTACGTTATCGGACAATCTTAAAAACGGAGCGCGAAACTTGCCTGCTTTCGGTTCACTAAATGGGACGGGATCCCGCGTTTCTTACGTAAACGTATTTTTCTAAGATCTCTTCGATGGACCGAAAGTTCCATGGAGACTCCGAGCAGACGCTCGAGAGCGATACTATGTTCTTGGCGTAGAAACCGATAAGGAAGATCAGGATGCACCAGAAAATCGGACACCACTTTGCGCAAACGGTTTGCATCCGAGGTGGCATTGAATTCTCGAGGCTGAAACAAATAAATGCAGAGGGCAATAATAATTAAAAGTTGGCAGAATTCTCCGTTAAGGTGGGAAAAGAGACGTGCCAGTTTTTGGATCCCGATTTACGGGACGCCGTGAGATCCATCGAGGGCAGAGCGAGGGCGAGGGCGAGGGCGTCGGTGGACACGGCACGGGTCTCGTCGACTTCTTCTCCGGAATCCGCGTCGTTGGACCGTTCTCGAAGAGAATCGGGACCGTCTTCCGGATTACGAGATAATAACTCGGACGCAGTTTCGGTCCCGAGCGGTTCGCGCACGATACTTAGGCAACAAAAGTAAATGTTATTATGTACGATTACCGCTTTCGTTTACGTAGATTCCAACTCACTTTGTTCCGTCCAGAGCAAAGGTCTCCCATTTTTGGATCTCAAACGTGAACGAAGGTTGTCTCGTAATTATTCTTCCGCAAACGGACTTTCGTTGCATCGCGCCTTCCTGTACAGAGAGATAACGATTAGGAGAGAGACAAAGGCTCCTTTTTAATCCTTTTAAGCGGATCGTCAATTAAGCGCGTAAAAGCGATTCGGATGTCTAAATGACACCTGGGCCAGCGAAACCTCGACCAGGGGACGAATGCGATTATTTTGCTAGGGGCAATATTGGTTACGGGATGCGCTAGGATAAACAATACGGTTAAAACGCATGGATTCCACTGGCAAAGCCGAGAGATTTCTCTCTAGTCAGGGACTAGAATGGGACTAGAATGGAACAAGAGTCGAAAATAGAAATTGCCTTGACGATATCCTGGAGAGTTCCCGGCGAACGCGAAACCGTAGCCACGCTGGCCCTCCTCCGGACGATCTAAACAAGGAATAAAATGATAAACCAAGAGTAGGGAGAGAGGGCTCCGATCTGGATACTCTCTCGCACCATTCCACGATTATCGGATGTCCAGGTACGATATCGCCCTCCGAGAGCGTCGGCTGCGATCGGCCCTCGCGAGTTTTCTCCGACGCCCAGGATATCGTTCTCCCGGAGGACTCGCCTGGAATGGATACGAAATTTCAATTCCTCTCCCGCGCTCGAGACCAAAGACTAACGAGGATCGCGGCCAGTCCTCACTTGCTCTCCTTGAGTTCCTCGGCGAGCCTCTCGCACCTTGCTCTGATAATTCTCAGGTATTTATCAGCGATCGAGGATGCCCTCGAGACCCGGTCCTCCTGGTGGACGGCCCCGAGGGTCTCGGCGGTCCTGGAGACGCCGTGAGAGCACCGGGCGATCCTGCCGAGCTGGCGCCTCGCTCGGTCGAGGGCCTCGACGAGGCGACCCTCGACGAGGCGACCCTCGACGCACCGCGGCCCCAGTTCCTGACGAGCCACACTCATCTCAGTCGAGATCCTTTTCGGGGCCTTCCTCGTCCCGATCCGACGAGCTTCCTTACCTGCAGGTCTTTCCGCGCCTTCTCGAGTTCCGAGGTCAGGTTCTCTTCGGCCTGGTCCCGTTGTCGACGAGCGAGCATCAGGCGTTTCGGAAGGGTCGCGCGGTCCGCGCTCAGACTCATCGAAAGGGCCAAGTACTTTCTCTGAAGATCAAAGGAATGCGCATTAATTCAACTTATTACCAAATTACAGAGAACTCCGAACAAATGTTTTTTTCTTTTTAGAAAATCACGAATGCTCCGACGATCCATGGGTCTTACCTCGAGCTCTTCCACGGTCAGGCTGTCCCTGCAACGTCAAGTTATCCATGATTAATTGTTTCTTCTGCTTTTTGCTATTTTTTACTTTTCTACATTTCACAGATCATTACTCAAAATCGCTGTAGTCGCAATGATCGGTAACACTGGGTTCCGATTCTAAACGGTCGTCGATCAAACTTGGAAACGCAGTAGGCCGTTCCTCATCTCCGACCCTTCGCGCATTTTGCTCTTCGAGAGCTACATTCGCCCCGGAGGAAGTCTGAAAAAAAGAAAGTTTAGAAAAATGTCTAATTAACGCATTACATATTTCCCTAAATTTCCCTACTTAATATACGAATAATATTAGTTCGTTCTTGCTCGTACCTCGTTCATATTTAACTTTTTCACATTTTTCTGATTCCTAGGCCAGGATGTAACAGGGGTGAAAGTTTCCAAAGAAGCTTCTCCGTTGAAACTGTCTTCGTCGCTGCAAATCTCCGGGAAGGAACCATTGTTTTCCTTTTCGTTGCCATCGGCCATTCGGGCAAGGGAAACGGAATGACGAAAATTTCCCGTCTTTGGAGTGCTCGAGCAATTTTGTGCCAAACAGTTGCTCAGTTTACCAGGGGCTAGAACGAACGGGTGGCAAGTGGCCGTAGAGGTGGCGATCGGCTCGAAATTCTGTTGACTCTCTTCTTCCGAAACCGACGGGTCCGAGCGACCGCCCGAGGACTCGCTGTCGTCGAGAAGAGAGCGATAAGTCGTCCTTAATTCGTTCTTTGCGTCAACGATATCGTCTTCGAGGTCTTTGGCGGATAAAATGGATCCGTTCGAAGTCTCTTCGTCGAAGGCCCGTCGGAAAACCGAGAATTTCCTCCGAGGAAAACTTCTCGGACTACATTCGCAGGATTTGCGAATACCGGCGGGAGTGTCCGAGTGCGAAGTACCTACCAGAGGCGGAGGCGAAGGCCAATCGCCAGAGATGTTTACATCTTGACGATGGCGTTCGATTTTTTCATTCCCCGAAGGAGTCTCGCCTTCGTTCTCGGTAAGCGACTCAACGAGGTCCTCTTCTCCGTTCCCCGTGGGCGTATTTCTTTCCGCCTCGCAAAGCTCGTTTTTGATGGGAGCTCCGTTCATTTTTTCCGGAGTAATCGGTCCGTCTCCGGTGGAGGATGTACCCAAGTCCTTAACGGAACGTCCTTCCGTTGGGCTCTCGCTTCTTGGCAAGGTGTGCGAGTATCTGCTCCTGCAGGTACTGCTGCTAGTTTAAGTAAGGGATTTTTCTTTGTATTAAAAAAAAAAAAAAAAAAAGCAGTGCGCACTTCTCTAATTCCCAATAAAATTGACTCTAAATTCGACCGACTTTTGTTGATCGCGCTCATCCGTCACCGAGAGTAACAATCGTTGAGTAACCGTTCAGTCATTACCCTAGGTTCGGTTTCTGAGTCCATGTTTCTCTGGTGTTGGCATCGTCGATGATATCATCGATAGCAGCCACGATGGGCTCGATGATCGATCGTTCCTCTATCCCCTGCTCCCAAGTCACTGACAAAAAGGGGCTCTGGCTCTCAACGTCTCTCTTCGAGAAACTCGATGTCAGCGAAAAAACGCTCAACGAGTCGATGGGAATTTCATTTGTGTCCCCTTTTCTCTTCTTCCCTTCTCTGTGCAGAAGAGTCAATTCAACGTTACAATTTTTTTTCCCAGTTCCTGCTACAAGTGTTACAACGTTATTAACGTTATTAACGTTATTAATTGTAAATGAATTCTAATTGGATCGGTAGAGGATTTCGCGGATGCTAATCGGAGAATATCCAGAGGAAAAGTCAACCGGAGCGAAACCGCAACGATGGATGCGGACGACTGCTTTATGCCTTCGCACCCGATCATAAATCGAGATTCTGGCTTCGAGCCAAATTTAATATTATTCGCGAATCGTAAATTTAACGCCGTCTATCGAATCCCTGGCCCTGGCCGAAATCGATCGGTTCGGTTATTCGAGATTAATTAAGTAGAAATACCTGTACTCTTTCTGTTGTCGTTCTCGATAAATATGGGAATATTCAAAAGAGTAAACTCACAGAACTCAACATGTGTACTTTTTGGCGACAATTTAAGAAATAAATTTTGCAAAACTCCTTTTCACGGACGCGTACGTGCTCGGTTCGACGGATGAGATTACTCTGAGCTGGTTTAGATGCTTAGATCACTACATAACTAGCATACGTGCGTGCGTCAGCATAAACTGCAATACAAGAAGGGATGCTACATATTCTACGACCATTGAGATCACAAGGAAAGCTGAATCGCGCAAGACAAGGCGCGAATAAAATTTTAAGGAAGGAAATCAATTACTATTCGAACACCATCGCCCCCAACGGATTGCCAAATTTAAAGCAACATCAATGAGTGCCGAACGATCATTAAAGTCGCTACCTCCAAATCTTGGTTTCCAAATGTTAATGCTCCCGGCATGTCCGATTACAGAGGTACCTAGACCAGATTTTACCCCGAGTTATCAAATTTCGCAATGGCACGATGAGTTTGTATAGGCGCATAGGTGCACCCGTATCTTCGTTAATTACGCTCGGCCGCTGCTGTAAATCACTACTGCGATTGAATTAAAGCGGGCGCACGAGGAACAATTGCGACAAGTGACGCACTCTTGTCGCCGTTGTTTCTCGTGGTCTCCTCATTGCCAGAACATAACATGTTGGAATTTCAAGTTCGCTGGGGTCGAATGTTTTAATTATCTCCACGATTCTATGACTGTCTCCGTCGAGGTTGTTCCGTTTGGTACCGAGCGAATGCATTCAATTATATTTTTTCCCTTTCTTCTTCCTTTTCACATTTCATTTTACTTTCAAACGAAAGGAACGTATATGTGACTTACAAGAGCGCCAAGTGATCTTCGAAGCTGACGACGTTAAATTCACGGAGAGTGTCTCTCGTTGTTGCCGGTTCCGCCTTCGCTTGGCAACTGAAGTCTTCGGTCTCGGGTTTGCAGGACATTTTCGTTACCTGAAAGACGCAGAGCTTAGATAATCGTAAAATCCGATCGAGGAACGAACGTATAGGTGTCCACGCCATAGATGATACCATACGATTCGTAAACAAAAACTCTCGCGGTGGATTTTACAGCCATTGTCATGAAAATATGAACACCTATTTACACAGCAAGGGATCCTCTCTTTTCGCTTATCGGTGGCGACCGTCGCTAACCAAGGTTCAGGAGAACCTTGACACTTTGAAGAGCGGAGATTTCCTTCTTAGACGTAAAATCAATAAATACTGACCGATTTGTCGCTTAAATAGTTCGCGGAAACATCGTAGATTAATTAGTAACAAAGATTAAAGGTCGATTAGGCAGACCATTTGTAGGAGCGTCTGGATCTTCTGCCTTAACGTCTCTGTCAGCGATTTTGCTGCTTTCGGGTTTCCGAGTGCTTCCAATTCAAGTGGTGGCACCCGAGACTTGCTCTTTGGCAGGAAATTAACCAGCTTTCCGGCAACGCTGAAGTAGCAAGAGCCAGAAAAAAAACAACATTTTTTTGCATAGATTTGACGATAGAAATTAATTTATTAGCGTAGAGCATTTGCAACTGACTTTTCGAGGTCTTTTACAGCTTCTCTGATCTCTTCGCAGTACCATAATACTTCCTCCTCGAGCTCGTGAACTCGTGAGGATTTCTCACTGCTGTTGAACCCCTAGAATGTACGATAAATATTAATTTAATTCAATGAAATAATTCTTTTTTTTTCTTACGAGGAGGAAGCATTAACGCAATTCTTAAAAAATGAGACGGTGCACTCACGGAAGCTTGCAATTCTGCCCACAGGGAATCATTAGGTAAGATGTCGCAGGTTCTATCGGGTGTCTCGGGAGACGTAAAAGGGAATCCCTTAAGAGAGCTTGGTGAAAACTTGAAAAATATTCCAGTACTATGAACACATATCCAGACTTAAGACGGCTTAGGAAAATTGAGTTTTACCTGATCTGAAATGCAGTCACTGCAACATTTTGTTTTTAGCTCTAAATGAGTCTTCAAGTCTCGCTTTTCATCTTCGAGGCGCTACGATGATAGAATTCCATGTTTCGTTCAATCGAAGTAAAAAAAAGAAAAACAAATAAAGTCTTACGAATCTTAACATATTGGGCGAAAAGACAAATATACTTACGCGGGTATTACTCTCGTTTAATTGATGCAACTCAGCATTAATCTTCTGAAGGGACTCAACCCGTTCTGCGAGTAATTCGCACTCACTCTGCTGCAACTGAAGTCTTGTTCGATATTCGATGATCCGCTTAGTAATGTCAGATTTCTCCTTAGTTACGCTCTCCAGTCGAGAAACCAGGTTCGAAGTCTTTTGTTTCTAAAATGTCCTTACTTTACTACTGCTTTGCGACAGTACAGATAATCCATACTTACTTCAACCTCCATGGCTTCCAATTTGTTGGCTAACATTAACTTCTCTTTTTCTGTCTTCCGCAGTTCTAGCTTACAAAGTTTTTCTTTTTTAACCAACTCTGACAATTGATCCTTCTGTTCGTCGTTCTCCTTCTCCAATTGCTTACACTTTTCCATCGCTTGATCGCTTTTATCAAAAATAGATAAAAATGAATGTCACTATTTAATGGATCATTTGTAATTTTGCAAACATGCACGCATTAATTATATATTTTAAAACAAATGACTAATACAGTGAAAAAAAAATACGTACAATTTGTGTCTGAGAATTTCAATCTGATTCCGCAACTTGTTGTTGGATTCTTCGGTATACAACACTTCTTGCCGCAACATCGTATTCTCTTCATCAAACTGTCGGACACGCAACTTCAACTCCACTTGTGCCATTTCGTGTCCACCTTCGCTCTCCCTGTCGATACCGTGCACCGTATCTATCACGGAATCCGATTCTTTGTATCTACAATATTTACAACAAAAGTTACCGAAATTTTTATGCTAAGACGAAATTATGATAGAGATTATTTTTTTCAAATTACTCACGCTTCCTTGTCAAATTCGATATTGTTATTACCATCCTGATGATGCGATTGCGTAATACGAGCGACCCAATGTAGCGCAGCCTCTCGAAATTGTGGCCACATGACGTGTCCATTAAGAGAAACTTCCATTAAAGCATTCCTTAAATCATCCAGGATGTCGCAGCTACTAAAACAAAATTAAGCGATTAAAATAATCTAGAACAAGCCACACCGTTATCGTTATTCCTTACCGATCTTGGGTGTTCACAGCCTCTCGTATGTAATCCATCAGATCGGTAACGGGCACTTGACCAATTCTTTCCAAACTATTTCCAGAGACTGTGGACAACGACGTGCTTGGTGATATCAAGGACTCGCATTCCAGGAAGATTTTCCGCAGCAAAACTGTAAAAGCAACCCCGCAAAGAAGTCCAACTCTATCGCTGACGTACCATGGGTTTTTCGTTTATTCTGAAATTCCGGATAAGAAACGACACGTTTCCCGAGGATACACATGCTTGGGCCTTCCCGTTTATCTCTCTGCGCCTCCTGTCATCGATCTCGCTTCCATTTCTTTTTCGATTTATTCATATAAATATTTACATAAAATCTAGAACCGTAGAGGCGTCATTGATTCTTAAGGTCTCTTACCGTCTTGCGCATCTTCTTCCTCGGGTCTCTCGCACATTTTTCCGAAGTTCTAGTCGAGGGTGATTCCTTTAATCGAAGAATAAAGCACATGGTATGCGCAATTCGCGGAGGTATTGTCTCGCAGCCGTTGCGTGATTTAAATCGCGGCTAAAAAGAAACAAGTTTCGCGCCGGCCCGGCACGGGCCGAATTGGGCCGAATCAGGCCGAATTGTAGCGATAAGACAGCGGCTGCCCAGGAGTCAGCCCGAATATCTCGAATCGCGTGCTTGCTTCGCGCAAGCGCACGTGTTACTTCATACCGGTCTTCCCTCTTCGAGCTTGTCAAATGTCAAAATTTTCACGAAAAAAAAAAAAAAAACAAAATGCAACGTGACGAAGTGACGTTATCTCGGTATTCATCTTCCATCCGAAGTTCTTCATGCGATAACGATGGCGGGTTGTGTCAATACCCCGGTTAGCTGACAAGTTTTTCAACGAAATTCTACAACATGACACTGCCAAATAATAAATAATCGGTAATAATCTACTCCCCTTGAGTTCGAAACAAGCATCAAATACCGTGCTATTAAACTGCAGTTTTGAATATCGGGAATTTTTGTTTATGTTGCGAAAGAAGCGTAGATGGGAATAATTATTTTTTCATTTTTAAACTACTTTGATGTGGACGGTTGATCGTACCGACCGACGGTAGCAGCGCTATTTGCATAGATGAGTTCGGAGATTACTCACGGGCAAGGTAGCTCTTTCGATCCTGTGCTGCCTCCCGGTGGAGGATGACGACGGCTAACGCACTTGTCACCTGTTACCGCTCGGTGACGGTGCAACACATATCTGGTGAGGGCTCGAGCAATCGCGATAGCAGATATAGGGTTTGAAGCTTTTTTAAAGGATCCATGACTGTCCATGTCTTTGCGGGCAATCTCCCAACTCATCTCTGCTACTTGCGCTATGTCGCTCCTGGTCCGAATCAGACCATAAGAAATATGAACACGGTTTCGATGAAGCGCCACCAGGTGACAGATTCATTACTAAGTACGAATATGAGACATAGACCCTCTGTTCTACTCTATGACAGCGCGGACTTCTTTCCGATAGAAGGGTCCGCCTGACCGCTTAACCTATAAATTAAGTAAGTGCGTAATCCGCGTATTTCTTGTGCATCTGTTAATTTCACGAAGGATAAAGTTTCTCGGAGCCTTAACTAGTCAACGAACGAATCGACAATCATAAAGTTTGTAATTTTTGTAAATATCAACATGATGCGGAGCATTCCACTGACTGATTACCGTTTCTTAGTTTTCCCTTCAGTGGAATAATTATATCCAAATTTTGTTAATACATATTTTGTATCAATGTTAACGGACATGCATAACGTGACCGAAATTTAATTTCAATTTTCTGTTGTGTTATCGAATGTCGTATAACCTCAAAACAACTACATAACAAATTTGGTAGTTATATCGATTACCCTGACAATTATGTGTTATTAGCAGGATGTTGATGCCTAAGAAGAATCGTGTTGCTATTTACGAGTACCTCTTTAAGGAGGGCGTAATGGTAGCAAAAAAGGACTATCATGCACCAAAGCACCCAGAGTTGGAGGCAATTCCCAACCTTCAAGTCATTAAAGCCATGCAAGTACGTTTCTTAAAATTATTATCCTCTTAATTATTTCAACAGCTGTAAGCAAATTATATTTTTACTATTATTTTATGTAATTTCAGTCTCTGAAGTCGAGAGGATACGTCAAGGAACAATTTGCATGGAGGCATTTTTATTGGTATTTGACAAATGAGGGTATCGAATATCTACGTGGATATCTACACTTACCACCTGAGATCGTACCGTCCACTTTGAAGAGACAAGTTCCATCTGGAACGGCGAGACCCAGACCAGCAGCAGGCCCAAGAGGGGAGTCCTCCCGACCAACCGAAGATCGTTCCGGTTATCGGCGTGGCCCAGGAGGACCGTCGGGTCCAGGAGACAAAAAAGCTGATGTTGGGGCAGGAACGGGGGTTCCGGAATTCCGTGGTGGTTTTGGGCGTGGTATACCTCAATAAATGACTTTTTTCTATATAAAGTAATAAATATAACAAAAATGACTATACTAATGTTCCACCCCACTAAATCCTGGTTAATGATTTTTTTTTTTTTTTTACTAATATCCATCTTGAGTACAAATGAGAAATCTACAGAGGAAGGATGTTGAAAAATTTTATCTGGACTTGGTCCTGTTATTCTTAAGAAGAAACGAACTAATTTATCTATGATACCTACTTGATTTTTATGTTCTCTTCAATCGATTCTAAATATAGGTTGTAAGAGGATTATCGTCAATTATAGTTTAATATTCTATGGTCCGTAGCAAAGATGAAATTTACATTTCTTGTCACTTTAATACTATATGATTAAACTTTACTTCTTGTTACTATATAAAATTTCATTGTTGGTTTTATTCGAAAATACTTATTACCGTGACCCATGCGGTGATAAAGATCCATCCATTCGCACATGGTCATTTATCATAAGGAATTGAAAAAAAAAAAAACCTTAGAAAATGTTCAAAGATGGTGGATAAGTTGATTTTAATTTGGCAAAGGCTATCCTCTTCCCCTGTTCGATTGCGAACCTCCTGGTTGATTTTGTTGGTTGAGCCAAGGTGCCGACCCTGTACCTCGTCCTCTTTGATTCTGACCTCGTCCTCGGCCTCGTGCTAAAGGATCGAAACAAAATCATTTTTCCGTTTTTATGACAGAAAATCTATAGAAATGGTACAGAAGTGGATACCGTGTACGAGACAAACCTTGAGCTCGTAGTATGGCAGACTTCCCTCTGCCCGCTGTGCCCGAACCCTTCCCGCCCGGTCTCTTAAACATTGGTGCGTTCTTCAGCATGTCCGGCAGTATCAGAAATCGAATTTTGGATCCTCTGATGTAGACATTTTCCAGTTGAGCGACCCTACCGTCCCGATAGGTTACCGTAATGTTTTGCATCTGACAGTTCATGTTGTCCTCGGCTTCTATCAGCTTACCGCGGTAAACCTCACCGGTATTCGTCTCGCAGGTTATGATGTGACCTTCGGCTTCATGAAGCACTTTTATGGGTACACCGATCGACATTTTTGCACGTCACACTCAACAGCCGTTTCAAAGTCAAAATGAAAGGCCAACTGCTAATTCTAAGAGAGAAGTATTCAATAAATTACAACTCGACGACGCCGATCATTCATAGATTAAGCGGGTAACAACGCGTCCAGACGCGTCTGAACTGGTCTGAACCTACTCACACCTCTGGTGTGCTTTGTTACGAAGCGCCACCCGCAGTTGGAGTCACTTTTTCCGTGAACTACACGGCTCGGCGGGCTATTTAAACGTTGTCGGGATCACCGGCACTTTGGTCATGATGCGAGACAAGAATCGACGAACGATCGTTCTACTATTGCACTTTATTTTGAACATACAGTCATATAAATAAAAATCCTATACAATACTCATGCCTCGCGTGCACACAAGCGCGCGCGGGAATACCTGTCGCGAGTACCATGACATTATATAGATAAGTTACATCAAACCGACAACAATATAAAACAGTAAAAATCAGTACGGAAAGTCGAGAAGTCTTGTATATTAGTTCTGAATACAATGGCGGATTGCTCATCTAGCCGTCGAGCGTTTATATCCCGAACGTTTCCTAAATAGTAATGCGGAAGTTAATCCGCCTCGTAATAACCGCGAAGCAGCTCAATCAAAAATTGACCGAAATACGAGCTCTCTAGAATTATTAAATTCGAAGTATTCCGCAGAGGACTGTATCATTCGATCGACAATGAATTGGATCAACCGTCGAATCGACAGAGATTGTCCACCGGTAATGGGTAGTCGGATTACAGTGAAATGAAATCTTGAAAGAGCGATAAGATACTTACTGATGTGGGTTTCAACTTTCGGTACCGAGGTCCTCTGCTTGACACTTTCAGACATAACGCGTTAATATTAATTAGTCTGAATTTGCGGTCTAAGGGGCGAAGGATCAATCACGGGATTCCTTCTTTACAGTCTGTAAAGGTGTTTCGTCCTCTTCGTTTTCCGCATAGTCGTACGCATTGCATTTGGCTTTGCAATCAGTCTTAAAGTTTCCTCGCTGGGAAGTAGCGTCATCCTGGAACATTTGATCGACGAAGCGAAAACTACTCCCATTACCAGTCTTTGCGTTTGTGCTAACGTTTGCTGCCGTCCCGTTAGTATGAACCTCATTGAAGTGCTTGTACAGTGTCAAGCTCGTGCCAAACTCCATCTCGCAGCCGGGAACTTTGCATCTGCAACAGAAGTGGTTGCCTTGTATAACCGGTAACTGGGCAACGGTCAACACACACGAGACATGTGCCGTCGATTAGATGCACCCAAGGGATTCGATTTGGAAAGTGTCAGTTCTCTAATTCACACGTTAATCTCACCGAAATACTTCACCGATCTTAGTAGTTCGAGCTAGCGGGGCTTTAGAATTGGCGTGATTGTCCTGATAATGTTTCCACAGGCTCGTCACGTTGGTTACCTGAGCGCCACAACCTGGCATCTTGCATCTGGTCAATGAATGTCTCGCTGTTACCTTTGTTACATTATTACTGGCGAAGTCCAGCCGTCGACGGATGACTAAGTTTATCGAAGGGCCATTGGATTTTTGTTTTCGCGGAAATTCGAATTTTTCCGTTGATCATAAAACCAATCGGTACTGGACTTCACCGATTACGAGTCACGCCACGTGTCGACCTGTACTTACAAGAAAAAACTGACGGTGGATGCCTTTCCTTGCTTTGGCCTGGCAGTCTTGAGGAGATTGACACTGGCAACGTTTGCGGTTATCTTGTGACTCTCTTGATGATGTCGATAATGCGATATGTATTTGTACATCTTCCCACAACCATTAATCTCACATTTGTATGGCTCCTGCTTGTACCTGGACATTCTTTGCTTCTTTGGCGTGTACTCTTCATCCTCCGAACAATTACTGTTCGTTTCACCGTTACCTTCTTCGGTTTTGGGAGGGGCGCCATCGAAGCCGCTTCTAAAGATTTTTCCTAGATTCCCCAGGTCGAGCCTGTGTTCCTGATTCCGTTGCTCGAGATTGGACGCTTCGTTCTTAATATTCTTAGTAATCGTGACGTCTCCGCTGACAAATACGATGTTGTTCTTTTCCTGAGAATCGTCGATCTGCAACGTGTCGTTGCACTGCGACGGTCTTGCCTCGTATTTAATTAAGAAGTTCTCTTTTGTTATCAACAGATCCTCGTTCTTTGGAAACTTATCGTTTATCCGGTTGGAAGTGTCAATATTTTGGGAATAGTCTTTTACTTTAGAATTAGCACCAACATTTTTACGATCGAGAGAGAAGTCTTCGTCGTGGCAGACTTTGGAATCGCTTCGATTAGACCCGTCATCAGGGTTTCTATCCGAGTCTTCCATTTTCTGTCCACGAGACTCTCCCTTGCCATCAAAGTATCCCGCTTCGCTGCTTTGATTACCATCTTCATCGATGACGTTCTCGGATCCTTCGAAACAGATAATTTCTGGTTCCATAGGCAGCAAAGTCGGTTGCCTGTGACAACTTTCGATGTGTTCTTCGAGACTGTCGCTTGTCGCGTGTACCGAATTGCAACTCGTGTACGGACAGGAGAAAACGCTGGTTTCGTTATTATGCCATTCTTGATAATGTCGCCACATACTCCCTGGATCGGAGAGTTCTTCTCCGCAACCGGGTTCGCGACAACTGTTTACATATACCATTGCATCAATCGTACGATAAAGCATAAAGCTTCTTTGTTTCCCGGGGTAATTTTTGTGTTTAAATATTTAAGCGATAACGCAGTTACTCACATGAATCTGATTTTTAATGCTTCCAGAGTCTCGTGCGTCTTGTACTCATCTTGATTGGTGAATATTTTTCCACAACCGCGTTGCTTGCAGGTGTAAATTTCCTGTAAATAGGCGATAAGTGGTTTAGTAGTATTAAATCAGGGCCCAATATTTTTCTATCAAATTAGTCCGTCGTTTCGGTAACGATGCCCCTGAATAAAATACGTGTCCGGATTCGAAGGTTAACGAATGCAAGGTAAAATTCAAGAGATCTTCAATTCGTCTTCAAATATAACTTCCAATGATCCATCGATCTATGATGGTAACGACAATAAGAAACAATTATCCACAGAAAGAAGCCGAAAGGGTGGCAGGAAAGGATCGGGAGTGATTGTTTTGGCTTGGAGGTCATTGAACCCGAGTTCGCAGGCGAAGGTGCGAGGCGTACCTTTTTCGGGGCGATCTCCTCTATGGTGCGGTTCCTGGACACGAATCTGATGACACTGACCTCGGTGGGCCGGTCGGTGCACGTCTCCGTGCCCTGCCCCATTGTCGGTCGCCGGAGGAGTCGTGGAAGCGCTGCGAGTTCACATAACCTACGAACCTTCGACAGGGACTCGGTTGAAAAAAAAAATCGCTGTTCATCGAGATTTACCGTCGGTTCGTCGAACCGACTTTTCGGCACTCACCGGAGAAGCGCGGACTCCTCTTGGCGAAAAATCGTTGGCCACTCGGTTTACATTATCCGTCTGTCAATAAAAACAATTACTTGTTGTCATATCGGTGCATCGAGTACATTTCCGTAATCCTACGAGACGCGCCTTGGACGCCGTGGATGCGTTCGTAAACCCGCTCGGACCTGCTCGGCAGGGGGCCGCTACTGGCGCCCTCTTTAACTTCCGGACACTTCCGGACACTTTTGGGCACTTTTGAACACTTTCGGGCTATTTCGGGCGATCTACCGATCACGGAACGTCTACTGCACTTTAATCGGTGCTCCTTTACTTTCCCGTCGTCGTCCCGGCAAAGTCGTAACGTCGTTTCGCTTTTTGCAATTCGGAAAGCGGTCGCAGGTGGTCGCAGGGGAAAGGTATGTACGTATTCCTCCGTGGTATTCCCACGGAAGGAGATTGGCCATCTTTCATTGGTTCGACAATGCCGCCGATTTCGGGGCATTGAATTCGGGAAACGTGTAAAATCCGATTTCAAACCTGCACGTTTTCTGCCGATATCCCGATATTCGCGGTAAAGGGAAATCGACGAACGTCGGTCCCTTGGACCTTCGGAAACGGATATGCGTTCTCGGGCGAACGACCACGTTTCCACGGTCGTCCTGCGCAGGGGTGGCTAATTCGGAAAAGGCACGTGTCGCGGAATACACGCGTGCGTACTCGAGGTCGCTCGAGGGCGCGCACAGGTGGGTTTCGGGGTTGCGACGTCGCGTCAGAGGATCGGCTCCTGCCTCTTTCCGTATTTCGCAACTGGCGCCGTAAGCCTTGCGCGAGCTCGATTGGCTTTCCACTCGAGTCCGGCGACTAATGGCAGGAAACGAAGATGGCCTTGCGCGACCCGGAGCTTCGATTCGCGGTCAGTAGTGTTTCTCTCGAGGAGGCGCGTGGGAGAACGCTCGGCCGTCTTCGGTGCGCTTCGGCCCGGCGGAGTGACGTCTCGGCCACGGAACCACGTGTTCCGACGCGGCTAGGTGAGCTATAGATTCTTCCTCCCATCCCCGGCCACGCTTCTCGCTGCTTCTCGCTGCTTCTCGCTTCAACGACGCGCGAACCCTCCTCGCGCTCCCCCGAGATGCCCCTAAGGACGTCCAACGTTCGTCTCGAGCGACTCTGGGCGAGTTTTCCTCCCCGCCCTTCCGTTGCCACCTGGAAAGGAGAGAATCGGATTCCTATTCGGAAACGGCTCGCGCTTATGATTCTCCCGGTACCGACCTCAGGAAATGACGTCGAAGGGGCCTCATTAGCCTCGATGACGTTTGCAGGGATCCGGGGGGATCGATCGACGACCGCGGGCGGGGACGCCGTCGAATTTTGAAGGGGTTACCGTTTCCTAACCGATCGACTCGCTTTGCAGATCGACGGAGGATGGACGGCGAGGCAAGTGGTGATTTCGTATTCCACGGAGCCAGCCGGTGTCCGAAAACGCTTACGCGCGTTCCGGAGCGACGTCGGACCGATTGACCGGTCGAACTACTTCGCACGATGACCCAAGCAAGGTAACGCGGAGGCGGATCGACGAGCGATCGTCGGGAAAAAAGGAGACCTTACTTCATTTTTGGCCCTCCTAGGCCAGCGAAGCGGTTTCGGCCCGGACCGAGCTCGAAGAGCGGACGCTCTCGGGAGGGACGTTCTTGGCCCGGATAAAAGCTGCGGAAGGCCTTGCGATTCCGGTAGTGAGGAATTCTCTGCCGTCGGCGAAGCTTCTCCTGCCGGAGTCGTCGGACTCGCCACGGAGGGAGAGAGAGGAGGAGTCGCGAGTGCACTTTAAGAGCCACTTTGTTAATTTCTGCCAGGAGGCGTTCGGTGTACGTGGGGGACCATTTGGCAGGAACGCTTCCTTAAGTCAGGCCCAGCCTAATGCGGGCTTCGCGTGTGGCGGATATCTTAATTGAAAAGGTATACACCTGTACGTGTCGTATATTAGAGGACCCAGGCCCGCGCGACGCTGTTAGACTAATAAGTTTTGACCATTCGCCGCCGACTTCCACCTCGAATCGACCCTCGCGACCGGGCCGGCGATTAAAGGAAAGCAATTAGAGAAAACGCGTCCCGCGCCTCCGCGAGAGGCAAAAGTTAATCGCCGAGAAAGCTGATAAAAGTCGAGGACCACCGGGAAGGGCCGCCAGTCATTCCGCGGACTTCCGCCTTCGCCGTTTCCTTTGCGGCCCTTTTTCGCCTTTGCACGACCGTTCGACGATGAGGGAGGAAGAGGGCTCGTGAGCAAGAGCCCTCCGAGATCCTTCGATTCGATCTTTCGCCCAAAGGCGACGAAGGGACGCCTCGACTTCGCCTCGACCTCGCCTCGACTCGGCCTTCGAGGTAACGTCGGTTGGACGAATCCTCCGAGGGTCTCACCCCGGTTCCCCTAGATTCTCGGAAGCAAAGGGCGGCCAGGACGCTTACTCTCTCGACGGCTCGAGAGAGGCGCGTCCACGCGTTCATAAAGAGGTAAACCTCTTTGAAGCGAGGCTCGTTTCGGTTCGAAAGCAAAGCGGCCGTCTATTTCCGGGGTGCAGCCGGAGGGAATCGGGCCGAGAGATCGCCGAGTGGCGTCCTCGCGCTGATTCCCGTTTCTCTTTCTTTTTTTCCGTTCAACCCCGTCTTTCGTTGCAAGTTTCCGCGCGCGTCCGAGGAAGGAGCATCGCCGGAGGGACGCGTATCCGCCCCGGTCGGGGACGAGGCGAAGGAGGCGCGATATTAAGGTCGATTTATTCCTAACCGCGAGGACGCGGTTCGGGCCCTAAAAGGTTAAACCGAATCTCGGCACGTACGAGATTACTTATTTTCCGACGTTCTTCCGGGTTCTTCCGGGTTCTTCCGGGTTCTTCCGGGTTCTTCCGGGAGGCTTCCGCGGTACGCGACGTTTTTTAACGTCCCCGCTTCCGGGACCGGCTCGCCGAGACTCCTAAGGCGGAGGTCAAGGTGGCCGAAAAGTGTCGCAACCTCCTTAACGATCCCGGGGAAACCGCGCGAGAACGAAGGAAGGATCGCGTTCCGATTCGTTCGCGTTCTCCGCAGGTGCAGGTACGGAATCGCGCCGTACAGGGGAGGCGATCGCGGTGCGCTTATTTCAGGATATTTTTCTAGTGACTCCTCCTGGGTTTACTTTCGTATTAATAGAAGTGCAGAGGAAGCCGCGAGATGTCCTCTCTATAAATTCTCGATAAAGTCGAGCGAGCCGTCGCGAGCGTCCTTTTTGGCGTCGACCCTCGATGCGCCTCAAACGTTCGCGCCCGGGGCGGATCGGATCGGGAAATTGGCGGGATCGCGATGGCGATCGGCGGTGGTCGTTTTGGAAACGTAGACTTTCCTTTTCGCGGCAGTGCCGTATCAACGCTCGTCGACGAAGAATCGCGTATTCAGGGCCGGACACGGGGACGTGACCGAAATCCAAAGTCGGTCTAATAATAGCTCGACTTTTGCCTATACGATCCTCTTATTTTCATTCAAGCGAATGCTCACTCGCTCGACTTCTTTTTCGAAGTCAAGAGGTTAGTGATCATACCTTCGAATCGGGGAAAAGCGGGACCGGGGACCGACCGAGTTTCCCGCCATGCCCGGAAGGTAGCGATCGCCCCAGGTCGAGGGACGCTCGACCCGGGTCCGACCCGGGTCCGACCCGGGTCCGTCCCGAGCGCCAACCTAGCGCTCCGCGAAATATCGGAGAGAATTCTCGGCGGGACGCCGCGCCGCCAGGATTTATGGCGGTCGAGAGTTAACGAAGGTCGCTAGTTTTAGGAGCTTAGTCCACTCTCCGGACTTTCCTTCCAAATTGCCGTACCTTTTCGGTATTTCTCCGCGCTGCGCGTCCGCTCGGATCATTTTCCGCGGGCGACTCTTGGGGGCGAGCTCGGGATCCTCTTCGGAAAAGTTAGTCACGGTTCCGGCACCCGTTCCGACGGCACCCGTTCCGACGGCACGCGGGTCCGACCCCGAGGGGATAAAGTAGCCGAATGGTCGGCCGCGTAACCGAGCGAACGCTCGTTTCAGGTGCATCACCTCGGTAAGCCACCATGTACGGCCTAATCCTGGAGAACATGTCCGAGTACATTCGGCAGGTCTACGGAGAGGACCGCTGGGAGGAGATTCGCCGGCAAGCCGCGGTCGATCAGCCGAGTTTCAGCGTCCACCAGGTGTATCCCGAGAACCTGATTCCTCGGCTTGCCAAGAAGGCGATACAGGTACCGTTGGGACGAGTCGCGAAAACGGAGCCGGAATAATCGACCGGGGCGGCTTCAGGTCCTGGGGGTCACGGAGAAGGAGTTCTTCGACCAGATGGGAGTTCACTTCGTGGGTTTCGTCGGCCAGTACGGCTACGACAGGGTCCTCTCGGTGCTGGGCCGACACGTTCGCGATTTCCTCAACGGCCTGGACAATCTGCACGAGTACCTCAAGTTCTCCTACCCCAGGATGCGAGCTCCTTCCTTCATCTGCGAGAACGAGACCCGACAAGGTAACGCGCGGACGAGAGTCGCGGCTTCCGTTTCCCGATAGATCGTACAAGTTTTTGGCATCTATTTTCAGGTCTGACTCTCCATTACAGGAGTAAACGTCGGGGATTCGTTTACTACACGATGGGGCAGATCAGGGAGGTGGCCAGGTACTTTTACCACAAGGAGCTGCAGATCGAGCTCATCAGGGAGGAAATCCTCTTCGACACCGTCCACGTAACCTTCCAGCTGACTTTCGACAACCGAGCCTTCACCCTGGCCTCCCTTGCCATGACACGGGAGGAGAAGCACCTGCCGATCGGTGCCTCGGTCCTCTTCGAGATATTCCCCTTCTGCATCGTGTTCGGGTAGGTCTCGGGTAAATCGGGAGCGCTCGGGATGCGACCGCATTTGATGACGCTCGCATTTTACAGCTCGGACATGGTGATGAGGAGCATCGGAAACTCGCTCATGGTCATCCTGCCGGACCTCGTTGGGAAGAAGATCACCCACTGGTTCGACCTCGTCAGGCCGATGATCGCTTTCAAATTTCAGTCGGTAAGTTTCCCGGGGACCACCAGAAAAATTCAGAATCTCGCGAAGGAACTTCTCGATCGGACGGCAACCCCTACGAACGCGTTTTCCAGATCCTGAACCGGACGAACAATATTTTTGAGCTCGTGACGGTGGAGCCCGTCCTTACGGAACGTCCTGCGGATCGCCGGAGAAACGAGGAGATGTTGAGCGACGAGTTGGAGGGACCCGATGATAAGACCTTAAGATTGAAAGGTACAATTTTTTTAACAACGCGTTAAACCGATCGCGGCGACGCGGCAATAGGTACCGAGCATTTCATTTTTCTTTACGTACTTAATAATGGGCCGAAATAAAAGAATCGTTTTACTTCTGCAATCGGCTAGAAGGACACGATGATAAAACGCTGAGATTGAAAGGTACTGAGGTCGAGAAGGCCGACTTTCGAGTCGCATTTGTTCTCGATCAATCGTAATCGCGTCGTGCTCTTTTTAGGTCAAATGGTGTACATGGATAATTGGAGGATGATGATGTACCTCGGCACTCCCGTGATGCCCGACTTGAACGCCCTGATAGCGACCGGACTCTACATCAATGACCTGTCCATGCACGACTTTAGCAGGTGAGCGACATCGGGATGAAATTAGGTTCCAGGCTGCATCGAAAACCGAATCTCTCCGTTTTGCTCTCGCCGTTAGAGACTTGATGCTGGCGGGCACGCAGCAATCGGTGGAGTTGAAGCTGGCCTTGGACCAGGAGCAGCTCAAGAGCAAGAAATTGGAAGAGTCCATGAGGAAGCTCGACGAGGAGATGAGAAGGACCGACGAGCTTCTCTATCAAATGATACCGAAACAAGTGGCCGACAGGTTGAGGAACGGCGAGAATCCTATAGACACTTGCGAGGTGAGGGAGGACTTTTGAGAACTCGGAAAAGGAATTTTCCCCGATGGTCGGAAATGTCGGTTACGTTCTTTCGTAGATGTTCGACAGCGTGTCCATTCTTTTTTCCGACGTGGTCACTTTCACGGAGATCTGCAGCCGCATCACCCCGATGGAGGTCGTGTCCATGTTAAACGGCATGTACTCCCTCTTCGACACCCTGACGGAGAGAAATCGCGTATACAAGGTCGGAGTGTCGAAGAAAAATTCTAAAGAAGGCGTTTAATTTTCTTCTTCGTAAGCTTATTTATTTCTTCAACAAACGACTCGTTTACAGGTGGAAACGATTGGCGATGCTTACATGGTGGTGTCCGGAGCACCCGTGAAGGAGAGCGACCACGCGGATCGCGTTTGCGACATGGCGCTCGACATGATCGAGGCCATCACCGACCTCAAGGATAGATCCACCGGTAACCTTTGCCCCGCGCACGACTGGAACGAATTAATTCGGATTAATAAGAGGAACGATCCTTGCAGGTCAACATCTTCAGATACGCGTGGGCATCCACAGCGGCGCCGTAGTGGCCGGGATAGTCGGGTTGAAGATGCCCCGTTACTGTCTGTTCGGAGATTCCGTGAATACGGCATCCAGGATGGAGGCGACCAGTGAGGCGATGCAAATCCACGTCTCTCATTCGACGAGAGTCCTTTTGTCACCTTCGTACAAACTGACGGAACGCGGGGAGATTCAAATTAAAGGGAAAGGTAAACGAGACAGAGGAGAAGGGTCCATCGTGGGATCGCTCGAGGTATTTTCGAGGAGTTCCTTTAGGATAAATCGACTCCTTCCAGGACCGATGAAAACGTATTGGCTGGAGAAGAGGGAGGGCAGGTGTCCCTTGGGCCGGGGGTTCGCGGCCCACAAGCCTCCGCAGTGGCACAATCGCGCGAACGAGAAGAGGATCTCCTTGGGCAGCACCCGAGGATCCATATCCTCCTCCAGGTGCGAGTGGAGGAACCGGGTGGACGTTTCGACCAAAAAGGACTCCAGGCTGTCCTCTCCGACGCCCCTTGGGTCCTCGGGGTTCCTCTCCGAGGAGAGGAGGATATATTCTCCCATCACCTTTCAGGACGTCGTCAGGAGGTCCGTCGCCAACTCGCCGATCAAGTCCGTCGATACCAGAGGTACCCGAAACCGATTAATTTAACCGACAGATAGGGACGTAGAAGATGGACGCACCTAGACTCCCGAGTAGAGGAACCGACATTCGCGGACGCGCGCGGAACCGAGTCGAGCCAGGATCCGCAAAAGGTTTAAGAGCGGCGATTGTAGAATCCGATGTTTCGCAGAGGCGAGATCGAACTCAATGGGGGCCGTAGCGACCCTGACGCAAAATCCCGCGGACGTGTTCGGGGAATTGGTGAACGAGACCGAGGAGCACTTCCGGTTGCATCGAGACAGCACCTCGTCGTCCAGAGGGCGGCACTCGGCGAGCGCGACCGCGAGCTCGAACGCCCAGGCCAGGTCGGAGGTGACCGTCGACATGAGCAGCTCGGAGGAGGACGGCTCGAGGGAGGAGAGGGCCTCCACCGTCGACGCGGCCTCCTCCTCCAAGGACCTCGGAAACGTCTTCTATCTGGGCGCCGAGCGAGACGACAGCAACTCTCAGCTGATGCTCCATCGGGAACACTGCTGCCCGGGATTCTCCATACCAAAGACCGGGAAAACTCGTAACCCCAATGGCGCGTGTAGGATAGTCTGAGTCCGAGTCTTTTCCCCGATTTGCTCTTATTTATTTCTCCTCCTGGACCCACGAAAGGGAGGAATCGAGGTCGGACCGTTTGCTCGACCGACTAAATTAGAGATATTTAACTTAGAGATACTTTTCGGCGTTTACTAGGGTAGAGGAAATTTAACGATTCGCTAGCTCGACGTTGATCTCAAGGAACGGACGAAGAAATTCGTGAAGGTCGCGAGATGATTTCGAGGGTGGTTAGGTTACCTCGGAGTACCTTTGTTCGTCGTCGTAGTCGTCGTCGTTTCGTGTCGCGTTTACGAATAAAGTGTCTCGTAGCTCTGGATCTTAGCGCGAGGCAGAGGACACTTGGGCCACGTGGAGGAACTCGTTCCTTCGGGCTTCGCGCGTAATTATTTATTAACGTTGCACACCTACTCGTGGGATCTATCGACGCGCTTTCTACGAAGGCAGAAATTGAACGGACCGAGCCATCGAAGTACGTTCCGTCCTCCTGCGCGAACCTCCCGCTTTATTCGTCGATTGGTCCGGCTCTAGGTGCGCGCCACTTTTCGGCCCGGACTTCAGAATGGACGACGAATCGTATATACCTGTTTTAGCCCGCTCCGGAACGAACGCGGGAGGATGCGCGAATTTCGGATAGAGAACGAATAAGTAAAGGGAGGAGAACCCTCGGAAATACTCAAGTTTTCGGAACGGTACTCTAAGCGCGAGTTCCTCGGCTTAACTTCGGATTATACCTCGGCTCTCTCGACGACGATTCCTCCTATAAAGCAGCCGCGTACAATGGTCGTAGGTGGACGAGGAACCGGACATTTTTCAAGATAAGCAGCCGCATTGTTCCGTCCGGACCGCGCAAGAGTCGACACCTCGTCGAGACGAGGGACGGCAAGGGCAAAAATGTATACGGAGCTCGAAATATAACCCGGAAGTAGGACGTCGGAACCCTCCGGGAACCGGGCACTCGCTTCCACCCCCGAATTTCCGAAAAGGCGAGCCTCCCGCTCGCCCTCGGACAGGACTCGCGACGTCGAAAACCTTCACCTTTTAATTAGTACCGTCGATTGCTCCTCTTTTTTTGTCTCCGTTGCCCCCGGAGGTTGCGCAATTTTCTCCGAAGCGAGAAAGACTCGTAATTCAACCTTTCAAGGAGTCGGCGAGCCTCGGCGTAATAGCGCCGCTGGTGCACCTGATCGCTCATAAAAAATTTTATGGAAGCAATTCGACCGATTAATATGGGACACAATATTTTGCCGGATCCGGCGGAACAACCGAATGCGAGAAGGTATCGACGGATAGGACGGAGGAGCCGGAAACGCTCATCGAACGGGTCGAATCGACCGATCGAACGGCCGGGGGAGGTGGCCGGCCGGGGCGGCGGAGTTCAACAGGCCGCATTCAACAGGTCGGCCTCCGTTTCGGACTCGGCGGTCGGTTTCGGGTCGGTTCGGGTCGTCGACGAGACGACGGACGGGACGACGGACCGGAATCCGATCGATATCGATCGCCGCCAGGGTCCGTCGTCCCCCCGACGAGCTTTGTCCGCCGACGGTGATAAATAATAAGGCAGATTACGTAGGCCGGTAGCCGAGGTATAATTGAATGAAAATAATGTTGAGGTATCGCGTTATACGCCTGGCCAATCATAACTCAGACGCGACCGCCCCCCACGGGGGCGGGGCGGGGGCTGCGCGGCGCTCTATATAAGGGAGACATCCGCAACCCCGGCCGCTCACTCCACCGACCCTCCGCCGGCTGGTATCACGCTCTTATCGGCCACGTGCGCCTCCGCATCCGGACCCTCGACGTTTCCGACATGGTAAGCCGATCGACGCCTCCTCCTCGGACGCCGTCCAGAAAATTCCCAGAAAATTCCCAGAAAATTCCCAGAAAATTCCCAGAAAATCCCCATTAGGGTGGTTTCACGGTGCGCGTTCCGCTGTCGTTTCTTGGCGCGATTTACCCCGGCAACCCGATAACCGGAACCCTCTCGCCGAGTTTACGGCCTCGTAAGCCGCGCGACCCTTTATTTTACATTCGTTAACGCGACGGGGAGAAAATCCGGTGGGATCCTTTCCGCCCTCCCGGGGGTGGGAGGACGAAATTAATGTACATATAAAGCGGGGCATTTTATGAAAACGGCGTCTTTCCTCGCGACGAGTGAACTCGGAGCACCCCGAGCGCGTCGTGTTTCGGGGCGGACCGTCCTCTCCCTTTTCGTCCCTTTTTCTTTTCTTCTTTCGGTAGACAAAAGTTGCTTCATGGTTCGTTTTATGGAAGTTTGTTTGGGAGGAGATTGAGAGCTTCTCGCCCACGCGGCCGAGGTCTCGACTTTCAAGTCCGCTCGTCACGTACCTTTTTATCGCGCAAGTTTATTAGCGAGCAAAAGTGGCCTTTTGAACGTTTCATCCGCTCCCGCGGCCGGCCTTAATTTTCCCCGAGGGCGCGTCCTTCCCTTTCGCCGTCTCCCGGGCCACCTTTGCCGAAAGAGGTCGTTCGGCGTCGCGGCGCATGCCGGAGGTCGGCCTCTCTTTCTCGGGCCATAAATAGGGAGGAAATTGCGATACCAGGGGCGGGTCCGGAGGCGTCGCATCTCCGCGCGGGAAGGACGCGCAAAGGGTTAATTGCGGTAAGGCAAGACGCGGGCCGATCGATCTTACTCCGTTTACCGTTAAACCGACAAACGACGCGTTAATGCCTCGGCACCGGGGCTCGGGCGAGAACGCGGCGCTCGGAAACTCGGAAACTCGGAAACTCGCGCGGCAAAGTCGGGCGGGGTTCTCCGGTCGAGGAGACGGTCGCGTCGCGGCGCTCGGAGTCTACCGATCTCGGACTTTCAGATCGCCCTGACCGTCATCTACGGCACCGTGCTGGCCCTGGACTGTCTCGCGCCCTCCTCGGCGATGGTCCTCGCCCCCCTGAAGGAGGACGCGCCGCTGCGCCTCTACCACGAGCGGCCCAACGAGCTGACCTACGCGGACAAGAAGTCGGAGGACCGGCAGGAGGAGCAGGACTCGAAGGAGCGGCGCAGCACCAAGGGGTCCTCGTTCATCCGGTTCGGCCGCGGCGGCCACCCGGAGGGCTTCCGGAGCCCGCTGCGCCCTCGGGACCTGGACGGCCGCCTCTTCGAGCGCGCGGCCAGGGGCGACCTCAAGTTCATCCGCTTCGGCAGGAACGCGCGCGATCTCCCCTTCCCGTGCCCGGGCGTCCTCTTCGGCCCCACGAGGTTCTCCTCCCGACTCTCGCGCCCGTGCGACTTCGTCGACCTCGGGGAGGAGGACGCCGACGGGTCCCTCGACGTCGTCGAGGACTGGGTCGTCTAAGGACGGGGCCTTCCTCTCTCGCTCTCTCTCTGGCGGGTCCCCGGGAGTTCCGGAGAGCCGGGGACCGCCGTCGGTGGATAGGAGGGGTGACCCGGGCAACCTTCGCTCCCGCGCCCAAGATGTCTTTCGGATCTCGCTCGAGTCGCGAAGGAGTCGGAGTCGCCTCTTGGCCCGCTTCCCCTGGCCCTCGCTTCGAGTCTCGTCCCCTTTTCCGTTCCGAGAGAAGAAATCGTCAATCTTTTAGCGATAAGGATGCGAGGCTTAGAATTAATATCCCTCGTGACGGTGAATTCGATGTAAATTTAATACCGGTATAAGTGTAGGATTAAACCACGTTGGCCGAACAGACCCGTTTCCGTTGATCGCTCGGGGCAGCCCCGCTAGAAGGGACGAGCTCTTTTCTTCGTTCTTCCCTCCGACCCCTTTGGACGAGAACGAAGGGATCGCGATTCCGAAATGGCGGAAGCGCGGAATCGTCCTCCCCCGCGAACGGACCCAAACGAGCCCTCCTTCCTAATTTTCCGTCATAATTCCGTCATAATTCCGTCATAATTCCGTCGTCCCTGCCGAGAAAATAAAGGAGTCTCGACCCCTCTTTCCCGTTCCCGCTCTCGACTATAATGCAATTACCTGCTTAACGAATAAACGCTGTCGCATTCGACTCCAGGTCCCGTCTTTCGCGACCCCCCGAGCCGCTCGGAAGCTCGACTCCGGTCGGCCTCGTCGCCTTTGTCATAAATACCGAAACCGGCGGAAACGATGAGAAATGGCCGCGCGTCGAGCTCCGAGTTACAGCCCAGTCGTGTGCCTCGTCTAATCCGGAGACTTATATCCCCGCCCATACGCGGTCCGACTCCAAGACTTCCCCGGACGATCCGTCGTCGGGGTCCCTCCAGGGGGAGGAGGGCGAGAAATCCGAGAAATCCGAGAAATCCGAGTTACGCCACCGTCCGGATCCAGATCGTTCCTTTTAATACACCCTATATACGTTTTGTGCTTAATCCGGTTCAGCCCCTGTCGCCGGGCCTCGGCGGGGCTTCCGGAAAATATGCTGCCGTGACCGCTCAGTGTGCGGCTGCACCTGCGACGACCCTCTTCGGGGTATGCCGCTGGCAAGCTCCGGGTCCATCGGAGTCCGACCTCGAGCTTTGCGTTCCGCGATCGCCTCGTAAACGCGCGTAATCCGGGAATTTATAACGATAATCCGCGGAGCAGCGCGACCCAGGAGCCTCGACCCGAGAGCCCTCGATGCCAGTCGGCTCGCCGAGGGATCATGAATCCGTCCGAGTCTCGGCAGAACCTCCTCGGCAACGAGGCGAGGGCTCCCTCGGAGGTGTCTCTCCAGCCGCCCATCGAATACTCACTTGGCCCAGTTGAGAAGCACTTCCTGCTGAGCGCGGAGCGAGGCGATTGTGCCACCGTCAAAAGGTAATCGCCCATCCGCGGGGGAGTCCTTCCGGCGGCTTCTAAACCCTCTCCGGGTCGCAGGTTGCTCGAGGAGAACCGCGACCACCCGGAGATTCTCAACATCAACTGCGTCGACCCCCTCAACCGATCCGCCCTGATCGCCGCGATCGAGAACGAGAACATCGAGCTCATCAAGCTGCTCCTGGAGCTCGGGATCCAGGTCAAGGTTCGTACCTTCGGCCCGAGGAGAGGTGGCCTCGGCGCTAATCCGGGATCGGCTCCTTTTCAGGACGCCCTGCTGCACGCGATCAAGGAGGAGTACGTGGAGGCCGTGGAGATCCTGCTCGAGTGGGAGGAAAGGATCCACGTCCCGGGGCAGCCCTACGTGAGTAGAGACTACCGTCGACCCTCGCTCGGCACCTCGCCACCTCTTCTCTTTTCGCTCCAGAGCTGGGAAGCCGTCGACCGGTCCTCCTCCAACTTCACCCCCGACATCACGCCGCTGATCTTGGCGGCGCACAAGAACAATTACGAGATCCTCAAGATCCTGCTGGACCGAGGGGCCACCCTGCCGACGCCCCACGATGCTCGGTAAACCCCGCCGTTTCCATCTCCGTCGAGGACGGACGAATCATTCCTTCCGTTGCAGGTGCGGATGCGACGAGTGCGTCACCTCGAGCGAACAGGACTCCCTTCGCCACTCCCAAGCTCGCATCAACGCCTACCGAGCCCTGACCTCGCCCTCCCTGATCGCCTTGTCGTCGAGGGATCCTCTGTTGACGGCCTTCGAGTTGTCCTGGGAGCTGAGGCGACTCAGTCGCATGGAGCAGGAGTTCCGCTTCGAGTACAACGTGAGGACGGTCGAGTCGATCGAGAAGTAGATTTTGCTTTTTCGGAGCGAGAGATCCGCCGATCGAAGGGAACTCGAATTTTCAGGAAATGCGCGAGCAGACCCAGACCTTCTCGGAATCCCTGCTGGACCACGCCAGGACCTCCCACGAGCTGGAAGTGATGCTCAACTACAATCCCTCCGGAGACAACTGGGAGCCAGGGGAGCGACAGACCTTGGAGCGACTCAAGCTGGCGATCAAGTACAAGCAGAAGCAGGTGATCGATCGATCTCGTTCGGAAAAGACGGGACGGCCGAACTCGACTGACCGAGTTCAATTTCCGCCCCGCAGTTCGTCGCGCATCCGAACGTCCAGCAGCTCTTGGCGGCCATTTGGTACGACGGACTGCCCGGTTTCCGCAGGAAGAGCATGATCGGTCAGCTGATCGAGGTCGGAAAATTGGGGGCCATGTTTCCGGTCTACAGCTCGATCTACATGATGTCCCCCACCTCGAAGATGGGCCTCTTCATGAAGAAGCCTTTCGTCAAGTTCATCTGCCACTCGTCCTCCTATGCCTTCTTTCTGAGTAAGCGATCCGTCGCGATTCCTCCGTGTCTTCTTTTCCGATATCGCCCCTCCGTTTTCTCTTCAGTGCTCCTGGGAATGGCTTCCCAGCGAATCGAGTACTTGGTCATCGAGCTCTTCGGCAACGCCTGGATGAGGGAAATTCTCGCGGGCTGGAAGAGGAGGGAACGAGGGTGCATTCCCGGGTTCGTCGAGTCCGGCGTTATTCTATACGTGATCAGTAAGGCTCGGTTTGGAGAGGAGCTTGACGGAACCGTCCCGGAATGCTCGATCCGAGTTTTTCTATTTTCAGGCTTGGTCATCGGGGAAATCCGGTCTCTTTGGTCCGACGGGCTGCTCGAGTACATATCGGATCTGTGGAACATCGTGGATTTCATCCAGAACACCTTTTACGTCATATGGATCGGCCTGAGGGTTACCGCGTGGCTCATCGTTCAGGTGAGAACCGGCCCGGCGATCGACCGACTCTCGCTCGATTCTATGCATTTCATTCATTCGCGCGATTTCGAATGCGATTTCGAATGCGATTTCGAATGCGATTTCGATTCCCCAGAGGGAATATTGGAGCGGAGAAGATCCCTGGTATCCGAGAGACCAGTGGGATGCCTACGACCCCATGCTCCTGTCCGAAGGCGCATTCGCCGCCGGAATGATATTCAGGTAGTCCGTTGCCGATTCCTCATTTTTTTTTTCTTCTTTCTCGACAACGACGTCGTTGAGTCGCATCGATCCTTTTTCCGTGCAGCTTCTTGAAACTCGTGCACATATTCAGCGTGAATCCTCACCTGGGACCGCTTCAAATATCTCTGGGCAGAATGATCATCGACATCATCAAGTTCTTTTTCATCTACACACTCGTGCTCTTCGCCTTCGGCTGCGGTAAGTGTCATCGCTCCACCTGCGGAACGTTTCAACCATTTTTCATTTCCAACCAAGGGATGAACCAGCTGATGTGGTACTACGCGGACCTCGAGAAGATGAAGTGCTATCACATGCCGAGCGGATTGCCGGATTTCGATAATCAGGAGAAGGCTTGCTCGATATGGCGAAGATTTGCCAAGTACGGAGAGACGATCCGCCGGAGCGGACACGTTGCCCGCTCGAGCGCTAATCGTCGTTTCGTTCCAGCCTCTTCGAGACCTCGCAGTCCTTGTTCTGGGCGAGTTTCGGAATGGTGGATCTGATGTCCTTCGATCTGACGGGCATAAAGAGCTTCACGAGATTCTGGGCACTCCTCATGTTCGGCTCGTACTCCGTGATCAACGTTATCGTGCTGCTCAACATGCTCATTGCCATGATGTCGAACTCTTATCAGATCATCTCGGTAAGCCGCGGCGATCGGACGACTCGAGTGATGAAACGCGACACGCGTGGCGTCTTCCCTTCTTTTTCGTTTAAAGGAAAGGGCCGACACCGAGTGGAAATTTGCTCGAAGTCACCTGTGGATGAGCTATTTCGAGGACGGCGACACGGTTCCACCCCCCTTCAACATGATTCCCACCGCCAAGACCTTCGACAAGATTTTAAAATGCGGAAAGGGTGGAAAGCCCACGAAGTCGTTTATAGTAAGTGCGACCCAAGGAGGACCTTTCGGATTATTAAGACTCGGAGATCGAGCGATCTTTCCTCGGTTGTAGAAAAAGAACCGGGAAAAGGCGATGGCGAGGCACGACACGGTGATGCGACTCCTGATTCGTCGCTACGTGACGGCGGAGCAACGCAAGCGGGACGAGTTTGGAATCACCGAGGACGACGTCATGGAAATACGTCAAGACATCTCCACCTTGCGTTACGAGTTAATAGACATTTTGCGGCAAAACGGCATGAGGACTCCCCAACTCGACAAAACGGAGGCGGCGCGTAAGTCGCGTTCCCCTTGCCCCTTCCCTCTTCCTCGGGAGTGGACGAACGAGCTGGACGTAATTGAGAATATTTCGCGAATCCGCCAAGTTTTAATCGCCGAGAAATCCCCTCGGCGAGCCCGAATTAATCGCGAGATTACGTCGAGCGGGAACGGCCCAACCCTTGTTCCGCGTGTAATTACATAGTAATGGAATAAGCAAGGCGAAGCGCGTTTCCGGCGATTCCGGCGATTCCGGGCCATTTGGTAGATCCGACGAGTCCTTTTTCGCGATTCCATCAACCTCGCGTAAATGGCCAATTGCACGGCCCCGCCGGCGCGCGTCCCTATTCGGACGGATCGCGACGGAGCCGGGAAAGGGACACGGGGACTCGTGGCTTCGATGCATTCGTAATTCCGAGATAGACGGGGGAATCGAAATCTAATCGCGCGGACGTTGGCGTTGCAGTGTCCGGGAAGAAGGGCCGCGTGATGGAGCGCCGCCTACAGAAGGACTTCCAGATCGGCATCGTGGAGGGCATCGTGAACGCCGTGATCCAGAGCGAGAAGGAGCCGAAGGACGTGTTCAGCCAGATAGCCCGGGCCATAGGTCGACGGAGCAGCAGCACCACCAAGAAGAAGGACTGGAACGCCGTGGTGAGGCAGAACACGATAGCCCGCGACCCGATCGGGAGCACGACCGAGGCGGTCCAGCGGCAGACCAGGCGCAGTCTTCGCCGACACCTGCAGCAGAATCCGGACTCGAATCTCGCCTCCATGGACCCGGAGCGCATCCTCGACTACAACCCCAACCTCTCGGTCGTCTCTCCGACCACCAGGATCGCCTACGCCAAGTTCATGCTCGGCAGGAGACTGGGCGCCGCCGACGAGGAGAGCGAGGGTGACTCTCTCTTCCTTCTTCCTCTCGAGTTGCCCTTTCGGCGTAGCCTAGTAGCGGTAGGGACGGGAGGGTAGGACGAGTTCTGAGGTACGATGACTTTCCAGACAAGCCGGAGGGAGAGGGGAAGAGCCCGAGCACGTCGCAGCGTTCGAGCGTCAGGGTGAGGATAGCCGACACGGCTCGGCAGCCCTCGACGGGCTCGCTGGTCGCCGCTAACGGCGCGGGCACGGGCGTCAAGAAGAGCCTGCTCAAGGCCCTCAGCGCCGCCAGCCTCGAGAAGGCGGCCGAGAAGGCGACCGAGAAGGCGACCGAGAAGGCGACCGAGAAGGCGACCGAGAAGGCGACCGAGAAGACGCCGCCGGTGGAGCAGAGGTCGACCGAGTTCCGCGCGCCCACGCCGATCCCCGAGGACCCCAGGGAAGACGAGGCCGCCAAGTCCACTCCTCTCAAGGAGGCTCCGCGCTCCCCCGAGGGGAAGTCGAACGAGAAGCCGGAAGAAGCACCCGACGACGAGGAAAAGAAGAAGAAGGCCCCGCCGGCGAAACAGGAGGAGGAACAGGGCCCGATCGCTACCACCAAACTCAGGGGCAAGTCCAAGGCGACCGGACAGATCATGGGAGGGTGGATCTAGACGGGGATCGGCTGCTACGACGGTTTCCGTTTATCTTACCACGGAGGGGACCGGGCTTTCTAATTTATATATTTCTAGGATCGATCGGCGGATGACGAGGACACCGAAGATTCGATGGTGACTTTCTGGGGCGAAGCGAGACGCGGTTGTATACCGTAGTAGGCACGAAATGGAAAATAAAGGTGCAGCTACTATCCTCGAGGTTGTCTTTCTTTTGCGGAACGATGGGAATTTTTATTTTCTATTACCAACAACGCCAATTGGGTCAAAAGTACGTTTCGACTCTTTTGGACGAACGCGTTGAACGAGTTTGAATAGCGCGCGAAGTAATTTGATTCGCTTCTCCAAGCGGAGAGGGTGCCACGGTACGGGCACTCTCCGAAACAAAGCAGATTCCCGAACGCATCCAGTCGTGTTGAGTCGTGTCGCGCCCTTGCTCGGAGGTAGTCGCACGTGGAGATTGACAGCGACATTTGTTGGCTAAGAAAGTGTTCGTGTCAAGTGCAGGCAAGTACGCTTTGATTCAAGATTCTTTATTTTGACAATATTGACCGAAAGCGATGAGCATTTTTTCTGAGGCTACGTGGGAACCCAATGAAATTGGTGATTCATTGAATAAAGAGCTGTTTCGCAAGGTTAGAATCGTAAAATACATGACCCATAATTGTTGACACCGTCCAGTCAATGAAATGCTTAGTTCTGCTCGAATTATTAGTTAACTATTTTTTATTTGTTGTAGAAAATAAAGATAAAAAATAAGAAATTGAGAAAATCGAAGATTTCAAAGGGTTCACAGAATTTACAGGTTAAAGAACATGACATTACCTGCGATTCGATGCAAAGTATTGAGCACGTTGACGTTAATAAGCAGAAGAAGAAAAAGAAGAGGAAAAAAGATCGTAACGGAGACAGGAGTACCTTCAATTCTGTGCAAACTATCGAAAGTGTCAAAATAAATGATCAAGGGAAAAAGAAGAAACGTAAATTATCAAAGTCTAATGCAGAAGAGGTCCCTTCTAAAATTATAAAAAGTAATGCTGTGAGTCAAGTTGATCAGGAAAGTAAAAATTATGTACACAAGAATGAGCTATCGGATGTAGTAAATGATAAAATAATTAAAAAAAAGGAGAAGAAGAAAAAGCATTCCGATATGCAGTGTGAAAATATCCAGGAATGCAACCCTACTGCAAGTATGGTAAAAGAAAAAAGTCTGAATAAGAAGAAGGTAAAAAAGACTGAAACTGTCTATGAGAAAGAAATCCCAAGTCGAAGCAATTTTGTGAAAAAAGGAAAAGTAGATGGTTATAAAACTAATCTAAATATAGAGAAATTACGAAAATTACTTGAAGAAAAAGAACAGAGTGAAGTAAAGGTCAAGAAAGCGATTATGAAACCGTTATCCTTGAGAGATCGTATGATGGCCCAGCTGAAAGCGTCTAGATTCAGATTTTTAAATGAAAAGTTATACAACAATGAGAGTAAACAATCTAAGGAGTACTTTAAAAGTAATCCTGAGGAGTTTCTGGCTTATCATGAAGGTTACAGGCATCAAGTTGAACAATGGCCCATAAATCCCCTGGATATAATTATATCTGCAATAAAGAAAATGTACAGTAGCTTTTAATATGCTTAAATTATGCAGGTTTTCATGACGAATGATTTTATTATTCATTTGCAGGCCCAGTGACCACGTGATAGCAGACTTTGGATGTGGGGAAGCAAAACTTGCAGATTCGGTGCCTCATAAAGTACACTCCTTAGATCTAGTGTCAGTGAACGATAAAGTCAAAGCCTGTGATATGGCTCACACACCATTGTTGACTAATGGAGTTAACGTTGTGGTTTTTTGTTTATCACTTATGGGAACTAATCTAAGTGACTATTTATTAGAGGCCAATAGAGTTCTTAAGAAAGAGTAAGTACTCATAACGAAATTATATTAAGAAATCTTTTTGTTATAACTACATATTTGTTTGCAGTGGAATTTTGAAGATAGCAGAAGTCGAAAGCAGATTCGATAACGTGGAACATTTCACGAAAGAGCTATCAAATTATGGGTTCATCGATACGTGGCAGGATTTATCTCATGATCTGTTCTACTTCATGGATTTTAAGAAGGTAAAAGATGTCAACAGGAAGAACAAACTTCCTTCCATTACTCTAAAACCGTGTTTATATAAAAAGAGATGAAATTTCTAAGTTATATCCACTTGTATATTTCTTTTACATAAATGATCATAACAGTCAATATTTTTTACCATTCGATAATAATAATTATTGCCGACGCGATGGACACTATCCTCTAATTCCTGGGTTTCCTGTTAAACCACGAGACTCGAGGCAAAAACTGATGTGCGAGGCGTCGATGTCGTCGGAGCCATTGCGTGGATGTCTTTGGTGGAAGTGGTACCAGAAGAAGAATAACGAAGATCGAAGAGTCGAAGAAGAGAGAGGAGAGGAATCCGAGATGGAACGTCGCGAGAAGACCCACTGTACCTTTCACCTTATCGGTAAGTAACGTAGAATTGGCAGCGGGGTTACTGTGCTAGACATAGTAACTTAAAAATTAGTTGAAGTTGTAGCAAACAATCTTCACTACTGCGTGAATCGCAATGAGCAGTAGATACCTAATCATTGTTTGCCTGTTTAATATATGTGCTCGCTTAAACAACGTATTCATTCTTTAAACACGTTGTTCTGAAAAGCACAACATTTAATACAGAAGAAAAAAGACAAAGAAATGACCAACATTGTAACGATTTTCTTATCAACAAACGGAAGAGATAATTAAATTATTTGAAAGATTAAATTGAACATTTTCGGTGCGCGTTTGCAATTGCAAAATTGTCAACAGAGTAATTTAACTTACTTTTTTACAAAACACGGATGCTTAGCAATAAAACTGCTACGCATGAAAAATATCCAAACCTTCCAGAACTTCTTCAGCTTCATCTCTAAGGCTTTCCACTTTCTCCAACAGTAATAACTGAAACATTGAGTTTTCAATTTACTTTTGAAGTATGAAATCTAAAATCCAAATTGATAATGCAAAAACATAAGTTATAAGAGTACTCACGTTAGCAGCTGCAATAATTTGCGCAGCTGTTTTCTTAGGCAAATGTTCTATTTTCGTATATAATTCTTTCCCATCGGCTTGTGCTATCGATTTTAAAGTCTTATATCCTGCATTATATAGTTGACGTGCTCTGCCCTATATAATAAGAACATAATTACGTAATGTATGCCATATAATTTATTCCATACACAATGGCATTAGCAATGCTTACCACTTTGACAGAAGGAAGTTCCATCAACGACTCCAACTCACTGGAACAACAGCATGACAATTTCTTACTGAATGTTGTTAACAGATCCCTAAATGCCCAAAATTCTTCTAACTCCTGTTACAAAATGAAACGGGTTAAACATACTGTCAATACCACAAGGAACATGCTACAAAAGTCCTGATTGAATAAAGTGCTGGAGTGAACCTACTTCGCAAAATCGAACTACGGAGTAAGCAAACGAAGAAGTTGCATTTAACAAATTTTGGATAGTTCCTCGATGTACTTGATATTTGTCAGCAACAACGTAGACTGACTCTTGATTCCATAATTCGTGTAACATAAGAGTCAAATAGAATCTCTGTACAACTCTGGGATCGATACCCTACATTGATACATGATAGTCATTATTACATATTTCACTTCATAAAACAAAGTCTCCTTAAATTTATACCTTTGATAATATTCCATCACGTATCTTCGTTATAACAGCCTCATCAAGACCTAATAATCTTGAAGTTTCCATTTGAATTTGTGACAAATTGGTGACCTTAAAAGTGAAGAATGCAGTGTTAATTTTGTATTTTTATTAATTAAATATTAGAAGTTATTTAATATTGCCTTACCACGTCGTAATATACAGAGCCTACAGGGGTTATCTGACTAGCCAACTCATAAGGCGTGATTAGGTACAAAAGGTGTAACGAGTCAAGAAGTACTAAATGTTTCTGGGCTGTTTTCAAGTCTTCGTACAGCACGTAGGCAGTACTTAAGTCTATCGATCCTTGATTAAAGTAAATAAAATAGAAATTATATTCTGGCACTTATTAATTCAGTCGACATACGCAAATGTTTTGATTTATACAATACCTTTCATAGCAGCTTTCCCCAAATAGCTGACGTCTAATACAGTCGAGCTTTTTAATATAATAGACTTGCTATTTTGTGGAGAGACTGCTTGTGGTGAATCGGTAGGAACTTGAGTAGGAAAGACAACAGTTACATTGGAATCAACGAGAGTTCCCTTCCCTTGTTGTTGATTCACACAAAGTACTCCTGTTTTGACCAACTCAGCTATAGCTTTGTCGGTAACCTTTTTAGTATTAACACCCAATGTTCCTTCTTGCACACTTAACAGGGTCTTTGACATCAGTTTGTGTAACTCTGACCGTGTTGTAGCCAATGAAAGTAAAACAGAACTTAAAATTAAGTTGTAAATACCGCGATCTTCTTCCTTGTGTAATGTACTCAGAGAATCATCCATCTTCGACGTAAGGAGTGCCCTGACCTATATATATAAAAAAGAAAAAAAAATTTTAATTGCTCATATGCTGCAAATAATTTTTGTTATAGAGACTTTACCTTTGAGATTTCTTGGGGTTTACATATAAGTATACTTTCGCCAATCTCTCCCAATCCAGCTCTTCCAGCTCTACCTATCATCTGTTTGTATCGGCTCAAAGTTAAGAACTGATTTCCAACGTATGGAGTACGTAGTATTACCTAGAAAATGTTTATCCTGTACAATGTATTCAAATTATAATTAAATATATGCTTAAGAATTACCCTTCTCGCTGGTAAATTGACACCGGCAGCCAATGTAGAAGTGCAACAAATGACACATATGGTTCCTCCTCTAAATGCATCTTCTAATAATATTCTTTCTTCTGCCATTAGGCCCGAATGGTGGTAAGCTATACCAAATCTAATGGATTTGTTTAATACAGGACATATTGTATTTTCTGTTAGCAATCGAAGAGAATTTAACAGTTTTATTTTTTCTTCCTTTTTATGCTCTTCGATGAACCTAAAATTATATGATGTACATTTCAAAATATTCAGAGTATACATTGCTTTTATCATATTTATACTAAAAAGTATGTTAGAAGGCAGTCCTTTTAAACCACTTACTTAGGCAAGATTCTTGTTAATAACAATGATACGTTTTCACAATTTTTTCTATTTGAACAAAATATTAGACACGAGTCTGCGGGTATTACATCTTTTACTAGACCGCCAATCATGTCTGGATCTATTTTAGTTGCAGCTTTTGAATACTGAGAGGTAAAGAAAAAAGTGAATAATCTCTGTATACGCACTTAATTTATAATACATATTAACGATACTGATTTGGTCGAAATACCTGATAATTTACTGTCTTCCTGTCAGTGAATATTTCTTCCTCTTTTAAATTTAATAGCCATATGTCACTCTCACATTTGACGTATTCCTTGATTTCAATAGGTCTGAAATTTTGTGTGTAAATCTCGGCATTCAAGAACTTTGCCAAGTCTTGCAGATTTCCTATCGTTGCACTCATTCCGATTACATGTACATTCTCTGCAAATGGAATAAATCTTACACATTTGTTGTTACTAATTTAAATTCACTCTTACCATCAGTAAATATAACTTTTGTTAATAAAGTTTCTAATTTGGCACCGCGGCCACCATCTTCACCCAATAAGTGTAACTCATCGACAACTACAATGCCAATCTATAACAAAATAAGAGCAATATTGTTCTAACTACTTTATTTCTTTCGTGTAATTATTTTTACCTCCTTCAACCGGTTTTGCTCAATGAGACTATTTACAAGGCCTAGAGCCTTTTCAATTGTACATATGTATATACTATTTTTTCTACGCCTCTTCCTAGGTGGATAGATTCCTTTGCCAGCAGCATATTCTTCTACTAAAAAACCTAATTCAAGAGCGAAGGGTGACATCGATCGAACCTGCAAGTATGTGTAATAATTATTACAAGTAGTAAACTATAACAAGAAAAATATAAAAGATCTGATAATGCATCCAAAAATCAACATACTTTTTCTTGTACAAGCGCAACAAACGGCAACACAAATAGCACATTCTTTCTATTACACACAATTTCTCTAAGCATTAACATTTCTGCAACTAACGTTTTACCTCCGCTTGTGGGAAGTGCATATATTAAGTTCTTCCGACTTTTAACAGCTTGCAAATTTAAGCACTCGTCTTGCCATTCTGGAAATTGAAAACAAGAAATCACACATTTAAACAAGAAATAAAAATTCTTACGTTGAATGTTATATAAATATTTAATGATTTTCTTTAACAGGAATGTACTTACGGTATAATTCACTAATTCCTTTCACCTTTTGAATTAATGTTTTGATCCTCGAAGGCAAACCATAAAAAGTTTTCTGTTCATCTGTGCTGTTATTCAAAGAGCAAGGCGTAGGAATATCGAAGCTTCTTTCAAGAAAGTTCGGTATACTTAAATTAAAACTATCAGTCAGAAATTTTCTTTTCAGGGAATGATTACCTTCTTCAGTTAACGATTTATGCTTTAGAGTATTAGGCAAAGTGGCATGAACACTGTTGACAGAATTTGTTTCATATATTTTCGGAGTGGAGTGAGATAATTTATAAACTGCAAGGTCCTCGATTATTGGAATTTCATTTTCTGATAGGTTTGATAATACTTCCTTTTTGGTACTTTCTTTTAAAGTATTTGTACATACTTTCAGAGAGGAATGATTTAAAGAAACTTGTAAATTCAAATCATAAGTATTCTTAACATCATTGTTAACAAAATCAACGTGGGTCAATGTAGCAGTTGCCCCTTCAATGGGTTTTTTAAAACAATAATCGTGTCCCTTGACCTCTGTATTACCCTCCAGTTTACAATCCTCGTTATCGAAGAGATCAAATTCCATTATAGCTTCATTGAATAAAGTATCATTGTGCCAACCTGCACTATTTTCCGTAATATTTCTGTTCCTCTTATTTTTTAATGATATATCCCTGATATTTTCTTCTGCCTCTTCCATAGCGAAGGAGATTAATAATGAGTGTCAATGAAACTTGAATAACTGGTTCTGCACTTAACAAATACGACGAACAACGCATTTGACTTTTCTTAAAACTGAACTGCAAGAATAATAAATTAACGGGAAATATACAAAAATTGAAAGTTATAAAGTACAATCTATTGTAACCCCAACTTTACAATTCAAAAGATGTTTTCAAACGTGTACGCGATGTTTAACAAAGTGCCAACTCTTGAATAATGAAAATAAAATAACCCTAGTATACCGGAAATGACGATCAAACGATCACAGTGTTGAGTCCGATGGAAATAATGAAAAGTAACTAATGGTTGGAATGGTTGGAATAAAAGAAAAGATGGCCAAGGCCGCACTCCATTGGTCAGTCTCATGTGGTGGGCAAAAAATATCTATTTTGATTAATTGCCAACACCAGAAATATTCATAGGGAGGAACTAACTGATCTCGAAGCCTTCCACGGAAAGTCTCGAAGTAAAACTCCAAATCCAATATGTCGAAAAGACAGCGGGACATTTAAAACGTCCAAAAAGTTTCAAAATTAAATATAATCCTCTAAAGAAAAATGTTAAAAACCACCTTCCTGTCGGCCTTCTAAAGGGAAATAAAATTGGGTAGAACCGGTATTTCAACTACGTAATGAACCATCATTTTGTTTATCAATTTAGACAGTTCAAAAATAAAAGATGAATCATTTGAAACCATGTATTAACGCATTTTATTTGTGGATAATAACAAAATTCTGCGGAAAATTAGAGAACATTGTTTCGTTGGCATTTTTGTTTATAAATATACAAGGGCAACAAATACATTGGAAAATGAACAACTATGTGTTCAACTAAAATTGACTGGAAATCAAGTTCGTATCAACGTTCACGTCTTGGTTCGTTAACAATAGTTAAAAGAACCTTGAACCGTGATGTTAACGTTTTAGCGCTTTAATGAAAGTTTCTCTTGGTAAAGGAATATTACCTATTACTTTCATTTTCTTCTTTCCTTCCGCTTGTTGTGCTAAAAGCTTTTTCCTTCTCGTAATATCTCCGCCGTACTAAAAGGAAAACCCACATGACATGCTTGTATTAAGTATTCATAATTTAAAAGATTCAATTACCAATTTTGACGTGACATCTTTCCTAAATGGTTTCAAATTCTCTCTTGCTAAGATTGTTCCGCCAACTGCTGCTTGAATAGCGATTAAAAACTGCTGTCTAGGAATAATATCCAATAACTTTGTACATAATCGTTTGCCTTCCTCTTTGGCTTTAGTTGCATGAATAATTCTGCTTAATTCTTCAATCGCCACTCCGTTTAATAGAATACTCAACTAAAAATGGTATTCCACAATGCAGTGAAATACTTGTATTACGTAAAGTTTATTCTTCTTAATAAATTGTGTCAAAATGTTGTTAAGTAATATTTACTAACTTTGACGATATTTGAAGGTTCGTACCCAATGTCTTCGTAATCAAAGCTGGCATATCCCGAAGTTATGGACTTCAGGGAATCGTGGAAATCAACGATAATCTCATTCAATGGCAATGTAAATTGCAGCAGTATTCTCTCATCGTCAATGCTGGTTGTTGATTTTTCAACACCTCTCCTATCCATGCATAAGGACATTACGTCCCCGAGATATTTCACTAGACGTTTTACAAAATTTAATTAGATATAGATTGTGAAAAAATTGTGCAAACAATAGAAGGAATATTGCTCATCGCATTTGAAAGTTTAGCCAACATTAGTTATGCGATATGACCATAAGAACAGTAACAAGGAAAGTATTTACCTGGAGTAATAACAGTTCCTAATACCATTGGCTCGTAGAACTGAGATACAATTTGTACTTGGGGAAACGCAGCCGGATTGTTGAATAGAATTTCATCAGTTCTGTATTTTGATATATTTTTTTGCCCAATAATTTTGGCTTTATAAGTCACTCCAGGTGCGGTTACTATTGGCTGGGCTCCATATTCCTGTTCAAGACGTTGCGTAAAGACTTCCATATGCAGCAGGCCTAAGAAACCTAAACGCCAGCCCTGACCGAGTGCCGGACTGTAATAAATTAATATAGAAATGGTACAACTCAAGTGACCTCAAATGACTGAGTGTTTATTTCGTTACCTGGAGTCTAGCTCAATAGTGACCGCATTGTCATTAAGTATGAGTTTCTCTAGAGCATTCTTCAATTCTATGTTTTGGGACTGATCCATTGGATAAATCCCTGCAAATACCATCGGCTTTGCAGCCTTAAATCCGGGCAAAGCTTCCACAGGTTTATCTTTCAAATGCAAAGTGTCCCCTATATGAGCCTCTTCGGAAGTTCGCATATTACAGGCGATGCATCCTACTTGTCCCGCAAATCTATAATATGTAAAATATAATTCTGTAAGAGAGGACAATGTTTTTATTTAAATAAGCCTTGTTTTGCCACAGTAGTGCGAACGAAACGAAAAGGTGAAACGCCGTAGAAAGGCGTCCAACGCATGTCGTGAACATGCACCAACATTTGTAGTTCATCTTCATTATAAACAACAAGATACTTTTATAAAACTTACAAGGTTTTCACAAATTCTTCATCTGGCCTCAGAATAGAGATTGTCTTGACCTCATATGATTTGCCTGTGTGAACAGAAGTGATAAACTGTCCAACAGACAGAGATCCTTCGGCCACATAAATTAAACTAATTGCACCTTTGTATTTACTGAACCAACTGTCAAAAATTAAAGCTCTGAATGGTGCATCTCTAATGGCAGGTGGTGGTGGAATTCTTTTGACAATAGCCTCTAAGAGTTTGTCAACACCTATACCTAATTTTGCTGATATCTTAAGAATATCATCTGCCTCGACATCAAAAAGAGTCTTTAATTGCTTGGCAACTCTTTCTGGGTTAGCATTCTTCAAATCTATCTTGTTTATCACAGGCACTATTACGAGATCTTGTCCAAATGCCAAATAAAAGTTTGCAACCGTTTGAGCCTGTACTCCATCGTTTGCATCGACTAAAAGTATCACACCTTGACAGGCAATTAAGGAACGATACACTTCGTTAGAAAAATCAACGTGACCAGGAGTGTCGATAAGATTCAGAAGGTACTCCGTACCCTCGTATGTATATTTTAACGAAGCCGTCTGTGCTTTCACGGTAATTCCTCGTTCTTTCTCAACCTGCAGCTTATCCAATACTTGTGCTCCAGAGTTTGCCTTGATCGCTCCCGTCATTTCCAATAGTCGATCTGCAAGGGTACTTTTCCCATGATCGACATGAGCGATGATACTAAAGTTGCGAATGTACTCAACCCGTATTTGATACTCTTTGAGAGTTTGCGATTCTGTTGAATATTTACTTACTAAAACCTGCCAGGACCTGTGATAGCAAACTTCATATAAGAAATAATTATTACTTTAATTTCACTACGGTTATAGATTCATTTTCAAAACTTATTAAGGGTATGTGGATATTTTTATTTATTATTTATTGTACCAACCTTCTGTGTTTCTGAATGTCAATTTTTGACATTACATGTCTTGCGCGTAGATTCAGTGAACGGCATAATATCTTATAAGTAATCATTGTAAGTAGCTCATTAAATGTCTCATCGAGCACTTCTATTTCAAAATATTTACAAAATTCATATAAATTGATTTCAATTGAAACATAACCCTACAATCAGTTTAAATTTTATTATCGAGTAGAGGAAATGGGAAGGCAATACACATGGACATTTTCTGAACAACTTGCAGCCCCTGCCACCTAGTGGCAACGCACCGTAATAGAGAGAATTTAAAAATAATAAAATGCGAATAACAACTGTTAGTTTATGAGTACCTATCCAACTAAGTGATGCGGAATAATTCTTATTGTTTCTATCTACTAACGTACAAGCACATATTTTTTGTTTTCTCGGAACATACGTGGTTCCTTAAAAATCTAGCAAAGTAAAGATAAATCCGTTTCCTTGATTAATAAACAGGTGGCATCAACGAGTTCGGTGATTGCATATTTTTAACTTATTGTTTTATGACGCGATGTCGCTATACAATTGTCTCTTTGATTACTTTTTCATCCACCGTACTCACGTCCGTGTATTCAGGATGCCCTTTCATCCCACGCTTCTGCAAGTGCGTCATTCGCCGAAAGTAACCTTCCTTCTCCCTCTACTCTTGAGTATATAATGCTGAAAAGCACAAGAAAGTGCGTAAACGTTACTTACTACGCCATACATATTTTTCCCCCTACAATGATTTTCCCACCACTTTATCGTGGCATCCCGGTTTGGATTATTATTCATAAGCCTCATTAACATCATTAACATCGTCTGTTGGTATATGATAGTCGTCACTCGCCTATTTCCGCAGTATTGCGGATATTCTTATTTATTAATGGTACATAACGGTACATATTTACTTTATCCCCTATCCCCCAAAATTCCCATGGCGGCGTCAATACGTTATCTACGAAGCCTGTTGCTTCAAATAACATCCTGCTGGCATCGGCGTAGGCGTGCTAGTGTAATTACACCTCTTTTTTTTATCGCGCTAAAAGAAGGATAAGCAGTATTGAATAATAATTGATGGCACCCGGTAGTAAGTAAAAAATTGAGGCACTAAAAATAGTATGGATGCAAATAAGTCCATAACGAAGTGACGGTCGTACCGCGAATATTGGCGTTAAGTATTCGGTGCCGTTCGCGCAGGCCTTTAATGCGTTTGGCGCGAAGCTCTACCTAGTTTCTTAATGAAATATTTCTTTGGTTCGATTCCTTTCCTCGGTGATCGCGCCTCGTTCCCCGATACTTATCTTGAGACTTCCGAGGGTCAGTCCACCCCGTATTTTCGAATATTCCCACGCCGGCGCCAATAAAGGAGGTCGCATCTCCGCGACACCGCAGCGTGGGCGCGCGTCATCCCCATCGATTGCCCGCATGAATGATTTTTCCTGCCCGCATGCCGGTGACTTTCCCCGGCGGCGACTCCCCACGTTTCGCCGACCGCGAGGTTGCGCGCGCCGATGAGTCGACCGGTAACAGGTGGTTCGACGCGATTGGCCGGCTCCAGCCGGCGCGCAGTGCGCGCCGCTACCCGGCGCAGCGCACGTGTACGCGACGACCGCGAAGGCACCGCGCTCCACGCTCCACGCTCCACGCTTCCACTGGAGGATTCCAACGAAAAGTCCCGTTACGACATACAACTTTCGATCGAATTCTAGCTAGCTCCCACGTGGGAATCCTCCTCGACCTGCAAAAATAGGTATACGCGATAACATGCTTTCGTGGAATGCTTATATTGCGTTTCCCCACGTTTCTTGATATTACGTTTGTTTTCCGGAATCGGCGTCGTTCTTGCTAGCCTCCGTTTGCGTATGAGGTTTACGGAAAGAGAAGAATCTGTATATGGGTGTATGTCAATAATAGCGCTTAACGCGAAATGCTTATGCTTTCGAAGAGATGGTTCGATGTTATTTCGCAAGATGTGCTTACGGTTTTCCTGCTCGTTGCCGCATTGGTCTAAACGTTGGGTATAAGATCGAGATTTTAACGGTTTTATGTTAGGAAAAGGGACTCGAGAGCTTTTGATGCTTTTCGTGATTCGAGGGAAATTTGTCTTTCCTTTGATTTTTTCCCTGCCGTTGTCGGAGAGATATTTCCGGTGGGGAAAGTCAAGAGTCTCACCCTGTATATCTAGATGCCTATAAAAAATTGGACACCGGTCGCAAGAAGTTAAAGAACGGCGACAAGGCGTCGCCGTCGCGCCTTAATACCGAGATTCCAGATTTCCGTAACTCGTGACGCCGCAAATGACGGTTATGTCATTGCCGGTCGTCGAACTCGTCTCGATATCCGCTATAAGTCCAGAGGAATCGTATCGGCGCCCTCGAAATCTCGGGGAACCTAACCTTGACGGATGTAACCTTCCGATACGTTCACGGCCCCTTTCGAGACGGACGAATCGTTCCTTTGACTTTTCCTCGTATCGCTTCGAGGAACGGAGATATCTCCGATCGAGTGCCTCACCCTGTACAGGGACTCGAGAAAGGAAACCGGCAGGGTCTTTTTCTCTTTTTTCTTGCCCTCTCAAAAGTAAAAGACGGCGTTCCCGGTTTGGAAACGGGGATTCCAGATTTCCGTGAAGCGAGTCGGGTTGACGAACGCAGCCGTGCATTCGGATCGAGGCCCCCTCTCCCGGGGCCCGGAATTCCCGAGCGGGACCGAGCGGGACCGAGCGGGACCGAGCGGGACCGAGCGGGACCGAGCGCGGCGGAGAGAGAGCGACGCTCGGGAATTCTATCGGAGGGTGTGCGCTCCTTCTACCGCCTCCTGGGCGAGCGCACTCGGCGCCGCCGCCAGTGGCCGCCAGTGCGCCTTCGACTGGCTCCGGTGTACGCGCTTACCGCGCGCGAGGGTCGTCGATCCAGAGCTGGACGTGATCGCGCTGGTGAAGCGCATAATTCAGCTCGATAACCCGGAGCGTGGTCAACGTGTTTAAAGCGGTGAAGTGCTACGAAGCAACGTGATTCGCCGGACCGTTGCCGGCAGAGTGCTCGCAAAGTGCTTCGAGCTATCCGGCAGGCGGCTGGCGCGAATCAACGATTGCCTCGATGAAAACGAGAAGAATGCGGATCGACGGTTCTCGTTAAAAAAGTTTGCCGGGAGGTGCGATCCGACCGAACGGGAGTCGGAAATGTCGAGAGATAGGTTCGGAGGGGCAGGATCGACGCGATGCCGATGAGCGAAGACTTAACGAGGGGAGAGGAGAAGGAAAGATCGTCACTTTAGGGGAAACGGAACATCGGGAAGACCGGTTACGAGGCAGAATCGTTGCGGTATCGGAAGATCCGGGATTGCGGATTGCATTTTGATGAATGCCGTTGCCGAGGGAGGTTTGGATGAGAAGAGAAGAATAACAGGAATTAACGGCAATTAGTGGATCTTGGTTTCTTTGGCCGAGGTGTATAGACAAACACTCGAGTCAGGGAAGCCGGATCCAGGAGAGGACCGTTTCAAGCCGAAGGAAAAACAAGAATTGCGAGATCTACGTCGATATGTCTCCGAAATGACCGTTGTTGTCCGAAAGGAAAACTGGAGGGACGAAATTGGAAAACGCGGAAAAGATAAGAAGATAATTTTTACGAATTGAGCGTTAACGTCCTTGAGACGACTTCGGTGGTCGTAATAAGAGATTCAATAAGATAAAAGGATAAAAAGAGTTGGAGATCAGTGAACGACCGAGATCGCCAGGATCTGCTGCGAGTTATCGGATCAACGTTCCGGAGGTTAGTATCGATCAAGATATCGAGTAAAATGTCTATCGACCCTTCGATTCGAAGAACGGACTTTTACTCGCCGGGAACGTCTCGTGGTCAATGTTAGTTCACGTATTCGAGCGATGTCTAGACGCAGTGATTCTCAAGTAGGAACCTCACATCCTTGTATCCATGAGTGCCAAGAGGTGTCGATAATAATTCCATTTAAGGATATCCGAAAGTGCCTCTCGAGGTGAATTTATCTTTGCTTCGATTTATAATTATTTCATCAAATTCTTACAAAAAATGTGTTATCCTTCGTGCCAGCGATACGAAGATAACGTGACGCGTGAAATGACGTGCGTTTAAATTGTTTCGATATCTCGTACTTTGATTAAATGATGTAACTTTTCATAAAATCTCGACACAAATCTCTCTGATTAATACACGTGGGCGTAATACATTACGGTGTTTGATAACTTTACTTAATAATTTGGGACGATACCGAGAAACGATGGTCTCGGTAATGTGCGATGAAGTCACCTCGAAAGTCATTCAAGTTTATCTCACTGGGATTATTGTGGTGGTTATCTCGGACACCGATTCAGGTTACGTTTACCGCGAATGATTCGAAGGGAGTTGGCAAACAATTTAGTGTAAATAAAAAGAAAAGGAGAAAATGCCGGCACTTCGTAGCCACTCTCATGAGATATTTCCCACATGCTGGTAAAGCGTCCTGGTTTCTTCTCGGTTTCTTCTCACTTTCGCTGTAATGGCGCCCGTGACTTATACTCCCGCTAAGGGTACATTGTATTCTGATATGCCCTTAACTGGGCAAACCTCCTCCAAAGAGACAAAAACATGATCCCGTAAAGTGCTGGCCGTTGTTTCCGTTATACCGGCGAACGCCCGGTCGCCATGTTTCACGACACACCTCCGGTCGAATTTAACACTCATTTTACGTTTCATTTGAAAAGAGGGCGCGTTCGACGATATGCAATTTATACATTTTTCTCCCAATTGCTCTTGCCAGTTTGCTGCTGTTTGCTAGGCAAATAAGTTCTCGACGATCGGTGAATTTACTTTTACGGATCGTTTAGTTAGGACGAATCGTAAGGAGGATCGTTACGTGGAGATTATTCATTTCTAGATTACTCGTTAGATGTTGAGCGCGTAGATCGTGATCGAATTTCTGAATAATGTATCCGTAAGTATGCGAGACTCGTTTGCGGATTTTCTTAACTTTTCCATGAGAACGAAGTCGAGCGATCTCGGGGAGGTATTTCTGCACGTGGGAATCCGGCATTCCTTTGAAATGCAGGTCGTTGCCGCGATGTTTCTTCTCGCTTCCTCGTCAATTTATGGTTGCGTATTCGAATGCCCTTAACCGCGTCAACGTTTCATTTAAGGGAGTACGATAACCTTGAAAGCAAATTTCATTCTCGCATAGTTTGCAGCGAATCTGTGAATCGTGGTTGCGCAAACGATAAATTGCACATCGGCGCGCCCTTAACTGCCCATACTTAGCGCGTCGAAAAGGACGAAAAAGAAGAGGAAGAAGAAGAAGAAGAGTCGACCCGTTAAGTGGTCGTTGTCACTTGCGCCTCGTATGCCTAGGTTGGTTGTCAACCGCGCATACCGATGTCGAGTGCGCGAATTCTCGCCGTTATGTCGAACTTTCGAGGGGGTATTCACTCGGGAAATCATGGATTTTAACCCTTTGATTACGAAGCCCCTATAGCGGCTTCCGCATGGCCGACGTTTTTTTACGCCGCTGGAATAGTTTTCAGGAATTTGAGGAAATCTCCCGACCGATTCGTTGCGATTTGCAGTTTCGTAAGGGATAACGAGGGATATCCTTTTTGCCTTTAGATAATGAATTTTCGGTGACAGGCCCTGTAGTATCTCTTCTGCTCCCTGCAATAAATTTGACAAATTTCACTTCGGTAGGACGGAAGAAACTTGGAAGGTTGATTTCGTCGAGGTCGTGTGAATCGCCTCCCAGGTTCGCATAGAATTAACGGTAAAGATGAGTAATCTCACAAACGAGTCCGACGAGGAGACAAGAGTCGAAATTTCGGTACGATCTCCGACGGTCTTTTGAATTTTAGTCACTCCTTTTATTGTCTTTTAGTTTCGCGTCGTTATCTGTGTCATTGAAAATTATATTTATAACAATATTATTTGTTGACTTTCAGTGGCTTTATGGAGTGCCGTTATGATAAAAATGGTTTGCTTTTCAGCCGCTTCCTGGAGTGCCGTTAAATCGGGAGATGGACAAGAGTCTCTTGTAGGGAAGAATCGGCTCGGAAAGGGGGAAAAAAATGGAGTTCTACGACGCGAACAGCGGAGACCTTAGGGAACTTTGGGAGTCCTACCTCACCGAGTCGGTGAGTCCAGTTTCCTTTTGATCTAGGATGTACTATGGCATTCGGGATCGATCGATTGGATCCCGCGAATCGATTGGTCCCGGTCCAACGGGATGCCGCCTCTCTCGCATTCGAAGCCCGACTCGCCGGGGCGAATCTATTTGTCTTTGAGAATTGCGGAATCCAGGATGCGAGAAGAAAAAGGAACGGAAGAAAGCGAAGGCGAGAGAGGGAGCGTCTCCTCGGACGCGAAAAAGAGGACAGATTACGGGAGGTGATGGCGGTAATAAGATTTATTCCATTACATTCCGGGGAACTCGGAGGTTCGTCGAATAGTTGAAGAGTTTCGATTCTTGAACAGGGGATGGCATGTTGCATGTTTGATCTAATTTTTCATGTTATGCATGGTAGTCGCTTACCGTGTTCTTAATAAGAAAAAAGTTCACACGTAAAGAAATGTATGTGCACGGTGACATAATTCTACGAAAGGGGACTCGCATGTCGTTTTGTTTATACAACTGAACAAGCAGCTCTATGTAGAATCATTTCTTTGCAAAGTTGGCACCAATTATTAATACCTGTTGGAAAATTGACACCTTTTCCCCTAGTTATCGCGGTGTACCAGAATTTTAATTCGATTCTTGATAACTCGGTATGAAATACATATAAATTTGAATATTTGCACATTAAAGGGAGAGACAAATATAATTAGGATCCGGAGTCGGATATAATTTGAATACAGATATTTATTCAAGGCCTTCGGCATGTTTCGTTTATATAAATTCTATACCTTGAAGAACGTTAAATCTATCATTATGAATTGTTCAAGCTCGATTTGCATTGTACATTTGTAATTACTTTCATTCGGTTCCACTGTACACGTAATGTTCGAGGCTGTTACTACCAATTGCGTAAACGAACTGCGATCACCGAGCCAATCGGTAATTACTAATTGTTGTTTATTGGCCGGCAAGCACTTGGGCTTATTGCTTGCGACGGTTCTTCCTTTTCGCTTCGAATCGTGTGTTTTTTTTTTTAGACTGCGTTAAATCCGTCCATCTTGAATAACGCTCTAAATAAAGCACGACGGATTCAAATTAAACTTGACGGCAGATCTTCCTCGGAACTCGATTGAATGGCGTATTTTGAGATACTCGAAGGAAGGTTCTATTTTGTTTTGTACCTTGATTATTCATACTGCTTATGCAAAGTACTCTTTGCAGGCGTCGAGTTTTAAACAGGACGCCTCATTGCCACATGCGACTCGTCGTAAAATCCAAGAAGAAAACGGACAAATGCGAAAATATATTAAATCACGAGTTAAATTCTCGTCGGGTTGTTTAAGCGACGTATTAAATCATTTATATCCCCAACTTTGTAGATTTTCTAAGTTATCGAGGGCAAAAATTCTCCCCATTAGTGATCACGGTCGTAATGATTAGTTGCATTATAACCTGAAAGTGAACAAGAATTATTGTTAAATCGACATTTTTTTAAATCATCTTCCCATGAATTGCAGGGTATGTCTTTCTAGTGCGTTTCAGAATCAATTTTTAATTATTTATAAACAATTCGGTACAGATTGTGTGCTCGATAGTTGACGTTTGTAACGATGACAGTCACGGATATATACCAGCTGTCAGGAAAACCAGACTGATAACGCGGTTGAAAAAAAAAAAAAAAAAAATGCGGGAAGATAACGAGCGTCGAATTACGTAAAATTGCTGTTATAGCTTTACATGGTGACTGTCGCGATATATTCGCTCGTAAGTCCTGTTACAATGTGTTATCTGGGTATACACGGGACACGACAGGGAACATGTCAAAGGACACGTACAGAAATATTTAATTTCGGTGTAGATAAGCTTTTTACAATTTCAAAATTGTCCGGCTGAGATTGCGCGACTGCAAAATTACAGACACGTTTACATGTCCAGTATCGAGGTTTATTTTTCGAAAATTTGGAAATTATCCCCCTTAAGCGCCTCGATTGGAAGGTGACGCGTTATCGACACGTATCAGTGATAAAAGGAATTCAGTTTATGACGCGATATCAGTTATTAAAGAAAGAGCGGTAAGTTATATAGCATATCATTATGTACACCTTGTAGAACTTGTCTCGGTGGTAAACGAAAGGGATGTAGATTTGAGAAATAATTCGCAAAACTTGTGGAGTAAATTCAAAACCTGTCCTGGACTCGTTCAAAAGTCGACACTTCGTCACGACGTGGGAGCTGTCACGAAGTATGGAAAAAAGAGGAAAAAAGAGGAAAAAAGAGGGCATCTGCGTGACGATCGGCGATGTCCTTCCGGGACTTATCTTGAATACAGAGTACGTAACATCCTCTGCTTGCGCAGGTGGTAACGACGTCCGCCTGCATATTATTAATAACGCGGTTACTCGAACTACTTCTCCGGCGGCGACGCGATCGATTCTTCCTGATTAATGTGCCAGTTGGGAATCCGAGGCGAAGACCCGTCAATCGCCTCGGCATAAACGGAAAAATCCAACATTTATGCTCGCATTTGGTTTAAAAGTGCAACATTTATTATGATTAATGAGACAACGTTGAGTCAGGGGTGATGTAGATACATTTTTCTATTTTTCAATTCTCTAATTTAAAAGTGATTTTTTAAGATTTTCGGAACAGCGTCCATTTCCGCCCGCTCTTGTTATCGGCGTCTCTTATCGTTGCTTTTTTTAGCATCAAATCTTTGACTCGTCAAAGGTTGCATTCATTTGTAATCTCGCGACGGTATGTATTGATAAAAAAAGCGATTCGTTGGTTGCTCGTTGTCGAAGCGGCATAAGGAACGGTCGACACAGGTCGGGGCGTTGTCACGGTTGGGCGATTCCTGGCGCAAAACCGGAAGTGACGGAACATCGGTGCACGCCGGAAGTGGCCTCGGAAAGACCGAGAGAGCCCTGTCGAAGGGAGGATAAGAAAGAGAGGAAGCGAAAAAGTCCCGTTCCAGGAGGATAATATCGGAATCGTTAAAAATGAGCGTTAATATGGAATCGTTTGAAATTGAGAATCGTGCCATGAGATCGTTTAAACAACCATTTAAGTAATTTCGCAGGGCTATATCGAGGTTTCATTTTGGACTAATTGCGGCAATTACTCGTCGAGTTAATTGCGGGTGCTAATGGGGGAAAATCCTTTCTTAGGAATTCATCAGAAATTCTTAGAAGCTGCCCTCATTTGCAATCTGGCTAATATTCCTGACGGGTCAGCAATAAACGACGAATTCCCGTCCGGCATTGCTTTAACCCAACACCCACGTAGCCATAATGTAACCCAGTTCCGAAATCTTTAGTGTTATCAGGAACTAAGTTATCGTCCAGGAGATAAATGGAGCGAGTTCACTCCCATTACTGCGCTATCAACGAAGGGGAACGCATTTTTCCGACTTCGTTGCGTTTAGCAAAAATTTTCAATATTTTACTTCGAAATGAATTTGAACGTTTCATTACTCCAAACTTATTCATCACTTACAAAAATTGCACAACTCGCGAGGAATCTCTAAGTCACCGCATTCCGTGCACATCCTTGAATTGTAATAAATCGACATGCATTACGGACTCTGTTGCTACTAATTAAATCTTGATAAATTCCGTTGAATCTTTGATTGCAATCTAAGTGAATATTTAATACATGGATTGATGTGAAAGTAGAAGACATTGGAATGTTACGATTTACTTTTTTGTTCTTGGTTATTGCAAAGGCGTGTACCGAAATGTCCACCGTTGCGAAATGATTTCTCTGTTCTGTATACCTGTTCGGCAAGATCGAAATCGTGGCCGAAACGCGCGATTAAGGACGGAAAAAGAAATTTAATTGTTCGAGGTACCGGAATAGTAATATGGTTCGCGGTACTACAGTATCATGACCTATACTCTACTTGCGCTATAATTGGTCCGCGCGTTGCGGCGTAACTCGAGACAAACTTCACCGAAAACATCGAATTCTCCTGCCTTTCGCCTAACCTAGATTAGCGGACTAATTGCACCGCCTAATTGCGGGATTTGGCGAAATGGAACTCGAAAAATGCCCGAACTACGTTAGGGACCCTAATTTCTGCCTAATCGATTTTAAAGTGCCCTTTTTGGATCTCAGATTTCCTTCGTCGATAAAACTTCAAATTGTTTACAATGAACTCGCTTGAAGAAATTTAAACAACCCCAACTTCCAACGAGCCTCAAACACATTCGGTCGCCGTTTTCCGCTTATCACTTGTCGGATCGTTATCTAAGGAAGCGGAGTTTTTCGTCAGTTGTCAGTGCGTCGAAACCCTCGATATCGGGGATACGTGCGCGAAGGCAGCGTTTTGAGCATGATAACCTCAACAATGGAATCCCATTTCAGGTAATGAACTATTTGTATGCTTTCTGTCGTTCCCGACGAGTGCGCGCGCATCTCTGGGCAGGAAACAGGACATTCTCCGGGAAAAGAGAAAACGGAACGGACCGGTCGTACTTGTCGCGGTATCGGTTTTTCTGCTATCGATACTCGTGGACTCGACACTTCGGGCTCGTTTCGTGCCGGAGATAGCTTGGCTTCTTAATTTTGCGATCGTGTCGCCAATTTGCCCGCGCATTTGCCCGCGCATTTGCCCGCGCATTTGCTCGTGCAGGGTCAAATCGTGACACCGTAAATGATATATAAACCCCGGCAGCGGATACCAGGCCGGCTAAGAAGCTACGTTCTTGTTGGCGACTCTACCACACATTCTTATCAATTTGCCCACACACTTGCCCGTGCAGGGTCAAATCGCGATGCCGCAAATGATAAAGGCGCGTTTCGCTCATCATTCGACCCTACGAGTTTCATGATATAAACCCCAGCAGTGAATACAAGGCCGGTTAAGAAGCTACGTTTTTGCCGCTAACTCTACCAGCATTGTTGCGCGCTACTGCCGGAACAGAAGATACGCGTGTAACTACCCTGGTGATAACCTTATCAAGAAACCTTCCATGCCTCCGGACTTTATGACCCAACTGGAAATTTATTAGGTGCATTTTTCAATCGCAGAAATTTTTATATCGCGCTTGCAAGGATTCAATGCAAGAGGTCCTTCGTTATTTTCTTCAATTTTCTACATTTTGTCAAGCACTCTTTTTGGAAACGTCGATCGGGTTCCCGACGAAGGATTCGGACCAACCTTCCATGGCTCCGAATTTTATTCCCGAACCGGTCGCCTACTACTTGTACAGTCTTTCTTAAAGAGTTTTAATCGAGTAATTATTTGAATACGCCTTTAAGAAAAATCTCGTATCCCTTGGACGTCTAGATCTAATCGCAGGTATCGATCCATCGAATCTGGGATTCAATACAGGTCGATTAGTCGCGATCGGCGATCATTCTTAGCCAGGCCAAGGACGTGCGTTCCCAGTGCGCTTCGTTATCGCGCCGATTTTTTCGCGTAGGCGACTTAATGGTTTCTCGGCAGCGTTCCCTGCCATTAAATTTCGTGTAACGAGACCCGACCTTATCAAACATAAATTGGATCATTATCATTCGTGCCCCTGTCTCGTCGTAAATGGAAATAAATAAAAACCAAGGTGCTTTTCGTTTTACGCGCCGATATCTGCCGTGCAATTCTTTCGACTTAGAGGATGCCATTGGTGGAGACGTCATATATTTTTCCCTATCGGTGGAATAAAATGGGACCGAGAAGCGTATATAGCATTCGTAGTTGCAAGAAACATAAACTATTTTGATTTTCATCGACTTTTGAAAAAATTCATCGAATCGATCGAAATATTAATTATCTTTCTTTAGATATACCGATTGGGAGAGATCAAGTTTGATTAAAAAATTGAATTCGACCAAAGCGCATCATACTCGAGCAGGTAAATTATTGAGAGGAAAGGGTGTCCTTGCGCATTCTTTTTTCCGTAAATAGAGTGGGAATCCGGTGGTTTCGTATCGGCCGGTTAGCTCGGGTATCGGCAGAGCCGTAATCCGGTCTTTGGATCGGACGGGTTCGGATGGAACTCGAGGACGTTCACCTTTTTTCGTGACTTCGGCGAGACCGGTACCGGTACCCATGACCACCTTCCATCTTCTTTAGACGCGGAGCCATAGACCAAGGTGCACGCCTGAGCACACCTGAGCTCACCTGAGCATCGCCGGGTACCGGATTCACTCTCCTCTTTTCTCCTCTCCTCTCCTCTCCTCTCCTCTCCTCTCCTTGACTCGACTCGGCTAGAAAGCACCCCGAGGTTTTCGACGAGTCTCCGATGCCTTCAGGACCATGATCGATTACGAGGGGAGAAAGGTGAAAGGATCCTCGGAGCCTCTAACCGGCACGGATCGATGGTGCCGTGGATCCTTTTTTTACATTTTTTCCACGGCACGCAATATTTTTCTCCATTTGTTTTCCATTTCCCTCGACTTTGCCGTTTCCACTTTAACCAAATTTTCGGCAGAAATATTCAAAGGGTTCTTAATATTTATTGGTAGTAGGAAGATTTTCTTGCATGCATTGAACGGTATTGTCAAATTATGTAACAAGAAGAAGAGCATTCCAAGGTATTGGACGAGCCTCGAGAATGGCGATCAAAGGCTAGAAGAGAAAAGAGAAAGGACTTCGGACGAAAAAGATCCTGGAAGTATCTAACGGCTGTTTTGCCTTCGTCTTTTAACATCCCGGAGTTTGTAATAATTGCATAAATCTTTTTCACGTGGAGTTCATCTTTAAAGAAAAATTAAATAAATGGCTTCCGGTAGGGAAAGACTTGATGCGACGTTTGGAAATGTCTTTTGTTAGTGGAGACGGTTAATTGTTTATAATTGGCTGTTCTCTAACTTTTTCCATATCGGTAGATTACGTGGAATGCGAGGCATAACCGTGCAGCTCACGTGCGTTGTTATTACGCGAGTACGTTAGTAGGACAATGAAGGATCGATCGATTCTCGAGGAAGGTCGAAGCGTTTCCATGTGTCACGTTACATGTCCCAATCGTTTGATTGCCCGATACCGTGATAATCCCCAATCCGAATCCCAAAGTCGACTTAGATTTTTTATACGTCAATGAAACGAGAAAAAGGAAACCAGACGATGCGAGTTGCGTGAAAAATGCCGGACGAAAATTCGTTACCGTATTTCTTCCGGTACCTTATCGAATATTTCCGGTCTTTCGATGCTAGGCAGAGGAAAATCACATTTACGGACTCCATTCGGCGTATCGGTCCCTTCAACTTTTATACGAAGCATTTTATCATATCGGCCAACGTTGACGCAGAAAATTGATTACTAGAAAACGATTAACCGAATGATTAAATTTCTTGAGCACTTTCGACGTTGCGCTTTCCCCACTCCGACACGGTCGTTATCGGAAAGTGCAAGCCAGTGCACCGTGAGATGCCGGATTTTCGGGGGCATTTTTGATTCCCCTTCCTTATCGGGTCGCCAACCCGATTCGGATCACCTCGATGCGGTTTCGCAGGGTCGGTAACCGAGCTCGAGGACTCGCAGAAAGTGCCGACCTCGCTGAATTGCCCCGCGAAATCGCTGAGCAATTGGCTTGCAAACCTCTCGCCTGGCCCGTTGATTTCGGTGGAGAGCGGTCGAAAAAATTCGGACCGGTCTCGAAGTCCACTCTGAAATTTGCTTGGGTGGCTGAACATTCGAATTCCAGACTTTTTGGATAGTATTTGGCACGACAGTGCCCTACTGGAGCAATTTGATTAACTGGAAGACTCGCACGATAGTACACATTTATGGTAACGATAGAAAAAATAAAATTGAAATTTTCAATTTGGGACTCGCTCGCTTCTTCCGTTCACTTTGTGTATCCACGGCGTCCATTTCGAGTGGTCTCGAAGTGAGTCTTATTTCCGCGAGATTTGATCGACGTAATCGATTCGATGGCGAGTCCTTCCTGAGGCCGCCGGTTGAATGGCTCGCCCTTCGGGCCCGAAGCGTGTCGAAGAAGAGGCGGCGCGACCTTGGCATTGAGTTCCGCATTGCTGGAGCGCGAAGCGAGTCGAGTCCCCGTTCTCCCATGTGGGCCCCATGGGCCCCATGGGCCCCGGACGGCCACCGGAGGAGGGGGACCGTCCGTATAAAGCCGGGGTAACGCTACCTACGTTTACGGAGCACGGGTAATTTTAGCAGGGAGCTTCGCAGGTTCATCGTACCCTCCGAGTTTGGTACCGATGACTCCTTTCGATGTCGATGATTCGTAACCGTACAGGAGGTTCCAACATTCGTAGTAACTCTTCAAACTGGTGGATGAGGGAATTTCAAATTGAAATTTCAGATTTACTTTAGGCTGATTTCGTTGACGTTCGCTTGTTGATTGAATTAGGTAAAAGAAATTACAGTGGACTCCCGTATAACACGAGTTCTCGCAACGCGAATTCCTATAACAACTACTGTTTTCATATAACGCGAGTTTTCGTACATCGTGTCGAATAATAAATTTCTTATAGCGCGTACATGGGAATTTTGTTAAAATCCGATTTCGTTCCAGGCCTTGGGGCAGGATGTCCTGATGGCGACGAGGGAGGAGGAATGGGGAAATGTCCTGTGTCTGAGGGACAAAACGACATTAGGCGTTGTTTTGAGGGATAGATTGATGACCGACGCCGCATTAGGAGGTCCCAGGCCTATCAAATCCGAACACAGTTACAGTCTTTTAACATCCAGTCCTCCACCGAGTCCGGCTACTCCTGGCGCCAACCCACCCACACCAAATTCCACTTCCGGTGGCACCTGCACCGGAAGTGCCGAGCCGATCGAAGATAGGATCAGCCAACACAGGACACTCGACCTTCGGAGTCGAATCGATGGTAATACCTCGTAGATTTTAATCAAAAATATAGTTTACCGTGTAAGAAGAAGAGAGTGTACCTAGAAATTAGTGAATTCAGATTTGATTCTTGCAACTTGAGAAATTTTATATGGAACTTCGTCTCTTGAATTAATCACTTTACGAATGAGATACGAAAGTGCGAACTTTGGAGCATAATTTAATGTTACATAATCGGAGAGTGCGAGGAACACGGGGACACCCCGAAGTGAATCCTCTCTCATGATTTCTCACGTTTTCCTTATTGACAGACTCGTTACTCAGAAGTTGCGACTTGTCGACGAACTCGATGATTTCCCGCTAATATGTCATCGTTATTAATTTTTATTGCTTACTATATTTATTTATTAATGAAACGTTGAACTTGCAGACATGGAAGAGGAATGCTTTCCCGCAATTTCTCTGAACACAGCGTCAGGAAGAGGTGCAGCGTCTCCTTCACCGTGTCCAGCATCATCCTCTGGGGGGTTGACCTTGACCCAGAGGGACTCCTTATCATACGAAGACACCTGTCGGGAGATCAAAGGAGAACCCGAAAGTCAACCTGGAAGCCCTAGAGTGCCCTCCCCCTCCTGTACATTGGTGGACGACAAAACCACCATAACCATGGTTGCACCAAACAGCCTCCATTTCACCAGAAATCATCTCTCCCACCCCAGCGAAAGCGAGGAAGACGATGACGAGTATTACCCGGTAAGCGATACTTTACGAAACCATACCTTTTTACCGTTAAGTCATGTTTAACGATTCAATCGTTTAGAATATTACCGGCGAAAGGTTTTATGTATATTTCTCGAGTGTTCGGTAAGTGCGGGAACTGATGAATTTGAAAAATTTCAGGGCATGGAGCTAGAAAACGCGGTTAGTCCCGGAAATGACGTCACTGGAAGAGGTTTGCCACCGACGCCCCCAAGTTCTGCAAGTTCCGACAGCGAGGGAACCGTTTCGGCTTCCTGTTCTCCGGAACGAAGAGATTCGCAAGGTCACGTGCAGAATTTGAGAGGACTTTTGACTCCCAGGCTTTGGGTCACGAATGGGACACACACACACGCCACAAGGCAGCCTATTCACACGCCATTAATATCCTGCCAACCGGTGAGAACTGTAATTAAAATGCTAAGCAATATATTCTAACAATTTTCATTTCTTAGGGAATAATTGAAAAAGTATTTATGATTAGTACGTTTTCTTTAATATACCGGTAGATAATCAATGATTTAATCGATTACGGTGTAACTGGCCATTCGTGTGTTAATTACTGTGGACCCGTAGAAGCACAATGGTTTATAGAAAATTTATATTTGCAGAAGGGCTCCACCGGAGTCCTGACGTTGACGGAAGAGGAGAAGAGGACCCTGATCGCCGAGGGATATCCTGTGCCCACCAAACTTCCCTTGACGAAACAGGAAGAGAAGTCCTTGAAGAAAGTTCGGAGGAAAATAAAAAATAAGGTACGAGATTATTAAACGATTTGTGTCACGCGATGATCGTCACAAATATTTGTAGGATCCGAAGATTACGGCTGACAAGGTGTCTCATTATTTCTAGATATCAGCACAGGAATCTCGGAGGAAGAAGAAAGAGTACATGGATGGATTGGAGAGGAGGGTGACATTATTAGCCAATGAGAATTCTTCTTACCGTGACAGACTGACAGCTTTAGAGGGCACCAACAGAGAATTACTGAAAGAGCTGCAACGTTTGCAAGCGCTACTACAAGGTTAAATTCAGTCTTCCTAGTTCCATTAAGGACATTTATTCGTTCGTAAGTAGGTAGGCACGAAGTAGTATAAGGATATATAACGCCATGGCTTTAACTCTCCTTGTACTACTTCATACGTCTAGGAATATAAGATAGACAAAGATGTCGGCCTCATGACGAGGATAGTCCAAGGGGTTTAATTTATTCATGCGAAGTTTTGACTTTTTCAATCTTGGCGGTACTTACAAGTATCTGACGTCGAATTTACTCTTTTATCTTATTTTTGAAAAATGTTTCGGCTTTCGACTTGTCACAATCGTGCTTCATTCGACACTACTGTTTGTAAAATTATATGACGTGTTTTTTGGAGAGTATTAAGTGTCGTTAACTTTAAATCAGCTCTATATTATTCGCTTAGAGGAATAAATAATTCAACGGAGGAGCAGAATTGTATGCACAAATCATGCCGGTTGGTTTGACTCGATTACAATTGATCTAGAAAGCCGTTTTTTCAATCGGGGTCATAATTCTGGACTCAAAGAATTAATTAGAGCAGTGTGCCTTGCCATGAGATGAGAAGAGTGCTCGCTTTCGTATTTTCACTTTTATTAGAGTTGTTATTTCATTCTGCACGGAGCGAATTTTATTTTCGTAATAATTACTATACGTTATACGAAGCGCGGAAAGTGTTTATAAAACATTACGAGACGAAACAGTAGTTATTAGTGTCGAGGTTGTTTCATGGAAAGTTCGGATAATTTCGTTTAATAATTCAATATATGGTTTTACTAGATATTTTATTGGGCATTACGGGATTCGCAAGTGCTCGCCATATTTCTTATAAAGTGTAGTAATTATTATCGTAACGTTTCCGTATTATCACACGAACGACTAGATCTAGAGAGAAAAAGAAACATGAATTTCCATACATTCTAATCGCGTGATTCTAGTATATATTTATTTCCATATTACACCCGTCACTAGAAAATTGGAGGGAATTGTTAAGTGTTGTATTCCAATATTACTTCATTAATTTCCGACGAATATTTCACAAAACAAGACCCATTCCACTGGTTTTACCTGGTATAAGGATGCGCGAGTTTGGGGACATTTTTTAACCACTAGATTTATTTATAGGGTGACGAGGAAATTCTCGGAATTAAAATAATAAACTACGTATTAAAGCTAATCGTATTTTGTATGTTCAATATTTTCAGAATCTTTATATCACGGAGAAACGAATAATTCCGAGAATTTTTGGTCGCTTTGTAGGTGCACGCGTAAGGTGTTAGTTAATTATTTAATTATAATTACTATATGTTTAGCCTTGTTATTGATTCGTTGGTTACGTGGTAATTTCGAGGTCGGGAATGCCAGTCAAAAATACGGACACGTCAGGGTCGTTCGATTATCGCTATCATTCGATATAAATATCAAATTATAAATCTTCGTCTATGTAGGAGCCACAAAATGGTGGCGCTTCTTCAAGGCTACGGGACCGTGTGCATTCTTTTTTCTTTTAGTAAAGAGACAAGTCTTGATGTCCCGAAAGTGGACAGCAGTTGTTATAAATAATTTGTAAATATGTATTGGCGCGGGCCTGGATACCGGCTGCAATTATCTTTACCGAAAGTATATAAATACATTTGCTCTTCATCTCTTATCAATCATTATCGAGCTTTCGAAGGGTCCAATAATCAACATTATACAAACGTTTCTACAACGTATTTCTTCACAGAGAAACAATGTGATAACAATTGTAACATTTTTAAATGTACGATCATTTGATCTTTGATGATTAGACGATTATTTTACAAACAAGACAATAATACTTAAATGATCATCTTTCAATTCTTACATTTCGCGGATTATACAAATTGTTTAACGATGTATTCTTGAAATTATCAACCGTAATAGGATACGATTGCACGCGTGTAATCAGTGAAACCACCGAGATATCGAATTCACAGCTCAATTTGAAGTAAGAAAAATCGTTTTAATTGTACAATAGTCATTCGTTGCAAAAGATCGTTCTGGCTCGCGGTAAAATTTAAGCATTAATTTACAATTTTAATTAAGTTTCGCGCTTTTTCCAACTCGACGCCGAAGGAACTCGCTAGAAGACGTTCTCCATGTTAATTATCGCATTTGTTATTTGCGGTTTACAGACGCGATAATTCACAAGATTAAAAAAAAATATGCTTTCAGCATGTTCTTTCTCGCAAGAGCGTCCCTTAGAAATAATATCTTCTAACGAGCTACGTCCTAATCGTTCAGATTTTAAGAAACGGCGTCAATTGCGCGGAAATATAAATAAAAAAGGCATAAAAAAGGAGACTACATAAAGTACAAGCACGCGTGTGCGTGAAGTGCTTGCATGTAACGTTAATTACGACCGCGGTTTAATTAATATATTTTCACGGAGCGTCCGCGGGCTCTGTAAATCTTTTGATAAATATCTCTGTCCTAAGCTGAGAAAGTACATCCCGACTAGGCATATACAGGAGTATACCGTCACATAGAGTAACGCTACGATATACATTGATAAGTAATCGCGCGTGTGCGGATATTTTTCAGGAGTTACGCCGCCGTCTTGTACATTTTCTGTCGTTGCGCTCGAACATTGCACGCGACATCCGCGAGAGAGACATTTAATATATATACACATAGATACATATATTCTGTGAGGAACTTTTATAAATGATTACGGACACTCGTGTGTATTATATATTTTATTTGAGACGGTACATTCCGTGATGTGCCGCATGCGGTGGGGCGTGTGGACATCTTGGCACATAGCATCGCGCCGTTGCGCTTGTCGAGTAATTTGCAACTATGGGCCAAGTATATATGTGCATGGACGTGGCTGGGTATATATGGCGATCATTGAACCCATTAGGTGCAAGATATATGCGGTACATACGGTGTAATGCCACGTGGGCTCGATCGCGAGCGCGTGCAAATTTAATTCGATTCGAGTCTTGTTCGAATGGGTGTTGTCTGACAATAACGAATAAACATGTGTGACCTAGTTTGGTCGTTCCTTTCGTCCAATCCTCCTCTTTTTCCTTAATCGGTTGTTTAGTCTGATAAAAAATCATTTCCGTTTTTATCGTAGGTGATGGAAATCTGCTTGGTAATGACTGATTCGGGTTGAAAAATAAGAATGTTAACGTTGTTGGTCCGTCCTTTCCCTGTGATGTGTTTTTCTGTATTTTTGTCAACACGTACATTATTACCTAATAGATTGTAAAACATTAAAACCATAAGAGTGAAATATTCGACGTGAATATTCGTAGAACGTTCTTAGCAATTCTTGAAACTATTCCATCGATACTCGCTTCTATTAATTTATATAATAAAGCGGAAGAGAACGGCAGCCGCCATGTTGAATTGTATGCAAGCATTTCAATGGATACTCTCTAACCGGCGTATTTACCAGGAAGGGCTTCCTGGTAAACACAAATAATCACGTGCCGTTTCCCCAAGTCTGCTGTTTGCAACTTCTAATTGTATACCGATTCGGAGGCAGATATCTGCAGCCTTATCAAATTTTCTCGGCGTCCCAGGGACCCGATAAAGGGATCCTGCTAAATCGAATCGAGGGAACACTCGCATCCACGAGTCGGTCTTAATTACGTTCGGATCGTATCTGGCACTTCCCGTAGCTCTTCGAGACCCCCGCCAGCTGAGTTTCCCGATGTCGAGAAATTTCCTCACACGGAGCTCGGAACCAAATGACTATTCGGAACGTCGGGATAACATAATTTAGTCGTGATGCAATTAGAATGCATTCTTAAAAATAATGAAAATTTGCGATCGGAAAGTGAGATGGGAACGGTCTCGCGAATTATTTTTTCATTCTTTTCGTAAAAATTCATTCTCACTGTTCGATCTCCAGATCGACTTCTTCGACGTCTTCGTCGCCGATTGCATTTTTTAAAGTCGTCAAACGGACCGGCTTTTCAATGTCCAAAATGTTTTCCTCATTTTGGCCGCGTTTTTTCGACCGGTACAAAGGATTTTCGAATCTTCCTCCACTTCCGGATGCTGGATAAGTTGCAGGCGGGGTTTCTCGAGGTTCGGCAGGTTCTGCCAGTTGCACGGTGGCTTCGGAAACATTTTCGAAACGTGCAAATCCAAGATATCTCCTGGTTCCCCCGTTTTCTTGACGAACGCCTGTTCGAAAAGTGGTCCATCCTCTTCTCAAGTCAGCCGTTAAACTGAAACGCATATATTTTAACATTCTATGTTAATATTTCAAATTAATCGAAGTAGAAATAAGAGGCAATGGTCAGACTGGCACTGAATTGGTTTCTTACGGTCCCGGGTTCGTTTCTCAGGGAGTTTTTCAACGTTTTCAGGAAATGTCGCCTACTCCCTGGCGGCGCCGTTCGACCGAAATAATAAACTTTGGCCGTTGGGGAAGTGAACTAATTAAACGCTACAACCGCCGGCTGGCTACGACGGTCGTTCAGGTTAGGCCGGAAGGAATTAGCGAGAAAGAGACCGTAAATGCTAATTGGTAAACGAGACCGCGCAAGCTGCTTCCGATAATTAAAAGCCCTCTTTCTCGACCACTCGATATGGCCCTTCGTTTTGCGAGTTTTACGACAGCGAGGAGAGGTTACGTCCTTCCGAAGACTTCATCAATTTTCGAGTTCACGTTAGAATCCGGAAACTAACTTAGAAATATGAACTATGAAAACTTAATGTACACTGCCATGAATGGCTTTCTCGTGTACATGGCGCAGCTTGGTGGTGGTAACGTAAACGTAAGGTAAAAAGCGAGCTCGAGAACTTATGTACTTGCGGTACCTGATGTATAATAAACTGTAAAATAATTAATGTAATAAAGGAACTTATTGAATAATCACAATGAGTATGTTTAATTAGACGAACATGTCTAGCGAACCCTCTAATTGCCTATTCCTGATCCTTGAAAATCACTCGTAGACCTAAGTTAATATTAATATCCTTGCGTTCGGAGAAAAGTTTGCGTGCCACCTCCTCGGTTGTCTTGTGATCCTGTTAGAAATCGGGAATCTCAACCCCTAAAATTTTTGCCCGGGAGAACCTCCGTGCCACCTCCTCGGTTATCCTGTGATCCTGTTAGAAATCGGAATTTTCAACCCCTTAAATTTTTGCCCGGGAGAACCTCCGTGCCACCTCCTCGGTTGTTCTATGTTCCTGTTAGAAATTGGAATTTTCAACCCCTACAATTTTTGCCCGGGAGAACCTCCGTGCCACCTCCTCGGTTGTTCTATGTTCCTGTTAGAAATTGGAATTTTCAACACCTAAAATTTTTGCCCGGGAAAATTCCGTGCCACCTCCTCGGTTGTTCTATGTTCCTGTTACAAATCGCCAGAGATGGAATATGTCGCCATGTACATTTGTAAGTCATTCATGACTGCCAGGGTACCTAATATTTATTTTAAATTTAACTATTTGTATTTCCTCTCTTTACTCCCTGTACTTCTCGGCCTGGGACTAATTTCATGGCTTCTCTGTACCTCGAGAAATATAACGCAATGCATGGTCATGAAAGCATCAGCACATCGGGCAAGTATGCGAGAGGGCGCCATGCTTCATATTCCGTGTAATTACTTTCCCCAGAGTCCTCGGAAACGTTTTAAATGCTTTAGGGCGGTCATACGTTGCCGCGCATGAGCATCGAAATCGTAAAGGAAGGTTTATGACTTCCCGTCGGAATAATCGTTTAACTCCTATAGTTGAACATGGAAATGGCATTTACTTTATTATTGAAAATATATCGGTTAAAAAACCTCATGTCTACTGGCAGGCTGAAAATACTTATTTTCCAGACAGGTAGTGAAAAAAAATGCATATATACAGATTACATATCATCTTTCTATAAGCATAAAAGCTTTTTAAAGCCACTTTTAAAAATTACGTTTATAATGCCTCGTCATGAGATATCTCAACAAGTATTGCTTTCTCAAGTCAAACTATGCTAATAACACAGATGGTGCTCTTGATATTCGAGGGCCAATCGCAATTTTCTTAACAGGAAGCCCAAATATGAAGTCATGAAAGGAAACGTGCGAGGAAAAATGTCCGTGATACTTTTTCTATCTTCCGAAAGTCGATTCCGGAGGGTGGGAGAAGAAATATGGAAAGATGAAAAAAGTTTTCAAAGGCTAAACGACTCCGTTTCGCCTTGCATATATATATATATATTTCCGTACGTGGAATATATATACCCACCAATCGCATTTACATACCAACGATATACCGTAACTAATATTCGTACAAGTTATAACAAACACATAACATGCCGGTACCATGTAATGTGTTATATTAATATTACATAACTACGAGATCATTTGTCCATATTTCGGTAGGTTGAGGAGAGATTGAATAAATATGGAAAAATATTGTCGAAACACTTACCTCGTGGGGTTGTATCCGAAATATGGAAGAACTACGACGAAGAGCAGAAAAATGAGAAAAGGTGTTCCCAAAACGGAGGCCAAGACGAGTCCAACGTTTGAGTCATTCAGAGCCGCTCCTGCAGTTTCCGTGCTCAGCACTTCGATGTAATTCCCTAGAACAGGGAAAATCGGGCAGGGTCGGACATCCGTCTCATCGGGATTCTCTTTCCCCGTGGGGCATACTTTCGGAAAACTTTCTACCGAGGACTTTTATGGCCGCGATCGAATATTACAGGGGAGAGGATAAATTCGCCGCCCCTTCGGGTGGGGATTGAGAACCATCCCGGATGTCTACATCTGTAACTACCGATATTAGATGCCGTTATGCCCGGAAAAAATGACCGTATTACGGGAAAAGAACGGCCTATTACGTAAGGACCCCATAAACCATTTCGGTACCTCTGGGGGTGGAATCGTTCGCCCGCCACCCCTCGAACCGTTGGCACGGTTTCGAGAGAAACGAATTCCCGTTGGAATAAATCGGAAGAATTAACAATCGGGAATATTAATCCACAATATTTGGAAAATAAAGCCGATAAATTGAGATTTAGGTCTTAGAGGTGTATCTTGGCGGCTATTAAAATTTTGCCATTATCAAAATGTTGAAAAAATGGTATATTTAAAAGATGAAATTCCTCCCAAGTTAAACGAAGAGGATCGTGGAAAGGGCGCATTCATTTGTGGACCATTTTTGGGTACGAGGAATCTTCAGGGTGGAAGAATTCCTGAAGGATGGAACTGACTTTCTTGGGAGAGGAAAAATTGTTTCCGTGACGGATTTCTATCAGGACGAGAGGACCCATTGGGAATTGGAAGTCCCACCTGTGAGAGCCTTCTTCAGAGCCTCCACGGCTTCGTAGCTGGCCATTCCGGAGTAGCCATCTTTCTCGGCTATCAACACTTCAGGGTTGCCATCCTTGGTGTTCCGGATGTGCCATGACAAGACGTTGTCGTATGTCTTTAAGATATCTGACACTTTGCTTTCAATTGTCGATAATGGCGTGGTCCTTGACAGCCTGACGCGCCCTCCACAGAAATCGCAACAATGGCCTTCCACCTAAAACGTTGTATATTTCAAATATATTCACTTATCACAGAAATACCATCCCATTATTCGGAATTAACAATTTCGAATTATGAAACATTTTCGAACGACAGAATTAATAAGATTGGGATGATTTAATGGAACACCGTTTCAATTAATTGTTTCCCTTTTCCCTGCCAAAAGAAACGACAGATTTGCATTCAACTATGATAAAATGTATAAAGAAATGATATTAATGATATCGAAATGGGATATTACCTCTAAAGGATATGCGCAGATTGTCGATCCGCACCTTGGTCGTTGAATGTTGCAAACCTCCTCCAAGTACGCATCAAAATTATCACCTTGACAAGGACAATTGTCGCAGGCCAAACGGAGACTATAGCTAAAAAAAAATATATATAAACACGTTACAAATTAAGTTATAATCAATCGCCTAATTATACGTAATTTATATCTACTCGACTTTGAAGGGACCCGTGGAGAACTCTCTGTTGGACCTTAGCTCCGTCCATTGCCATAAGAGAAGAGATCTATTTTCTATTTTGACGGCCCGAACTTTGATGACGTTGTCGGGCTGTCGAATGCTCAAAATCTTGTCCGTCGAATTCGCTAAAACTGCGACATCCGAGACACACGGGATTCTCTCCAAATGGGGGACCGCCTCGGAGGAGGTGCTCCAGTTTTCAGGATCTGCCCAGAATAAAGGACCTTTCCTCGCCCATTTTGCGACCCTCTTTTTGGATCCCTCCGACCCGCTGATCTATGAAAGAGGAGAAACCCCGAAGGCGGTTTCATTAATCATTTACCGGCTACTTTAATTAATGATTCAAGCGTATAAATGATTAAAACCGAAGAATTGCTGAATCAATCAGAGATGGTCGACGACGGTTCGATCCTACTGAAATATAGAACGGGAAGAATCTCAGAAACCGAAATGATTTTTGCATTTTGTTTACGTTGTCTTGTAAGGTTCCTCTAAAATAACGTTTTAAAGTATTACGGGTACTATTAAGAGGGAACGTTTCGACGAATTTTGTTCTAAACGGTTCGTTCACTGATTTGATGTAATATTCCTCCACAAGACCAATTTACAAGAATTAATTTCATTTGTACCATTACTTTGGTGATTATCCGACGAAGAGTCTATTTCACGCACTTTGTCGTTGACTGTCCTCTCCAATAATTTTTTAATTTCTCAATTCATGATAAAATAATTGATATCTTTAATTTTAGTTTTATAAGCAATACTCATTTTAGGGGATTCATTACCTGTAATTTGCCATTCATAGACAGAGCCAAGGATCCATCTCTTGGCAAGTCCACCTCCGCAAAATTCACGGAGCTCCACTTCGGAAGGCCAACAGCGAGCCTCATTTCCTCCGGAAATACCACTCGACTGTCCACTTCCGGTAGAAGACCATTCTCCCAGTTTTCCCGGGTTTGCCATTCCAGGTCCGGAAGCCAGAATTTTTCGATCGCACCTGCGAGTTCCAGTTTCCAAAAAATGGCCGCCAGCGAGAACAAGAAAATTCCGCAGCCGTGGGTCCTTTCCGACATTTTTCAACGAGTGTTTAAGTTTGGAAATTGATTTTTGCAGTATTAACGGTGGAAACGAACGAACAGCAGCTGACAGTTGGAACCACAATGGAATGAATGCTTTAAGGGGCGTACGTACGACACGATTCCCTGGGGAATACTTTGCTCTGATTTATGACCCGAGGTATATCTCTGGTTAGGTCGCTGTCGAGACTCGGGTTATCTCAAATTTTTTATTTACTATAGAGGGAAATGAAATACTATTCTTTACTTTTAATTCCTACAAACATTCATTTTCGTGCTTCGGTGTTGACTTAATTTGCATAAATTTAATTTTTCAATTTACTGCTATTGATATTTATCTTTGCGAGTTAGTATTGAGAGTGAAACAGTGATAAGTTTATTGGTTCCGTTTTTGGTTCTGAAAATATGGATGAGTGCATTTAATAAAACATGCACGGTGAGTTACAGACAGCCTCTTTATTTCGACAGAGAGGATACACACGATCGAATGGAGATATTTGAAAGGAAATGCAATGTCTTGCAAGATGTCGTCGGTCGACCTCTAACGCATTTGAAACGAGATTAGAACGTCTTTGGAACGTTTATGGATTCCAGAAAAGATATCCTCGGCCAGAACGAGACGGGTCGACCGACGCGCGTTCCGTGCGGGATATTCGAGGACTCTGCGACGAGCGAAGTCTTCAACTACACCTAAACTTTAACCTATAACATTAGATGTACATGCACTCAACCTCGAATTGAAGCGGTGCTTTGGGATCGATCGTCTCGACCAGTCGCGCTTCTTCCTTCATTTTCGAAAATCGAGTTCGCCAACCGCAAATGCCCCTACGAACTCACGAGGTGGGAGTCCCGCGACGAAGCCGCAGAATCCGCCATACTGGACGCAACGGTCCCTACATAACTACGAAGAAGATGAGACTCGTTTCACTGGGAACGACCAAGTCGCCGGTCATTTGGACACGCAAATTCATTTTTAATAACGCAATTTCGGAAAATATATGGGACGATTTTTCAGGAAGAACCGTAAAATTAGACAGCTTTACGTTTCGCGTTTCGACCATCGGGATGAACGAATGGAAATAGCGATTTCGGTCCGCACATGTTCTGTAAATATTGGCTTTTTGCGACATGAACGAAATATTGGTATTCTTCGGATAGCACGTTACAATTTGACGACTAGCCATTAAGAGCAATCAATCAAGTATCAGAAATCGACGATACGGACTAGGAATTTTCAAACACGGCCGACTAGACAATTCGGACTGACCTGGACAAAACCTGCGCTATTTATCCTGCTTCTAATATATATTAATTCCGAGTTTAATAACTAATAACAATCTGTTTTACATTGCAAAAGATTTAGTGACTCGGACAGCTCGGATGTCACTTTCATATCCTCTTAAAGAATTTTCCAAAATGGCGGGCTCCGCGGTCTCGACCTTAATAGACTACGCTGACGTCACTATCATCTACGAGAGGACGTCGAGTGCACGTGCAGTTGAGAACGTCCAGATTGGAGAAAACGGAGATGACGGTTCGTCGAGGAGGGTTAATACGAATTGCAAAATAACCGAGCAATCCTATCGAACTAAGGTTCCACTTCCAAGGGAAGTCCCATCCCAATCCTGGAGCGTCCCTTTCGGGATCCGGAGGTCGACCTGGACGCTCGCGACGGGGCGAAAAACCTATGCGACCACTTCCTCCTCCTCGGCGATTCTTTTCCCTGACCCCATCAAGTATCTCTGAGCGAAATCGCTGCCGGACTGCTTCCCCGTGCCCAGGACTTCCCTGGGACCTAGACCGGAAACTCGCTTTCCTAGGCCGAAACTGTACAAACGACCGCTGCGTTTATCGGGCAGCAGGTCTTCCAAAGCCTCGTCTTCGACGAAGTTCTCGTAGCCGTAGTCCAGAGGATAGTCCAGGTTCATCCGCATCGGGTTGTACCCCAGGTTGCCTCGTTTTCCCAGGCCGAAGCTGTAGGGCTGCGCTCGTTTCCCTAGGCCGAACGAAAATGTCCTCATTCTCTGGAAAAGTCGAAATTACTTGGAATTACTGAAATTGCATTCGATTCGCGATTCTTAATCTTCTCAACTCGTCTCTGCTAAAAAATGGAACCGGCTGGTCGCAACGACTCCCTCCATTAGGCATCGTTAGTTCCCGCAAGATGGCGCGCGCTCCGAAATCTTCCAAACTTAGTCTAACTGTTATTTAACCGAAGTTCGGGAGAAAATGCAAATGCTGACCTTGTCGTCGGTTCCGTCGACGGTGGCGGGGGCGCCCCACCTTTTGCCGAGCCCGAAGTTGTAAACGGGCAGCCTTTTGTACTCGGAGACGTAGGTGTAGGCCCGTTTCTCAGGGGCTCCGCGTGTCGCGCCGTCCAGCAGAGGGTGCGTCGAGGCGTGGTCGTTCTCGCTGGCTAATGAGGAGCCACCAAGAAGCACCAGGGCACAGCAAGCCACCAGGCTTTTGCCCGTCGCCCTCGCGATCGTCATCTTAACGATCTCGGCTCGTCGAAAGGAGGCGCTGGGAGGGGAAAAGGTTCGGATTAAGTAACTTGGTAATACGTCTAACTACGGAATTACAAAATAGTATGAATTAGTTTTTAGTGAGTTATGCTCGGGCAAAAGTAAGTAAAATATCCTGGCTTTTAATAATCTAACCGAGTTTCTAAGATTCCGGATTCCGGGATCTCGTGCCCCGCAACGGCCGCCGTTGCGGGACGCAGCAGGTGGCTGCCGCGGCCGCCATCTTGTGCCCCCCGAGAATCCAGCTCGTTAATTGAATCCTTCGCGGCAATTTAATTAGCCGAGTCGCCCCCTCGTTTTCTTACCACCTCTTCCCCTTCGGAACGACTCTCCCTCTTCTGGGATACGCAATCCACGCTTTGGCGAGATAACTCAACCCCGTTAACGCTAGGTAAGGAGTGTAGCGGGAGATGAGCCGTCATTTTCGATTTTTCGTATCGCACTTGCGACCTCCGACTCCAAAGTTTCAGCAACATTCTTAAGATTTACATTTTCCGATTTCTTTCCGAAATTCAGATCCGATATGAAGTCATTTATTATTTATGGAAGAGGAATCATAGATCTTCATATATACAGGGGGGTTTATCCTTCGGCTCGTATTTGAAGGGTGCCTATCCACTGCTTTTCCAGCGTCTGCCATTTTGGGGCGCCCAAAACTCGATTTAGAAGTCCACTCGTCGTCGGGAAATTGTATGAAAATTTTATTCCTATTTATAGCGATATCCAGGAAGGGTCCTTCATCCTTATCTCTGTATTTCTCTTTTTTTTTCACCGTGGAATAAACCGAAGTTACACAATCTATGGGAAATCAGGCCAGTCGGGCTTCATCCTCCGCCATGGCGTTGATCAACATCGAGAAATTAATCTCGTTGATTTAATTACAAGTATATGTACTTGTCACGGCCCGTGTTGAAATCCCGACCTCCGATATATTTTTTTCACATCGCTAACATCGCTCTTTAAGCAATGACATTTTGAGAGGAAATAAATTGTGTTACGCGGACGATGACAGGACTTGGGCAACATCGCTTCCAAGGTACCGGGTGTCCTAATGGAAGCCGGCGAGGTAATGAAGCTTCGGCGACAGCCCATTTAACCAGGCGAGGGTAATTTCTACCCCGGTAAATGGTGAAGGACCTAGGTTAAGAGACGACTGTTAAGGGGTTTGAGTGGGTGTCGCGGAACGAGGAAGATTAATGGACCACCGAACCGCTTCTTCTGTGTGGGTGAGCCTTAATATTCCGGCCAGATCTTTCCGAGATGACGTCGGATGTGATCCCTCCCCTGTAGGTTTCGTCAGGTTCCCGGGGAGGAAAAAGTGCACCCGCAAAGGGATGGCCACCCTCGAGGCGCCGCTTGACCTCGATTAAGACGTGGAGTTACGTTTATGTCAACGCGGTTATGGGATCCCTTGGCAAATTTGCGGGAGATATTGGAATCTGCTCATCCCCCAGGTCAATGTTCGAAAAATATATCAATCTTTCATATTCCCGTCGAGGTTTGTCTTAACTTCGTTCGGTCTACCTTTCAACTTATTTTTTTTTTTTAAGGTATGTTGTAGGCTCGCGATGTTTATTTCACCCGTTGCGGCTATTTGGACTCGCAAATGAAATGCGCCGTCCGGGAATGAAGATCAAAATGTAGATTTGATTAGAAAGACTAATAACAACCCCGCGACTCGGTGCAGCTTTCGTCACCGAGTCCGTAATTGCGAGCAGAGTTTATTTACCAGAAATGCAGCTCGGGGCGAGGGAGTAAAGGGAAACGGCATCTCGACCCACCCACTTTAAGAGAGGGTTGCGAAACGGGAGGCAACTTTCCGATGAGTCGGTTACAAGGGAAAATCTGTTCGAGACTTGCAACAGGTGCTCCTCTTGACATTCATCCCCTTTTCGCCCCTCTCGGGCTCTCGGTTTCGAATCCACCCTCATATGCCACCGAATCCCGAAGGAGTTTGATATCGTATCAGCGGATTCTTCGCTTCCAAAGAGGGGAAATTTCTCAAAATTTCCCGTTGGAGCAAATTCTGAAGTAAAACTTTATATAGGTGGTACATGTAAATTCGCATGTTACGAAAAGGACTCTTTTGGGAAGTGAAACGCATTTTAGACAATTAAGTATTGTTTGTATTTTTTTTTGTGTTTCCGTATTGATAACAATGTGATTTGATTTAGTTCTCGAATGAAGGTCTGAGTTAGGATCCTCTAGATTTGGATAATTGACGAGATATCGAATTTCACCTTAAGGAGAACTCCGAAGTGTCGGATGAGCAATTATAAATGCTTTTCCCAGCTTCAACTTTTTACGAGTAACATCCTTTACGAGCAATCCCACGGTGCCTTCGAATCGTCTACGTTTTTATCAGTTTATCACCGCGTCTGCTGAAATGCAGTTGACGTCCCGTAAACGACCTCGCCCGGTCTCAATCCGCAAAAGCCGCAATTGCGCTACGCTGCTTGAGACATCTCGTCTTTACTGTTTCAACTTATCGCCCTGGGGCAGGAGTTGATTCCGGAAGATTGCGCCTTTTTCCTTACGTCCATCCACCTCCTTAACCGAGGCAGTGCCCGTAATTCCTACAGACACCCAACGCTCGGTATTAAACACTTAGTATCCAACACCCACCACCCACAACCCAACACTCAGCACTCAGCACTCGGTATCCATCTCGCAGTATCCAACACCCAACACCGATAACGCGACGTCTTCTGATCTCATGGTCTCATCCCGCAGGACAGGTCTCGAATTCTCCGATTATCTCCCTCCTTCTTTGCTGATTCCTTATCTGGGATTTACTGCTATTGACATTTTTCCGCACAAGATTCCTTGATCATCGTGTTCGTATAGTACAAAGAGTTAGGGTTAGTAAAAAGAGCCCTCGATTTATCTTTTATTGTATGATATTTAATTTATCATGTCGGAACGTTATAATTTGTTTATAAGCGAACGGTATTCATAGGGGAACGATTGAATCTTAGTTGAAAGGTTAGGTTCTGCCGAAAGGGCAAAGAGCTTTGCTTTAAGACCAGGTCCGGTCGACCTCATTGCAGTTTATTTGAAGCCAATCGAGTAAAACCACCCCCACGTGGAGTATAATGTTTTCCACTGTCGACGGCGAGTGGAAAGTCAAGGATACCGAATGTCAGTGGTTAACGCCAAGGTTGAAAATGGCCAATAATGGCGTCGGAATTTTCCAGAAGGTTACGGGAATTTATCGCTAATTGGACCCCTCGTGGAGCATCGGAGATATTTATATCCTCGTGGCTATCCTTGATCGCAAGGGGCAAACAATTAACGGCGGCTGTCAAAGGGCGATAATGGCTATTAATATCTATTATCAACCATGGCGGCTATTTTTTATTAGAGTTCCTTTGGGATGTCCCGCAAGTTTTGGGGATACTCTCACGGTCATCGGTGTTGAAGGTAACGTACTTCTAACTTTTTATACCTCCCTTCGTGTCTGAAATGCTCCGAGCATAAAGTTTGAAAATGCCACATAATCTGAAATCGCAGCAACTTTGTTGCGCCACCGCCACGCGGATTTGCATACGCTTCGAGTAGGTAAACTTTGACGCCCGAGGGGCCGCAGGACATTCCGAATGGAAAGGATTGCCTGTCAAAAGTAAACCTCCTTCGGTCTCGGGAGCAATCGGAGCCGGGATACGGCTCCATTTCGGTCTCGTTATGTGGGGTCGGACTCGGAGATTTCTCTCCTTTACGAGGTTATCCGGTAGTTCGGGGCTGATCCGCGGTTTTCCGGAGACGAGGCCGAGGGGGTGGACTCGGGACATTAGGGTGCCCTCACAACGAGCGGCCGCCGCATCGCCTTGGCGGTCTCGCATGCATAATTGAACGTCTTATTCTTCGGCCATCCCTTCCAAACCGCGGATCGAGCCTTTTGACCCTCTTCTCCTTTGCGGGAAATCCCGCCGGCAATACTTCCGGCCTAGCATCGGGATTTCCTCCGCCGAGAGTGCGAGGCTTAAGCCCATTCACGAGCCACGACCCACCCTTTCGTCGAGGCCGCCCAGATTTCCACTTTCCGATGGAACTCCTCAGCTGCCAGTCACCGAGATCGAGCGCGCTTAATTCCTCTTTCAGGGGGTTTCCGTTGGATCCTTGCTCAGGGTCCCAAACTTTCTGGGGAAAGGTATTCATTGTACGTGACTTCCAAATCGTGGTAAGTTGGTATCGAGTGGACGTGATTTCGCGAAAATAATTTCATGCATAAGATTGGTCAACATTGGTTACGCGTTTTATGGTTTTGAAAGGGATCACTGTGAAAGTAGAGTAACAAAGAATGAATGCGTTCATCACCTTACTTTTTAATCATCCTGTAAATCGTAAAATCTGGTATAGCTCGTGGCTTTGTCCGTAATCATGAGTATTCTGCTTCGTACAGCCACCACGGCACTCGGCGTAATATTTATGGTAAAACGTGTCATAAACGCGGTATACTCATATGAGCAAAAGAACCCTTTCAATTATCGCCATACTCGACACAATTTAATTCCCCCGTGTAGTCATCGAGTACCATCCAGCTGGGAAGCACTTTTCACATTTATTCTAACGTTTGCTTTTGTAACGTTCAATATGTATCGATTAGGCTTCTGAAGTCTAATCATCATTTATGGATGAATTCTGTAACTTTATACAGAATTTATTTCAACAAAGAGCCTTCATAAGGGATACTGGTTTTCAGTTGTTAATTCCAGAATCGATGAGAAACGACCCAGAAAGGTATTAATAATAATAAGGATCCCTGTCGTTAATATTCCTTAGGCATAAGTTATCCGTCATTGAGGTGTCGCCGCGATCGGAGCTTTAATGGAATCTCGTTGTGCCTTTATAAAAGCGCACTTTCAGAATGGGCGCTTCGTGGTAAGAAATAGATCGTAAAAATTACCAGGCCTTTACTGCTTAGGAGATATGCAGAAGCTTTGAAAAATTGTTCTTGGTGTATTACCAAAGCACTCTGTACATGAAAATACTAATTCC